TCAGTCAAGCAATCCCAACAATGGAAGACACAATCCAGGGCCAGGAAGTACATCTCAGCCTAAAGGGATATCCAAGTCCACCTGGTAGAGATTCAGTACTGTAGTCATAGGATAGCTTCAAATGTGCTGTAGAATAAAGTGCCCACACCGTCTAAACCTGCAATAATCATCACTAGGCAACTCTCTTCCACTCCATATCTTTTGGTTCCCTGCTCCACTCCCTTAGGCAACCACATGCTGTATGGTTTTCTCTTTCCTCATAAGACAAACCAAAACTAAGTAAGTAAGGTATATTCCTCATGGTGGGGCTCTATTTATTTTACTCTACTTTGCATGGTCTGCCAGGTGGGTAACTTCCATAAATCATTTTGGAATATGGCAGTAAATACACACACACACACACACACACACACACACACACACACACACACACACACACACACTTCTGAGCTCTAAGAGTAAAGATTATCCTAACTTTTTCCCTTACAAAGCACACTTTCAGGCAGCCCTTGTCTGTTTGGCATATAAAATGGCTACTTACTGCAAAGCTAAGATACCTTCCCCTTTTGTGGGTTAAAAAAAAATACATCTAAGGATATACTACTTTATCTGTGGCTCTGGTTACTAATACTTCCCCATCTGTCATGAAGCTTTTGACTAATTTAGGTTTACAGTTTCTAAATGCTTCATATTAGAAAAAAAAAAAGTTAAGTCAAGGATCTGCCTGTGAAACCAGAGAAAGATAAACCATATGCTATGATATAAATATTAGCGATGCCTTCCCCCATTCATAGACTGAAATCTAATCCCTGAGGCAACAGTATTAAGTTGTAAGGAAGTATAAAGTCACAGGAAAAATCCCTGCTGAATGGAATTGATAACGATTATTAAAAGGGGCTGAAGGAGTCAATCCAGCCCTTAACCATGTGAGGGCGTTCACCAGACACTAACCTGTGAGAGCCTTCATTCTCAACTTCCCAGACTCTCAAATTTTGAAAATATGTGCTTACTGCCTAGTTCATGGCACTGTGATTACAGCATCCCAAATGAATTAAAACACTGATTGATCCAAAATGCATAAGAAAAAAATAATAAGCCTAAGAGAAGAAACTGATTAACTAGGAAACAAATAGTGGTGAATATTAAGCCAAAAGTTAGTTATTTTTCAAATTATTAAAAGGATCAATAAATAAGTAAGAAAGAACACAAAATACCACCAGACTCAAAGAAACATAGGTCCCATGGTTTCCCTTATCTGCAATAACTAGTATATGTCTAGGACAAGCAGAAGAGGACAAAAGCTATATACGTATGACCATACAACCTGATGCTAAGAGAAATGAACCCAAAGATAGGGACACAAGAGATTTTTATCTTTCTTGTTGTTCTTTTTAATGTACATATAATGTACTATGTGATTTTTTTTGTCTCTTTATATGTTCTTCCTCAACGGTATAACCCCTGTTGTCACTGTATTTGATTCCGGTGTCCTGCATCTTCTATATACGTTTTTCTAATTTGGGGAGGGGAAAGGAAATAACAAAATGCTGAAATAAGGATACAGGATGACTCATTGTAACAATGAGATGTACAAGACACTAGTTGAAAATGAACTTTACAACTTTGCAAGGTCGGGGAGGAGTTGGGGAGGTGGGGAGGAAAGGGATGGTAGGGGAAAAAAAAGGAGAAGGTAACAATGCTAGATAAGAAATGTATTCATTACCTTGCTCGTGTAACTATAACCCCTCTGGACAGCATCTTTACAAAAATATTTTTTTTAAAAAAAAGAACACAAAATACCAAAGGGCTAAGGATGTAACTCATAAGAACATAAGCCTATTATGCTGAAAACTCTATGGCTCCATCATTACAAAAACAGGAATGGAAGAGGGAAATCCTACAAATATATTTTTAAAAAGAGAACATTAAGAACAATTGGATGGCAGCACGTTCAACAACTGAGAAGAAATGGGCTTGACAAAACATAATCTATGTAAACTAATTCAAGATCCACTAAAAATCTATGTAGCCCTGCATCTGTTCTAGAAATAGATTTATTATCATAAAACTTCAAATCCAAATGTTTCACTAGTAAATTCCAACAAACACTGAAAAAAATGTCAATCTTATATAATCACTTTCAGGAAATAAACAGAGTATTTCCCAACTAAGTTTATAAGGAGCTAGTCTTATGGAAAAATAGCACAAAGATGTTAAAGAAAATGATAATAGGGTCATATCTAGTTTCCTTACTTCTTAGAACTCTTATAGCAGATGGCCCTCAGTCTGATCCATGCATATGAATGGAAATATCCTAAAATTGAAAATATACTAAACCTAAAGTCAAAAATCTGGACAAAATATCAGCACATATTCTAGTAAACAATTATAAGGCATGGCTATGTAGGGTATATTCCCAAAATTCAAGTCTTAACATTTGAAAAAGAATAAATGTAATTGACCATAGGAAGCAAATAAAGGAAATGACATATACAGATGAAGGATAAAGAAATGACAATCAGGCACAGAGGGTAATGCCTATAATCCTAGTTACTTCGTAGACAAAGACTGAGAGAATTGCAGTCAGAGAATATCAGGCAGTCTCCAGACAACCCAAGGAAAAAGCTGGAAAGACCTATGTTCAACCAATAAAAGCTAAGTACATTGGGCTCATGTCACTTTGCAGAAAGAGTAAACAGCAAGATTTCAGTCTAGGCAAAAAGTGAGACCCTATTAAAAAAATAATACTAACGAAAGTAAAAAGGGTTGTGATGTGGCTCAAGTGGTAGAGCCCCTGCCTATGCAAGCACAGGCTCTGAATTCAAACTTCAATAAAACAAACAATAAAAATCCTATACTAGTTACTATGCTCATGATCACAACCTAATGCAAATTATTTTTCCATTAATAACATATATTGTGTTATAATTGTTACTATAATTGTTTGCCTTTTTGTGTGATATCCCTAAAACTTTGAGTTTATGACTCAAAGCTTTTTTTCTACATATATATTTTTAAGTCACAATTTTTTTTTTAAGAAAAGGAAAGAAAAGGGCTGGGAAGGTGGCTCAGTGGTAGAGTGCTTGCCTCACATGCATGAGGCCCTGGGTTCGATTCTTCAGCACCACATAAGCAGAAAAAGCCAGAAGTGGTGCTGTAGTTCAAGTGGTAGGGCATTAGCCTTGAGCTGAAGTGCTGAGGGACACAGCATCCAAGCCCAGAGTCCAGCCCCCATGACCAACAAAAAAAAATAAAATAAAAGAAAGAAAAGAAAAGGAAAGAAAAAGAAATCCCTACTTAACTAATAAGAAACTAGGTTCAGAGTTTCAATGCAGCAGATGGCTGACCAACTGCAGCATTCCCTGTAAGGAAAGGGGTTAGCAAGTAACTGACAGCCTTTGTAACTTGTCCACCAGAGGCTGAGAGACTGTCAAGCTGATTCTCCAAGTGTGTATGCTGTTTGGGGCAGCACTGGGGAGGTCCTCAAGCCTACATCTTGTTTCTACTTTCCCAGAGGCTGCTGAATTTCCAACCTCCAGTAATTGTACACAATGGGTCATTGAGTCCTTTCATCTTTAAGTTGGCCAGAGTTGGTTTCCATTACTTAAGTGCATGAAAAGGGGTAATGTCTGAGTTCTAGAATACAGAACTCTTCGTTAAACCCTCTTATCCAGCATTTATTGATCACCAACTGTTTGAAAGTTAATATATCAGAGCTGTGATGCCAGGACCAATTTTAACCAAGAATAAGACACAGTAAGGTTTATGATCCTCAATAAATGTTTACTGAATTGATGTTAAATTAGGGAGACCACTGATGATTTCTGGGGGGAAAATGATTATACTACAAATAATGCTTTAGAAAGAGCACTAACATCACAGCTTCAGGAATATTAAGTTTCCTGAACATTCTTCTTCTGTTTCTAACTAGACATTAACCAGCACATTTTACAAAAATACAAAGTTTTGTTCCAATGTAAAAATGGCTCAGTGTGTTAAATAATTTCATCCTCTGGTCTGGATCTAATTATCTCAGAACTAACAATTCTACACTCTGTATTATAAATGAGAAACTCAAGCTAAGTGATTTCTTGTTAGTCCTCCAGTGAGGACAACCTAAATTTCACTGAATGAATGTTCCTTATAAGACATTCTCCCACACAACTTAGAAAAGCTATACTATATAAACTTTGTTTTCTCAACAGAGAAATGACAAAGTATGAAGTTTTCCATAAACACCATTACCTAAATTGGGGAACTTAATCATTAAAAAAAAAAAAATTCGAAAGCCTGCTACTGCTATTTACATGACCGTATGAAGTAATACTTGTAAAAACTAATTTTTAAAATTAAATGCCATGTTGAAAAAGTCAAGTGAAAAGAAAAGAAAAAAATGTTACCCAAACTAGCAAAACAAAGATACGCTTTTTCTTTTATTTCCTTAGAGGAAATAAGAGAGAGAAAACCAAAGAAATCAGCAATAAGTGTACACGTAATTCGCAAGAATCACAACGATGGACTAGGAAAACAGAAAAGGTCTGGGTTTTTTTTTTTCATGCCCCTGTCTGTAGAATAACTAGTGAACTCAAGAAACTTTCAGACTTTTGAAAGCGGGGGGGGGGGGGGGGGGGGGGGTCAGACAGAGACAGAGACTGGAGGGGTGAGGGAGGAAGGGAGAGAGAGGAAGAGGGAGGGGGAGGGAGAGGGAGAGAGGGAGAGATCCGACAACTAACTCACCGCGAAGCTCGAGAGCACCTGTTTGCAGGTGTGCTCACAGGACCTACAAGTGCAAGCGTGAGCCTGCAAACGCAGTTGACCCTAGGTGCGAAAGCACCGCGAGCCGAGGCCCCTGCCCCGGGGGAAGCCTGGAAAGAGGGAGAGCAGGTGGGGTGCGGCCTCGGCCCTGGGACCCCCACCCACGCGGGGTGCGGCCTCGGCCCTGGAACTCCACACGAGCGGCCGCAAACCCCTCCCGCCGCGCGCTCCCCGCCGGTACTCACAGCTCGGGTCTCGTACAGAACCAGCTTCTGCACCGAGCTGATGATGGGGGCCGCGGCCGTGGGCATGGCGGGGGACACAAGGGGCCCCACAAGAGGGCGCTAGGCCGCGGCCCAGGCGGTGGCAGCTGTCGCCCCGCCCCCAAGAGACAGCGAGAAGACACCTCAGATTCTTCAGAACCCTCAAACCCCGCACACCAGCTCCAACTGAGAAACTCGCTCCCCTCACTAAAGCTGTCCAGGCCACCCGCAGGCGCTCAGGCGTTTCCGGATTCCTCGCCCCGCCCTCCGACAAGCCCCGCCCAGGAACGAAGGGGCGGAACTGGAGGGCATACCATCGAGAGCTTAGTGTAGAGAGGCTCTCAAGACCTGCGTACTGCTGGGGAAGGAAGCCGGCGGCGCCATGTTTGTTGAGGGCGAGAAAAAAAATGCGGGTGGAGAAAAACCTGAGAATTCGTTTTCTAGTTCCGCTCGTCCCGAAGGAAAAAAGGGGGGAATATTTAGGATTGGGTTGCTCCTCTTGAAGCAGCTTCCCCATGGTTCAGAATACACCTGTTCCTAGGCAGCTCTTTGTCTTCCTTTGCATTCGACTTCTGCCATATATTCAACTTCTGGCAGAAGTTGAATGAATATCTATGTTTGTATATATATATATATATATATATATATATATATAAAATATATGTATATATTTCTTCCCTTGCATTCAACTTCTGCCATATATAATACATATTATATATACATACATTCAACTTATATACATTCAACTTCTGGCATATATTATTATAAATTACATATAATATGTAATATATAGCAGAAGTTGAATGTATACATATATGAACGTATGTGTGTGTATATATATATATATATTCCCCCCTAGAAACTTGCAATCTGGCTGTCCTTCACTGAGTACTGTGGTTTCTCCCATCCTCCTTTCGTTGCATACTTTATTCTTAGGAGAGTCTTAGTGTATAATGACTATATGATCCTAGACATTTTTCTTAATTATCTCAGTGTGGATAAGTTGGAGTTTTCCACGTTTTGTGCGTAAGACTAACCATCTGTAAATTCTAAAATAGGACTGTAGTGCAAAGGGAGAGGAGGGTAGTGGTAGCCATTTAATGTACAGGGACATAAATGGACAACGCAACATCACTCTCCACACTTATGCAAAGAGTCTATAATGCCTATGCATACACAATTAGATACAACAGCAAATTATTTCGAATAAAAATGCACAGTGAAAGGCAGCCCCGCCTGCTGAGGCCCCGCCCTCGGGGAACCTGAGCTCAGCCGGCGGGTTTCCACAGCAACCGCCCAACAGATCCCAGAGCCTGTGCTGGTGGCCGCTGAGGGGTCCGCTGGGGACAGGTGAGTGAAAGAACGCGTTACCCGGTGCCAGGGGGGTGTTGCCCGCCGCCCGGAGGGACTTGTTACTTGACCGGCCTTTGAACAGAATCTCACTTTCTGCAGGGACCCCCCCCCCACGCCCCTTGCCAGTTACTTTTCTTGCAAGATCTTTTTTCTTGCAAGATCTTTTCATGAAACTCCCTACCCTCCCCACTCCACCACCCCCCTTTTTGTTGAGGTACTGAGGTTTGAGTGCTTATTACATAAATCCACTTTCAAAGACTAATGTGAGATGTCCTGGAGTGGCGGCTAACCTATCTAAGGGAAAGTATTGGGTTTCCCATCAATGCCTGTAAACCTCAGAATCCGCCACTAGAGATGTCTCAACAGCAAAAAGTAATAAACATTTAATAATAATAATAATACTTTTTGGTTTGCCCGTCCTGGGACTTGAACTTGGCTTAGATGCTGTCCCTGGGACTTGAACTCGGCTTAGATGCTGTCCCTGAGCATTTTTTCCCCCAAGCTAGCGCGCCACCATTTAAGCCACAAAGCCACTTCCAGCTTTTTCTGTGTAGTATGTTGGAGTTAAGAATCTCACACACTTTCCTGTGTGAGCTGGCTTCGAACCAAGATCCTCAGATCTCACGTTCTTGAGTAGCCAGGTTTATGAGGATGATCCACCAGCACCCGGCTCAAAACAAAAATTTTTAATTAGCACATAATAAAATGTTATTAGCTGTTATGTTGAAGATTCGGAATTGAGAGATTACAAACTTTCTAAAATAAATATATAGTAGTGATTCTTTTATAAAAGACCTACTTTGTTACTGATTCACTCTAGCAAATACTATGAATTGAAAACTTAGTTTTTATAGATAAATGTTTAAAATTGTGGCTTATGGGCTTACAAACCTACTTAATAGCTCGGAATAGCAAAACATTTCCGAAAATATTTCTGAATATATTCTTATAAGCGTAAGTATTACAAAGTGAATATGTGTAAAAACTACTTTTGGATTTTTCTACATATATTTAACCAGCATTACCTAAAATGTGAAAATATGCCAGGTGCCAGTGGCTCACCATCTGTAATCCTAGTGCTCAGGAGTCTGAGATCTGAGGCTCCCGGTTAAAAGCCGGCTCAGGCAAGAAAACTCATGAGATCCTTATCTCCATATTACTACCCAAAAAAGTGAACCTATGGCTCAAGTAGTAGAGGGCTAGCATTGAACAAAAAAGCTCAGGGAAGGCTTATGCATGAGGCCCTGGGTTCGATTTCTCAGCACCACATAAGCAAAAAAGAAAAAAAAAACGGAAGTGGCGCTATGGCTCAAGTGGTAGAGCGCTAGCCTTGAGCTGAAGAGCTGAGGGACAGTGCCCAGGCCCAGAGTTCAGGCCCACGACCAGACCAAAAAAAAAGCTCAGGGACAGTGTCCAGGTCCTGAGTTCAAGCCCCAGGACCAGCACACAAACGCACAAAAAGAAAAACAACAACAAAAACAGGGCAAATATGACTCCAATAGATTTAGCCAGCATTTTTTCTATTTCTGGTAAAATTTATATACACATATGTACATATAACAGACTTAACTTTAATTTGATCTTCCATACAGGACACATATTAAATATGCATATTTGTACATATTTTCTTCTTAGTCCTTTGGAAGCATAGTCTTTTGAGCTCTTTTTGATGCAAGACATAGGTTAGATTTTCTCTCTCAGACTAAGGGCCTATTATTATTTTAATAGGTGAATTTAACTTATTTGCAGCTACTGACAAAACCCATGTATTTCATGATATGAAATTGCTTATGAAGTAATACAGCTCTCCCTAGCCTGTCTGCTCCAACCAAATTAGGCACTTAAATAATTTGATTTTTTTCTTATTGTAGTATTGCGTATCATGACTTCTCAAGAGAATACAGAAGAACTTCCTTTTGCAGATATATTTGATGAAGATGAAACTGAAAGGGATTTTTTACTTTCCAAACCTGTTTGCTTTATTATATTTGGGAAACCAGTAAGTTATCTTTTCTCTTATTTATTGTAATTTTATTTTTAATGAAAGTATGTTAATTTGTTGAATATCCAATAGATCTTCATTTGAAATTTAATATAATATTTGTTTAAATTTATAACTTTCTTAAAACTCCAGTTAAAAGGGAAATTGGATTGTATTTATATTTGTTTTTAAATGGAAATTTTAACATATCAGAACATTGCATAAGGATACCAACAGTTTGAAATCTAAAGTGACATCAGACAAATTTCATCTAAGACTTTCTTAGAAATTTGCTGTGAATCTGGATTTTTGAAGACATGACACTATTAAGATGAGTTGTTTCTATTAATATCTGAAGACACTATGGGGAACCATTACCATTACAGGACTGAGTTGGTTATTTCAAAACCTTCTCCAGAAGAGTAAGGATCAAGAGTTGCATCCCATCCTTAATTTTATAAGAAGCCTGAGACTGGTAGCAAGGAATATTTCCAACGATTTTCACTGTGTTTCTAAACACAACATATTGTTTTGTTTTAGTTGTTGTTGGCAGTAAAAAGGGTTTGAACTTAGGGTCTTGTGCTTGCTCAGTTTGCTTAGTGCTCTATCACTTGAGCCACACTTTTGCCATGCCTTTTAAAAAGCTGGTTATTTTGGAGATGAGTCCAGAGAACAGTTTCTACCAATGTTGGCTTTGAACTACAATCCTCCAGATTTCAGCCTACTGTGTAGCTAGGATTACAGGTGTGAGCCACCAGCACCTTTCTCATAATACTATTTAAAAAGCCAACTTTGAAAGCAACTAGATGCAAATGTTACTTCATAAAAGTGACATTTATTTTTTAAGTATGATGTGAAACAAAGGTATTGTTAAGAAAGGTTTATTTGCTCTTGAAAATTATTAAATATATGTCTTTCAAAACACTCATTTTCTTTTCAGAAAAAAAGAAAATGATAAATATCAATATATTTTTCAATCACAATCAGACTTAAAATTTTGGCAATCAAAAATAATTGGCAATCAAAGGAATGAAATATCATAATGGTATAGTTTCATGATTTGGGGTATAACACTCCTGATTTTATCAATTTTAATTTTTTTTATTCAGTTCACATCAGGAGGTGTAAGCAAGAATTGGAGAAAATAAAGTGCTAACTATATAGGGTTTACTTTCACTTTTATGGGAAAACGGTCATATATTAATAACCATCATCAGATGGGATATGTACTTCCCTAAAAAATTACTGTTCTATTCGATTTTAATTGACATTTCTCTTTTTAAGGGAGTTGGCAAGACAACCTTAGCTCAACACTTGGCCCAGGCATGGAAATGTATTCGTGTTGAAGGTAAGTATTTCATCTTTTCCTCTCAAACTTTTATTATGAAAACCTTCAAATCTGCATAAAATGGAAATGATTGTGCAGTGAATATCCATCTACCCAAGTTCTCACCACCTAGAGCACTGAATTAACACTGTGTCATATTTGTTTTATCAGAGCTCTCTATCAACCCTGTGAATATTAATTAACCTTTTTTTTGTTTCTTTCTTTTTTTTTTTAATTGTGAAAATACTGTGCCGAGGGGTTACAATTACATGGGCAAGATAGTTAATTAACCTTTTAAAAGCATCAGTGCAATCAGGTTTTGCTCATCTTTTTTTTTGGCGGGGGGGGGGGGGGGGGTGTTGGGGGGGGAGATGGAGTGGGGGTGAGGGGAGTTTGCAGGGCTTGAACTCAGAGCCTGGGTGCTATTTCTGAGCCTCTTTGTGCTCAAGGTTAATTCTCTACCACTTGAGTCACAGCACCACTTCCAGTTTTTAAGTGGTTAATTGGAGTTGAGTCTCCTGGGGACTTTTCTGCACCAGCTGGCTTCAAATCACAATCCTCAGATCTCAGCCTCCTAAATAGCTAGGATTACAAATGTAAGCCACCAGCATCCAGCTGTTTTGCTCATATTTTAGTCCTACTTTTGTTCATAGAATTTAGGAATGTTTATTTAACATCTCTGATTCCATAATTACTGGCTCCAATTCTCTGATTTTGTAATTTAGAACTATGGTGTGTGTGTGTGTGTGTGTGTGTGTGTGTGTGTGTGTGTGTGTGTGTGTGTGTGTGTGTGTGTGTGTGTGTTGAGTCTTATCAAAGATGAGAGAGAACTTTCACTGCTTTTCCTGGGAAGATTTTCCAAAATTTAATTATCTTCAGTAATAAATGGTACCTTTTATTTGTAAATTTCTTTCTACGCAACATATATAAGGCAACATGTTATACATACATGCATGCATATGTACATATGTATATGTGTGCATACACATAATATTCACTACTTTAAATCAGTAAGGTTATTTCCTAATAGAAAATAAAGAATGAAAAAATCATAAAAGTAGAAATAACTAATACAAGGGCTGGGAATGTGGCTTGGTGGTAGAGTGAATTCTGGACCTGGGAGCTGTCCCTGAGCCCTTTTGCTCAAGGATAGAGCTGTATCACTTTGAGCCACAGTGCCGCTTCCTCTTTTTAATCTCAGTTTTGGGGCTTGAACTCAGAGCCTGGGCACTGTCCCTGAGCTTCTTTTGCTCAAGGAGAACACTCTATCATTTGAGCCATAGCGCCACTTCTGGCTTTTTCTGTGTATGTGATACTGAGGAATCAAACCCAGGGTTCCATGCATGATAGGCAAGCACTAAGCCACATTCCCAGCCCCCATTTTTTTTTTTTTTTGAGAGGTTAGTTGGAGATAAGACTCTCACAGTACATTTCTGCTCAGGCTGGCTTCAAACCTTAGTTCTCAGAGCTCAGCCTCCTGAGTAGCTAGGATTACAGTTGTGATCATTTTATTGTTATTTAATGTGTATTTTTTGCACTGTTAGTATAACTGGTTATAAAAGGATCTGCAGTACTAATACAAGTATATACTTCACAGGATATTTTGCAATTTACAAATCACTGTCATATATACTTCAATTTATCCTATATTATGCAGAGCACATATTTTCAAGCAACAGAGATGTTTAGGGTGGTAACTCTACCAAGAGTCTTCAGCTAGTGGAATGACAGAAACAAGTTTTCTATGCAGCACCTACTTTGTTTAGGCTTAAATAACACTAATACACAAAAAAAAGAAGTAATACACAAATGTTCATCTTTGCTCTTAATTATAAGACTCGAGACATGTTCCTTATTTTCCAATCCCAATTCAGTTTATGTTCATGTTTTTAATTCATGCTTTAGCTTTACCAGTATTAGAAGAACACATTTCTGGTGAAACGGAATCAGGAATTATGGTGAGCAAACCTAAATTTTAAAAATTACCACAATTAGGAAACAAAAGCTCTCTCTCCCAGATCTACCACGCAGTAATGTACAATGTCTGTGCTTGTTCTTAGTTGCAATCGATGCTAGTCAGCGGTTACAGCATTCCAGATGAAATTGTCATAAAGCTAATGATAGAGAAGCTCAACTCCACAGAAGTCTCTCATTTTGGTATGTGGTATGTTCATTATCACATCAGAGATATCTACTACAGAGATCATTATCACATCATTATCATATCCGAGATAAAAAAAAAAAAAAAAACCCGGGATGCCTCTTCCTTGTGCCTTCCAACTAAAATATCAGTTTCATTGTCAGTTGAGTTTAGATGATTTGTTTGTTGATTTGCTTTATAATCCAGAGTCCACTTGTGCTCAAAAGGAAAACTTAAATTTACGTGATCCAATCTTACTTAGCATTGTGTTATCTGATGAAAGCCTTAAAAATGTTTGGCGTCCATCTTACAGTGCTTGCAGCCTCTGTTGCCTGCTCCTGCCTTCAGTTAACACTGAGTCTTGTTGATGATTTGGTTTCTCTGCATTAATCCTCAATTGTAAGATTACAATGCCACCAACTTGCCTCTGCCTCAGATACTGACAGACTTCAGCCCTCTCATTCAGTCCACTTTCTGACTTTGGACTCAAAAAGTCTTCCTCTACTCAAATAGATGCTAAGAAAGAGCTGTGGATATATAATTTTGCCATACAAAGATCACTGAAGTCTGACTCAAAGAAAATGACTCTTAAGACATTTTTAAAAGAAAGGAAGAAATATAAATATGGACCTTGGGAGAAAATCATCCACCTGATTTGTGGAATTTTGTAATCTTTCCTTTTACTACTTCTATGGCCCATTGGTCAGTCAAAAATATATTATTTAGTCTCCATGTGCTTGAACATTTCTGTAGTCTGTCTTGCTGTCGATTTTGTTCTCTTTTTATTCTCTCTTTATTCTCTTTCAGTCTGATCTATAGCAGAAGTTATTTCAGTTTACTTGTACTATTTGAGAATTGCTTTATGTCCTAAAATACGATCTATTTTGAAGAAAGTTCCATGAGCACTTGCAGTTTTTGGATGGATACTCTGCAGATGTTTGTGAAGTTCATTTAGTTGGTAGAGCCATTTAATTCTGAAGTTTTGGGTTTTTTTCCTGGATAATCCATTGGTAAGATAGACACTATTGCTCTACGGGGTCTACTCATCCTTTTTAGTATTTGTTTTATGAAAGTGAGCACACCAATTTGTATATGTTTACCATGCCCTTTGCTGCCTGAGTTCTCTGCTGTTTAAACTTTTCAGCAGATCCGTGTGAGACCCTCTTTTTCTCCACAGTTACTTCTAGTTTTCTTTGTCTCTCTCTTTAAATGTTATTCTTTGTTGAAGAAACTGGTTAACTGTGTGTAGTTTATACATTCTGAGTTTGACTAATGGCATCTCCTGATATAATTTAATATATTCCTATGCCCTTAGTATTCACTGTACACTTGTATCTTCCCTGTGAGCTGGCACTGCAAAATGGTAGAAATGATATCTTAAGTCTGAGGGTCACATTTTCAATGTGCCCTTCCTGTAGGATGCATAACTGGTTCATTAAAGGTTGAAGTGGAGACAGGGTTTGGATTCCTTTCTTCCTAGTCTCTCCTACCCATCCCATAGCATTTCCAAAGGAGTTTTGGGGTTGTTGTTGTTGTTGTTTTTAACACTATCACCTTGCTAAACACAGTTTGAAAACCTGTGCTCAAATTCCCATGATAGATTTGATATTTGGTCTTAGCAAGACCAAAACTTTTGGTCTTAGCAAATAAGCTGGTTGATGTGACTGAAGTTAAAGGGTTTTTTTTGCCAGTCATGGAGCCTGAACTCAGGGCCTGGGTGCTGTCCCTCAGCTCTTCAGCTCAAGGCTAGTGCTCTACCACTAGAGCCACAGTACCACTTCTGGCTTTTTCTGTTTTATGTGATGCAGAGGAATAAAACCTAGGGCCTCATGCATGCAAGGCAAGCACTCTACCACTGAGCCACTTTCCCAGGCCGAGTTAAAGGTATTTTAAACTGGGGTACTGAGTCAGAGGTGAAGTGAGGCTGAATGAAACTGAAATCCTTAAAGAGAGATATGTGTTGCTAGGAGCACTGTACAGTGTTACCAGTCAATCTTATTTTTTTTTTCTGTACCAAAGCCCATTTATTCTTTGAGACTGTCATTAAGAAGGATCTACACAGCCTTTTCACTTACAATCCATTGTGCTATTTTGGCCTTTAAAAAAAATCAATTTCTGGAAACCATATGTTCACCTAAGAAGAGAAGACAGAATGAGTGCCTGGGCATGCAGACTCCCTGTTCTGTTTTTCCTACAGAATTCTGGAAACACTCATTTTCCTCAGTGAATGATGGACAGCCTCGGGCTAGGTCCCTCCAACCCCCAGATGTATCTTATTGTGAATGGTTCTTACAAGTCAATAGTCACCAGTATACTCATGTCAGGTTGGCCTGAAGTCTGATAGGTACCAGGTCTGGCTGGGCACAAAGCTACCTAACATACTTATCACCTTGATCTGAAAGCAATAACCATTTACTTACAGTTTTAGAGAAATAACAAATGCCTCTTCCTTCTTACTGTGCCAAGAAATAGAGTCAAAGTAAGAGCGTGATCTGGACCAGTTGATAACCACTGAGTAGGAATCTGGACAGTCTTTCAGTTTTCTAGTGGTTGGGGTGATGATAGGCTGGACCATGACCTACAAAGTACGACTCTGCCTAGGCTAGTGTGCACAGTCTCCCAGTAAGGACTTGTACCAGTCCCCCCGCCATTCCTTTATCTTCACAGGAGATAATGGTCTCAAAAGGTTTTGATAATGGTCTCAAAAAATGATATGGAACAGTAATGAATTCCTTATCTATGTTTCCATCCTCACACATTTCTGGAATTGGAGAAGTACTTATTGAAGATTGCTTATGACTGGATACAAGTTTCCAAAATTCAAATTTTCACTTAAATTGTACTATCAGCTGTTATCTTTAAAGTGACAGGCTCAAGCTGGGAATGTGGCTTAGTGGTAGAGTGCTTTTCTTGCATACATGAAGTCCTGGGTTCAATTCCTCAGTACCACATGAACAGAAAAAGCCAGAAGTGGTACTGTGGTTTAAGTGGTAGAGTACTCGCCTTGAGCAAAAGAAGCTCAGGGACAGTGCCCAGGCTGTGAGTTCAAGCCACAGGACTGGCAAAAAATAAAAAAAATAAAGTGACAGGCCCACTTCATTTATTTTTTTTTTTAATGAACACCTTCTCAAACAGCCAAGCCATGGTAATAACATAGTTTGTCAATTGTCTTTCCAAGAAAATAAATGTTCTATAAAAATTGCAGAAAAATACACTAAAGGTCTTTAATTCCCACAGTAAGAAAGTATCAAAATAATAATAATTATTATTACTTTGTTGTAAAAGTACTATACAGAGGAGTTATAGTTACATAAGTAAGGTAATGAGTGCATTTCTTGTTGAATATTGTTACCCACTCCTATGTCTTTCTCCCACTGTCCCTTCTCCTCCCCACACCTCCCTGCCAAAGTTGTACAGTTCATTTCCAACATAGTGTCTTGTGAGTATTATTGTTGCATTGGGTCATCCTGTGTCCTTGTTTCACCATTTTGTTATTCCCCTTCCCTTCCCCAAATAAGATAAAAATGTATACAAGATTCAGGGTACTAGAACAGTGATAAACCAAAGAGAAAAAGAGAAAAGAAATAAAAATAAGTACAGTGATAACAACAAGGTCAACAACCAAAAAAAATAAAAGGTATCAAAATTAAAGGAATATATTGAGAAAATTAATATAAGGATGAATTTGAGTAGGAGATTTTGGCTTCTAGGTGGGAATGCAAGCCATTAAATGTGCTGAGGCAAAAATCATACGGTTAGTACATGGGTGTTTTATTACTCTTGTTAACTGACATAAATATTACATGTATTCTATCATGAAATTATATGTCATGCAACTTTTATAATATGCCTATCATTCATCATATGGGTTAAAAGAATTACATTAACTTCTCTTCTGAGGACCTCATCTGTCTAAAATAAATTGAATATGGAATTTCTAAAGATGTCTTTTCCTCACCCCAATGAAATTTATTATCAGCAAAACATTGTTCATAGTTTTCCTTCATGTGGCAACTGTTAATTTAAAATTTCTAACACAGTTTCATGGTCTTTATCAATGTTCATTACTAACTAGATAATAGTTCATAAAGTAATAATAAAATAAATCTATGTTCTAAGATACCAATAGTGTTATAAATGACAGAAACTATAATTTATTCTACAGGCTACGTTATCACAGAAATCCCAACACTGGCACAGGATTCTATATCTACTATGCAGCAAATGGAATTAGTTAAAAATTTAAAAATGAAACCTGATATAATAATCAATATTAAGGTAAGGATATTAGTTATTTTTCTAGCATATAAAACCTTTCTTTTTTATAGTACTTAAAATCAAGGAATATTTTCAATTTTTTAAAATAGTAATGGAGGCAGTAATTTATACATCAACCATGGAGACTTATATTTTTTTCATATTTCTACACTTTCATACCTGCAGTTCTATCCACATGAAATACTTCCTTACTTGTTTCACCAAGCTTCACCGTAGCTATTGTTTGAAATTTAGCTCAGACATCCTCTCATCAGAACTTTCCATGGAAACCTCCTGCCCACTTCTCTCTCTTCTTCCCCATCCCACCTAACCACAGAAGAGCTAAATGCTGCTTCTCTGAAGATCATTCATGTTACTCTCTTCTCTCTTATCACTCACATCACTAATATAGTCCGTTTTCTTCCTAAACTTTGTTACTTAAAGGTAGAAACCATGACTTAACTCATTATCAACTACCAGACTACAGGGTAACTAGTGTCTAATACATTTACCAGTTAAATAAATCGAAAGAAAAATTATTCTGGGACAGAAATGTTAAAGAAAGCTATATGGAGCTGAGGCTGGGTCTTTTATTGTCTATTAGAATCTGATCACATTTAGAAACCTCTGTTTCCTCTACAAAGATGAGAATAGTTGCTGGATTTGTGCTAGGAATTCAGTAAGGAAATGTCGAGTTGTGTGAAAAAGAATGAATAGTTTTAACGTTCAGACACTACCTTGTTCTCTCAGAGGGTTTATGAAAGCTCAGAATATATCAGACATTTCTCAGCTCAGATGCTGATGACCATTAGAATGTGACAGTCAGCTATGAGAAAGAAGAGACCTTCTAGTGCTGAGTAGGTGAGAATCTGTAGCTCCAACCACTGCCCATAACCAGGAACCAATCCAAATCCTGAGCAAACTTGAGGATTTCACACATAAAAGATTGTGTTCCTAATTGAAAGAGAAGATTATCTCAATTAACTTGAGACCAAATATAAAGTCGAAGTCGTGGAAAATATAGATTAAATAAATAAAAAATCAAAAGCTGGTAGAGAGAGAGAGTATACAGATCTTAGACTAAAATCCCTAAATACTTACTAAATTTGAATCCAAACTTTGTTATAATATGACTGGTTTTATCAAAACATTTTCAGTGCAAAGGCAAGCCATACCTCTAGAAAAACTAAACTCCCATTCGAAATGAGAGGAATATGAAACTGCTTGATGTAATGAATGAAAGTCCTTCATGTCAGAAATGGGCTAGTGAGAATGCCATGCTGTTTCACTGTGCTTGCAGAGTTCCAATGCAATCAGAGAAGTTGGGTAAGACACAGCCCAGTGAAATACACATTTCTCTAATGGTTTGGCTTTATTTGTGAGAAAAGCCTGGAATTTCCGGAGCAGAATTTCTTAGCTTGGGCTCTTTGAGAACTTGAGCATCCATAAGCCCCCTGAAATTATATACAAAATTTCTGGTGTATTTGTATTTTTAAAAAATCATATCCCCTTGAACATTGAGATGGTATGAAGAATCACAAAATGAACAAGGAAAGTTCCTCCATTGCTCGTTTCACAAAATTGATTGTCATCAGAATCACTAAGAATGTTTGTTTAGTTTTCTGTTTTGGGGTTTGGAGTTTGAGAAGGGTTTATTTCTGTTTTTGAGACTGGATCTCACTATTTAGCCAAGCTGACCTTAAACTTAGGATGCTATGTCTCAGCTTCTTCAATTCTGAGATTATAGATATGTGCCACCACACTCAGGATGCTTGTGTGTGTGTGTGTGTGTGTGTGTGTGTGTGTGTTGTATGTGCCCGTGCATGTGCATGCACGTGTGGATGCCCCGTGTCAATCCTGGGACATAAACTCAGGGCCTAGGTGCTGTCTCTTAGATTTTTAAGGCTAGCACTCTACCACTTGAGCCACAGCTCCACTCTAATCATTTGGTATTTAAATGCAGAGATAAATGGGCTTTCCTGCCTGGGCTGGCTTTTAATCTTGATCCTCAGATCTCTGCCTCCTGTGTAACTAGGATTACAAGTGTGAGCTATAAGTGTGCAGGATGCTTTTTAAATAGCTAAGGTATCCAATCTTAATAAACTACAAAGGAGAGAAGAAATTTCTAACAAGCTCTCCTGATGAGTAATATACAATTGTACCCTAACTGCCATAAAGTATCATCCAGTGTATTTAATACTACAAAACAGCATTTATACCCCAAAGCATTATTATTAATTAATACAGTGCCCAGAGAGTACAGGCATAGATCAGAAGGCCTCTATATGATATTGTGGTCTCCTAACTGGCTTTAGTCACAACATTAGATTTCTTATTTTTAAAGGATTAGTTGTAAATTGAATGAAATTGGATGTAAGAGTGCACTTCAAGACAAGAAATTTATTTGTAGACTTTAGTTTTGTCTTTCCTTACTATATGGACTCAATTTCTTATTTCTAAAAGTTAAAGGTTATATTTTTAGAATAGATGATTTTTCAGGTCCTATTCCTGACAGACATTTTATGAAGTACTTTGCCAAGAAATCTATAAATAATAATAATTTGCAAATAGACAAGATTAATATTTTGTTGGAAATATGGATATTCCCCATTTTCCTTCATTCCTAGCTTTATACATGTTAGAATCCTCGTGGAAAGGTTATTGGCTAAACTGATTTCCTGTTCTCTTTTTCTACTCCTTCTCCCATTCTTCAAACAGAATGAATTCTTTCTTCAATTTATAATTTCCATTTTCTCATATAAATTTCAGACAAAAATGTTGGCATGGCACAAAAGTTGTATATTATTCCTTCTTTAGTATTTTATAAAATCTGATCAAATTGCCTGTCACAACATTGCACATGCTCAAGTTTAAAGAAAATTTTGGTTTATCTATTGCATAATATGTAAATGGGAAATAAAAGTATATTCAAAATGTAAATAATGTAATAATGTTGTTCCTTAGTGCCCTGACTATGATTTATGCCAAAGAACTACTGGGCAAAGACAACACAACATTACAGGACATATATATACTAGAGAGCAGTGGGACCCTGAAATCATTGAAAGCCATAAGAAAAAGAAGAAAGAGACCCAAAAAGAAGGAAAAGCTGAAGAGGAAGAAGAAGAAGAAGAGCAAGAAGAAGAAGAGGTATTATCTCAATAGTTCAAACCAAATACTATACTTTCAAATCCACTGTAACTAATTTAAATGGCAATATGAATAAGAGCAGGTACTAGCAGAAAAAATCCAAGGTCACTCTTTTGTTGCTATAGAGGACATGAAGCAGCAATCAAGGCTGTGTGTATGTGTGTGTGTGTGTGTGTGTGGTTTTGTTGTTGTTGTTGTTGTTTATCAGTCATGAAGCTTGAATTCAGGACCTGAGCTCTGTCCCTGAGCTTTTTTGCTCAAGACTAGCACTTTGAGCCATAGCTCCACTTCCAGTTTTTAGGTGGTTAATTAGAGATAAGAGTCTCATGGACTTTCTTGTCCTGGTTGGCTCTGAACTGTGATCCTCAGAACTCCAGCCTCCTTAGTAACTAGGACTGCAGATATGAGCCACCATTACCCAGCCCAAGGCTATTTCTATAGGATTTAACTTTGTCATTTTATTTCAGTAAGTATTAATAGTTTGTTTTGTCATACTGCTTGCTTCCTCACTATGGGTTAAATAAATGTTTAATATATTCTTTCATTTAAAATTGTTAACATAAGCCAGGCACTGCTGGCTCATGCCTGTAATCCTAGCTATGCAGGAGGCTGAAATCTGAGGACTGAGGTCCAGAAAGTCTGAGACTCTTATCTCCAATAAATCGCCAAAAAAGCTAAAAGAAGAGCTGGGGCTCAAATGGTAGAGTACTAACCTTGAGCAAAAATGATCAGGGAAAGCACCAGGGCTGAGTTCCAGACCTAGGACCAGCAGATAAACAGATAGATGATAAATAGATTGATAGACAGACAGACAGACAGACAGACAGACAGACAGACAGACAGACAGATAGATAGATAGATAGATAGAGTGTAGATATCTCTCATTAATCATCCTTACACGGTGTACAAGGCTAGAGACTCAGCCACACCAGCTTTCTAGCTAGCCGTCACATATCCACTTAACGCATACTGTTCTCATATCCTTGGACTGTTTTTCCCTTCCTTCTTTCCAGTTTCAATTCAAATGTCACTCATTCAGAAAACCCTTTTATGATCTCCTGGTATAAAAATAGAATCTTCTCCGATTACTCTCACCTTTACTTTTCTTCCTCATACTTAGCCACCACCTAATATGCATATCATATATTTGTCTATTTGTTGATGCTGTCTTCCCAATGGCAATGTAAGCTCTATGAGCTTTGTGTTCACGTTTGATCCCAGGCTCCTAGAACAGTACTGGGGAGAAGGTAAGGACTCAATAACATTTACTGAATAAGGAATGAAAGTGTGAACTCTAAGTTCAGGTATTCAAAGAAACTACAACTTTGTCTTTCAAAAAAAAAATAAGATCTAATATTTTTTCTCCACCTTTCCTAATTTGTTGGAAAGCAAATAATAAGTATCCATATCAACTTAAAACTTTGTTTTGTCTAATAAAAACTCGTAGCTCAATCTATCTTAAATAAATATTCACTGTCTGAGCTTCTTCCTTTTGCATCTTACCATAAAATGTCTTTTAGACATAGGAGGGAAGAATGTGACCTGTAAAGTGGATAATCATTGAACTAAAGATAATGTCTCTTTTTCCCCCCACTTAGACATTTCTTGCTGAAATGCAGGTGGTAGCTGAAATTCTCCACCATCTAATTCAAAGGCCCGAGGATTACTTGGAAAATGCCAAAGAAGTTATCAGACTTTATAAGGAAACAGTTCTTCATGCATTAGAAGTAAGAACAAGATAGCTTTCTTTTAAAAAGTGGAATGGAGCTGTTTGTAGTTTATCTATAGAGAAATTATTTTCACGTCTTCATCTCTGTTGACTGTTGGTTGGATTCTTCTCTTAAACTTGGTAGAAAACTTACAAAAAGGTTTCCATCCCAAAGGCTCTTTTCCACAGCCATATGATTTTATTCTTAGAAGGTAACTCAGTAGGGGAAAAGTGACAAATTAACTGCAATTTAAAAACGTTACTAGGGGACCTCAGGTAATGGTTTGGGGTAGAAAATGTATGTTAAGAGACTATCTTGCCAACAAGTTAACTTTAAGTATCTCGTCTCAGTGCAGTAAGATTCTGATTTGTGTATTCAATTTTCCCAGTGATTTCAGATTAAAATTATGTTGTTACCTGTAGGAAACAATGGCTGAACACAATCCTCAGTATCTTGTTGAGCTAGATGGAAATAGAACACCAGAGGAGCTCTTCACAGTGAGTACAAGCTCAATGAGAATATCTCATGGTTGGAAATTTTAGAACTTTTGACAGCATTACATTTATATTAATACACAAAAATATATTTACATTTTGGTACTATACATTTTGAAAATTTTGTCTTAACACATTAACATTCAATTTGATATTTGTTTGTGTTCACATGTATATCAAAATTACATTGCAATTTAGAATTACATTATAAAGCCAGGTGCTGGTGGCTCATGAGTATAATCCTAGCTACTCAAGAGGCTGAGATCTGAGGATTGAGGTTCAAAGTCAGCCTGACAAGGCAAGTCCATGAGATTTTACCTCCAATACTACTAAAACAGCAGAAGTGGAGCTGTAGCTCAAGTGGTAAAGCACTAGCCTTAAACAAAACACCCCAGGCCTGAGTTCAAGCACCCCCCGCCAAATACATTATGACATAAAATGCCTCAAAGAAAAGCAAAAGCAGGGGCTAGGAAGGTGGCTCAGTGGTAGAGCGCTTGCCTTGCGTGCTCGAGGCCCTGGGGTTGATTCCTCAGCCCCACATAAGCAAAAAGAAAAAAGCCGGAAGTGGTGCTGTGGCTCAAGTGGTAGAGTGCTAGCCTTGAGCTGAAGAGCTGAGGAACAGAGCCCAGGCCCAGAGTTCAGGCCCCACGACCATAAAAAAAAAAAAGAAAAAATAGAAAAAAAGAAAAAAAAAAAGAAAAGCAAAAGCAAATGCAACCAATAAATGCATAAGATCATCAGTCATTAGAAAAATGCAAATCAAAACCAAAACGCAATACTATTTTATTGCAAGTGTACTTGCTTGAAATAAAAATAATTTGGTTCTTTTGTTTTCTGCTGTTGTTTTTATCTTAGTGTACTGTATGCAGTTAATTCTTTTTTCTTTCATTTTCCCCTTCAGTTTACCCCCTGTTGTCACTGGTTTTTGCTTTTGGTACTCTTTGTATTGTATATAAGTTTATCTTATTCGGGGATGGGAAGGGGAATCATAGAAATGGTGAGACAAAAGATAAAGGATGAACCAGCCAAAGCAACTGTGATACTCACAAGAGATTACGTTGGATATGAACTTTACAGGTTGGTGGGGAGGGCAGTTAGCAGAGAAGGAAAGCAGGAGAAAATGAGGGAGGGAGTAACACTGTTAGAAAAGAACTGTACTCATTACCTTACTTATGTAACTGTAACCCTTCTGTACATCACCACCTTTACAATTTAAAAAAAATGTTTCTAGAATCAAAAAAACAAGAGAATCAAAATTAGTAATAATAAAAAATGAAAAACGTGCTATTGTACACCCACTAAGATAGCCAAAGTTTAAAACATAACAACAACAACACAATAGCAAGTGTTAGTAAGAGAATGTGGAGAAATCAAAACCCAAAAGCATATTTCTTAAATATCTAATAAATACTTAGCATTATGATATACTCTAGAGATACAGATGGGAAGGAGGCAGATGAGCCTATGGATTCCTCTCCTTTTTGTCATTGTGAACATGCTATTGTAGTAGCTCATAACAGAAGGAAAAATCTGCTAAGGAGGGGGCACCTGTCTGAAATTTCTTAGATCACGAGTACTAATTAGTCCTTGAAGGCTAAGGGAGAGGTGTTGACAATGCAATGTTCTGTGCTGAGGCTAGTGTCTGTGTAAAGGTGCCAGAGGTAAGAAAGGGAAGAGCATAGGACTGGAAGATAGGAGGACAAAATAGAGTAAACTTGCACCACAATTCTAGAACTAAACAGAGGCTGTACCATGAAAGACCTGTGAATCATGTTCAGGAGTTTAGACCTCATTGTAAGGGAAAAAGGAATGGTGAACAAGTAACTCAGTAAACCAGCTCAGCGCCAGTGGCTCACACCTGTAATTCTAGCTACTCAGGGAGGGTGAGATCTGAAGATCACAGTTCAAAACCAGCCAGAATTATCCATGAAACCCATATCTCCAATTAGCCACCAAGAAACTGGAATTAGCTCTGTGGCTCAAAGTAGTAGAGCACTAGACTTGAGCAAAAGAGCTCAGGGACAGTGCTTAGTTGAAACCCTACAACTGACATCATCATCATCATCATCATCATCATCATCATCATCATCATCATCATCCAGTCTACCACAGACTGCCACATATCATCTGTATTTTGCCTGTCTTACTATCTTTCATATTCTTTGTGTTTATTTTTTCCAGATATTCCATAGAGTAGCTATATGTTTCCTAAATTATAACATAGACCTACACCTACGTAGCTTAAAATATCGGCAATGTAGTAGTCTTTTATCATTCCAGAGGACAGAAATCTAGAATCAAGGTGTTGTAGGGATGATGTTCCCTCCATAACTTCTCAATGAGCCTTGTCTCTTCTAGTTTTTAGTAGATCCAGGTATTTCATGGCTTGTGGGAGCATAACTCTAGTACTGCATCTGCCTCCAGCTTCGTATGGATTTCTTCCCTTTGCCCAACGGGACCAGAAGGAAGAAACGTGTATGGGTTGAAATGTATCCTTCAAGAGATGCATTAAAGTCCTAGATTCAATACCTGTCAAATGTGACTTTATTTGGAAATAAGGTCTTATATCCCCATTGTGACATCATATCCTCGTTGTGAACTCACATACCCATTGTGACCTCATGTTCTCTGGGCCCTCATATGGCCATTGTGACACTGCAGGTCCATGGTGACTTCATAGCCTCATTGTGCCCTCATATCACCACTGTGACATCACAACCCGATGGTGACCTCTTGACCATTGTGCCCTTATATCACCATTTTGACATCACACACCCATTGTGACCTCATATCGTCATTGTGAACTCACATCCCTATTATGACTTCATGTTCCCTAGGCCTTTGTATCACCATGGTGATATCCCAGACCTATTGTTAGTTCATACCATTGTGACTTCATGCCCAGTGACAATATGAGGGCATGGTAGCCATGAGGTCAAAATGGCAATATGAGGGCAAAATGGTCTTTGTACATGTAATGAAGTTACAATAACATCTTATTTAATTAGGATGTGTCCCAGTCCAATATAAATTCAAAAAGACTAAAATATATGAACAAAGGTGGCTATCGGATAGTAGGGACATTGGAGTGATACATATACAAGTCAAGAAACAGCAATGATGGCCAGTAAAACACAGAAAAGCTAGGAAGAAGTAGCCAGGATTCTACTCAGTCCCAGAAGCATAAACTTGAGCCATGGGTCCATCACTTTTGAAAATGTTTGAGATATCCAAATGCCCATGAATTCAAATATTTGTTCTTTTTATTTAGACAGTTTTAGAGCGACTAAAGTACCTGAACCTAAGAAGAGCAGGTGTTTTAACCAAACTTCAGAGTTCAGAGGAGGAAATGAATGACATGATGGAAACTGTAAGCCTCATTCATCGATTTAAAAATGTACACATTGTACCATAAGTTTGTAAATTCTTAGGTCTAAGAGGAAAATCAGGCTACCTTTCTCGTAAAAGGCATCTTCTGAAGAGAAGCTACAATATAAGCACAATATTCTTTTAGACACTAACCACAAAAAGAACCCAAAACTTTTGAGACAAACAAGTAAAATCAGAACAGTTAACCAAAGGAATAACAGAAGGAAAAGAAATCTAAGTTCACATGAAAATTTTAATAACACCAAAGAAAGCAAAGGCATTGAAATTCTCTATTCTGTAAGCACTAATGTGTCCCTTCTATCATTCAATCTTGTTAACTACTTTGTTGCTGGCACTGCTATGTCATGAATGTGATGGTGATCAAATGATAACTACTAGGGTATAAACTCAGGGCCTTATGCTTGCTAGATTAGTGCTGCGCTACTAGCGCCACTCCCCCAGTTCTTTTTTGCTTTTAGCTTTCTGGTAGGGTCTTGCATTTGTGCTCAGCTTTAGACACAACCCATAGCCTCTGGCATAGCTGGGTTAATAGGTTAGTGTATTGAGGTTCAGTCTCCCTAACATTTGCTCTGGTCGATCTCGAACTGCTATCCTCCAATCTCTACTTCCTGAGTAGCAGAGATTACAGGCACAAGTCACCATGCCCAGCTACAATAAGAACTTGTAATTGGGGATTTTGATTTGTTCTAAGAAGATTGTTTTTATCTACGTAAATAAAATAACAATGAGAAGGGAGGAAGGAAGGCAAGGAGGCAGAAAGGAAAAGATGAAGGAAGGGAGAGAAGAAGAGAGGGAGGGAAGGAGACAGGAAAGAAAAGAGGGAAGAGGTGACACTGTTCAAAAAGAAATTACCGGACTTATGTAACTGTAACCCCTGTATATCACCTTACAATAACAATAAAATAAAAATTAAATTAAAAAAAGAAGGACCATACCAGCATTATCATTCAAGTAAAATAATACTTGGAGAGAGATCATTATGTGATCCATATTGTTTAATCTATAGAATGTACTTAATACATTGAATTGAACACTTAAAGATGGTTAAAAGGGTAAAGTCTATGTTTTGTGTATTTTATCACAATAAAAATAATTTTGAAAAATACCTCCTTCCTAGAAGATTCCCCTGTAGCCAGGGAAGGAGCAGTACTAAGGATTGGGCAAGAGTTGTGCTCATGCTAATCAAGCTCTCTACCACTGAGTGACATCTCCAGCCTGGAACTTTAAGCAAGAAAGAACCATTTACAAGCTGGCAAATATAAAATTGATCTAGGGGGCTGGGAAGGTGGCTCAGTAGTAGAGCACTTGCCTTGAGCTGAAGAGCTGAGGGACAGCACCCAGGCCCAGAGTTCAGGCCCCATGACCAGACTTCCCCCCAAAAAAATCGATCTAGGTTACTACATGATACTTTTGAAAACTTAGGTATAGTGACTAAGAATCTGATACATTTTAAAAGCTTTTCCATATGAAAATTTCAGAATCAGGTTTTAGAAGCAGATAATAGAAAGCTCTCTGTCTCTGTTACTTTTCTTCTCCTAGATGCTACAAATTACCTGGTAAAATATAAATAAGGTTCTCTAAACCAATCTTATTAAACGTAGGACAAGTACAAAAATGCAGTCATGGAACGGGGGAAGCCAAAATTTAGATTCCAAATGATTTCTTCAGTAGTAAAGCACTATCACATTTAGAAATAAAATATTTAATCTCAGTCACATTGTCAAGTGCAGTATTCATGTCTCACAGGAAGAAGACTTGTTCCGAACTCTTGGGTCCTATAAACTTATTGCACCAAGGTATAGGTGGTACAGAAGCAGATGGGGGCGTATGTGTCCAGTGGCTTTAAAGGACGGTATGATTTTTTCAGGATCCTCAGATTTTGCTGTTAGGCAAGTAAGATTTTCCAGTGCTTCAATTTAAAACATTTGCCCAGGCGTGTTTTCAGTTGCTCATTATGACTGTATATTTTAAGCTTTCTAGGTAAAATGTACTGCCTCTCATCAGACGAAACATTGAAAAAATTTGCACTGAACCCACGTCCCTACCTTCTTCCACCTATGCCAACACCACCATGCAAATTGGTTGTATTGGGGCCTCCGTACTCAGGGAAGACAACACTTGCCAATTTGGTTGCAGAACATTACAAAGGAAAGGTAGCTATCTGACCTTGATGATAACTTATAAGGTTAAATTTGCCCTCCATTTTCTTAATTTTACACTGTCAACTGCGTAATTCATTCCTTCAACAGATTTGGGCCTCCATGTCCAGAAGCTAGAAAATTAGGCACCCCCTCCTTAAGGAAGGCATTTCAAAGGATTGGTGGATATTTTCTTAACCCTATCCCAAATATGCATATATATCAAAAGAATATTTTAAAATATAAAGCAATAAACCCATATGAACATTAAACCTCAATGAGAAAAACTAGAAAATAGTCAACTTACAACATAATAAGTGTAAATGGCCACTAAACACTAGAAAAAATAAAAAACAACACCAATCTTCCCTGATAAACAGAAAGATACTGAGAAATCAGAACTATGCCATGTTACAATCACTTTTTGATTTAAAAGATTGGGGCTGGGCAGGCGGCTCAGTGGTAGAGTGCTTGCCTTGCCTGCATGAAGCCCTGGGTTCGATTCCTCAGCACCATGTAGGCAGAAAAAGCCAGAAGTGGAGCTGTGGCTCAAGTGGTAGTGCACTAGTCTTGAGCTGAAGAGCTGAGGGACAGCGCCCAGGCCCAGAGTTCAAGCCCCATGACTAACAAAAAAAAAATTTCTTAAAGATTACTGATAACACTGAACAGTGATGTGCAGCTAAATTGGGAGAAAGTACATCCCCATATGCTATTGGTAAGAATATAACTCTTGAGGCATAGCATTGTAAATAAAATTTAGACTTGAACACTCAAGCTTCAACTATCCATCAACTATCCATCTATTTGATAGATTTCCCTAAAAAAAAAGTATATCAAAGACAGTTACATAATTAGTCATAATAGTCATTATGGCCTACTTTATACCGACATGTCTTAAAATATGTATATCTAAGTACACATATATCTAAATTCAATACCTAATGGTATTAGTATTTAGTTAACTAGTTTGTAATATATTCATCCAATGTATCTAGTAAAAATGATGATGTAGAGGTGTGTTTATTGTCACAAAGCAATGTAAGCAAGTTGAGGGAAAAGCAGATTGGAATCTAGGATTCTCAAAATGGTAATTTCCTTAAAAGACATATAGGAATCTATTTCTAAGATCTATTTCTAAATTCATTATAAAGTCTATTTCCTACCTCACAAAAATTTATATCCAGGATATGTAAATAATTCCAATTCATTTATACAATTACTTAAAAACAATTAAAAAAAAAGAATCCCTTGGGACTGGGAAGGTGGCTCAGTGGTAGAGTGCTTGCCTTGCATGCATGAGGCCCTGGGTTCGATTCCTCAGCACCACATAAACAAAAAGAAAAAAGCCGGAAGTGGCACTGTGGCTCAAGTGGTAGAGCACCAGCCTTGAGCTGAAGAGCTGAGGGACAGCACTCAGGCCCAGAGTTCAGGCCCCACGACTGGACCCCCCCCCCCCCAAAAAAAGAATCCCAACTCAAAATTAAGTGAAATTAAGTCAAAATTAAGTGAAAAGTCCAAAATTTTAAAAAGCTCAGAATTATCAGGAAAATCAAGACTTAGTCAAAACTTAAAAGATGAGTAAAATGAAGAGATGGTTAGATTGTAGAAATACTGCAATGTTCCTACTTCATCAGTAGGATGGAAATAGTCTACCCACTTTGGGAAGAGCTTGATGATTAATTATAAAATCAAAAAGACTCCAGTTCAAATGCTCATGTGTTCATACTAGCTCAAGCTTAGACATAACCCAAGTGTCCTTCAATAGATAAATGTGTAAGGACAGTGGTATGCTCATGCAATGGAATACTGCTCAGCCACAAGAACAATACTGATGCATCTCAAAAACATTCTAAGAGGAGGAAACCCTCAGAAAAGATTACAAATTGCATAATCCCATTTTTAAGAAATTCTAGAAAAGGCAAACCTGACCTATAGTGACTGAAAGTAGAAAGTGGTAGGCACCAGGATGAAAGTTGAGGAAAGGGAAGAGAAGGAAGATTAATTGCAAAGGAGCATGAAGGGGACTTGGGGGATAGTATACAAATTCTATTCCTTGATTTTGGTTCTTGCTGTATCTATATATTTAAAAACAAAAAACCTTTCAATTTATATACTTTAAGTAGGCACCTTTTATATACATACATGGTATGTATAATTAGGTATCTATTGTATATACATGTATAATTTATAAAACATGCATGTGCATATAATATGCATAGATATATACATATGTAGGTATATATGTGTATATATAATACACCGATAGTACATTAAAAATTAGCTAAATTTCTATTAAAGCCAAAGCTCAAAAATTCTGTACATAACTCCAGAGATATTATGTATTATGGTATTTTTGGAAGGTAGTATTATGGGTATTTTTGGAAGGTAGATACATGTGAGCAATGTTTTTAATCTTCTCAGTATCTTGTGCTTATGTTGATTTTCTCAACTATTCTTACAGGTAATTGATTTTAACAAACTTGTTAAACCACGTTTTGATAAATCCCGTGAAGCACTAGTAGAAAAACATATAGCTGACACTGTTGAAGCAGCTATTAAAATTGTGAAAGAAAAGTTTCTTGCAGAACTACAAGCTCAAACGCAAGATGAACTAGGTATGTGTTAAGTTTTGGTAAATTATTAAGCCTGGCTACCTAAGGGTAAGGATTTATTTTGCTTATCTTGCTCATCCATGACACCTTATATATTTGTAGATGTAAAAAATGGTTGAAGGAATAAATATACATAAATTGATTTTTAAGTCAAACCAAAACATTTTTTTCCAAAACACCTTTAATTATACTCCTTTAGGTAAAGGGGACAGGCTGAGCGCCCAGTGTCTCATGCCTGTGATGTTAGCTACTTAGCAGACTAAGATCTGAGGATTTGGGGTTCAGTACCAGCCTGGGCTGGAAAATCTATGAGACGCTTATCTCCAACTACCAAAAAGCAGGAAGTAGAGTTGTAGCTCAAATGGAAGAGCACTAGCCTTGAGCAAAAAGCTCAGGGACAATTCCCAGGCTCTGAATTCAAGTTCCAGGACCTGTATCAAGAATGGAGGGGCTTGATGTGGCTCAAGTAGTAGGGCATCTGCCTAGCAAACATGAAGCCTGAATTCAAACCTTCATATTGGAGAGAGAAAGAAAGAGAGAAAGGGAGAGGGGAGGGGAGAGAGAGAGAAGAGGGAGAGGGAAAGGGAGGGGAAAGAGGGGGAGGGAGGAGGGAAAGAAGGAAAGGAAGAGGAAGAAGAAAGAGAATTAGCAGGTCCCTCTAAATTTGAATTTTCTTATTTTGATACTCTACTTATTAGGCAGAGACTATTTGATCAGTATTTATACCTTATTCCACTCTGGTAACTAAAATAAGACCCCACCTGATTCTTAGGGAAATGGTTGTTGTTTTAGGCTTACACATCTAGCCCTGATTGTAATTACATCTTCCAATTTGGGGAATCATGACATCCAAGTTAAATGCAGGGCAACTGGAAGAACCTTAAGGAAAAAGAACACAATTGTTTGGTTTTATAGACAAGGAAACTGAGACTTTTGGAGGTTAAATGACTCAGTAAATATCATTCAATGATAGCATAGCTGAGACTTGAACCTAAATTTCCAGCCAGTACTCATCTTGCTACGTCTTTTATGTCACTAACTACGATCACATTATTCTAGAATAGCTGCCTTTTCTGCTTTTATCCAGGAAAAATAAGAGTGCTCATTTTATGACTGCTTTTGAAATTCATAGACTTGTTTGGGCAAATTTTATATCTCTAGGTGGTACTCTTGTAAGTAGTGATATTAAAATGAATATAGCTTAAACTTCTGTCTTCACAGAATAACTTTTAAAATTTTTGTTTTTGAGTGATTTTGTTTGTTTGTTTTGGTTATTTGATACAGGGTCTCACTAGATGGTCCAGACTAATTTGAAATCTTCTGCTTCAGTCTCCTGAGTACTGGAGTTATGAGCATGTATAACCACATCTGTGTCTTGATAGAATACTCTTAATGTGTGCTATGTAAGCTCTTTCTTATTTTCAGAGGTCTGGGTCCAAAGTTTTGGATTAGCTCCAATTTTAAACTATTTCAGTCACTACTTTTGGATTCCTTGAAGGCCGACAATATAATGTTATGTAATATGACTTTCAAGTACCTCAATTCTAATATGATTTTCAAGTACCTCAATTCCAAACACTCCTTTTCTTTTGTTCTTTTTCTTCTTTTCTTTTCTTTCTTTCTTTCTTTTTTTTTTTTTGCCAGTCCTGGTGCTCAAACTCAGGGCCTAGGTACTGTCCCCGAGCTTCTTCTTCTCAAGGCTAGCACTCTACCACTTTAGCCACAGTGCCATTTTTGGTTTTTTTTTAATTTGTTTATATGTACCAAGGAATCAAACCCAGGGCTTGATGCATGTGAGGCAAGCACTCTACCACTAAGCCACACTCCCAGCCCAATTCCAAAGATTCTTAAGAAAGTGTTTATCATTATGTATGGAACAATGTCTATTTTTCACTATTTACTACATGCTGAATCTCTGCTAATTTAATTGCATGTCCTATTAAATACTGATAGAAGACCTGTAGGTGTATGTCTTAATCTTCAATTCTTGTAGACAAAGAAACTAAGGATTAGAGAAGGAACTATGTAAGTTGCCCAGAATTGGATAAAGAGCAAGTAACTAGGACTCATATAAATGTCTGTGCTTTTATCCTCTATGTTTCTCAAGTGGAAAAAGCAGATAGAGGAAAACTAACTTATCCTGTTACACATTTGATATGCTTCTCCACCTGCCGTTTTTCTCTGCTCACATTTGTGATGATTAATTGTGACCTAATAGGGTATGTAAAATAACATTCATTTAGAAATAATTCCTTTTCCTAATTAAGATGTATTCACTACAAAAATTGTGTTTATAGATGTCCAATTTTGTTTTTTTCTAAATGCTGAGCCAAAATTTCAATTAACATTTACTAAATTATCTTCACTAGAGACTTGAGATGCCAACTTTTTCTTACTATGAGTGTGTATGTATGTAAACTTCTCAACTTATCTGTTGATCTTTCTTTATATTACTGCATTCATTATAATAATTATGAAATCCTTATAATGCATTTTAAATATAGTAATGCAAAAATCTCCTGCAAAGCATTTTATTTTCATCTATTTCTGATTACTAGTCTATTTGTTCCACAAAATGAGTGCTTACTATGTGCCAGGACCTGAACTAAGTGTGGAGATGCTTGTATAATTTTTTCAAACTCTTCAACAAATCCATATGGGAGGATTGTGTTAATATTATATAATAATTTTATAATATACCATTTATATAATGTGAGAGGACTCTTATTTTTACTGTTAAGTCTACTAGTGCAGACACATGAACTGTTTATTTTTATCCTGATTTTTGATTTTTTTATAACCTGTTGTAATTTCCTATATTATTTGTAGTTTTCTATATTAATAAGTTTGCTTCTAGATATTTTGCCTTTTTGTAATTCTTGAATGGAATGCTTTTTCTATAATATTTTTAACTAGTTAGTACAAGTAGATAGAAGGCTGTTTGATTCTTACATATTGATTTGTAACTAAGTAACTTATTAGCTTTCTGTTAACTTCCTTATTCATTTTCTAGTTCTGAAAGATTTTATTACTTAATTCTCCTGGGTTTTCCAGGTAGCCAGTCATATCTTTTGAAAAGAAGTACAGTTTTAAGCATATTTTTAAAATATTTTGTTTCTTTTGTTGTGTTGTTGATTTCCTTTTTGAATAACTATTCAGACCACGAGTTCTAGAATAGCGTTCAATAGTGACAGTGATAGTTTCTTGCTAGTGTTTCTTCATAAGATTAAGTGTTTTAATCTGGAATGGATATTGAAAACTACCTATATGACATCTATCAAGATTATCATAAAATTTTTGGCTCTTTGACCTATCAACTTGAGCAATCATTTTCCAACATTAAACTATTTTTAAATTTCTAAATAAATTTTATTTGGTCATGATAGATTATTCTTATAATTTACCATTATACATAATTTATTATAGTTAATAATTTAATTAATATTAACACTTATAATAAATTATTAATTTTTGTGTTGTATGTTTTAATTATATTAATGTATTAATGTCTTAATGTATATAACACTATTGTTCTTGTAACATTTGTTAGAATTTTTCTCTGATTCATAACTGTAATTGGTTTATTCTAATCTTTTTGTGCTCTATCAGGATTTGCAATCATTTTTTTCTCACTCTCTCTCTTGCTTTTTACATGAATTGTGGAGCTTCTTAAGATTTTCTGTGCTTGAAACTCTCTAAGTAGCAAAAAAAAAAAAAAAAAAAAAAAAAAGACTACATTCTACATGGCAATGTTGATTTTTGCCAGACCAGAACACATTATTTGCCTAATCATTCTGTCGTTGAAGACTAGTCTATGAGCAGGTAAAAGAATCCAACATGGTTCCCAAGAGATTACAAAAAACCAACAAGAGCAGCACTCAGCCTGCATGCCACTCAAAGATCATGCAGATGATGTAGAATGAAATTTGTGTCAATATTTTATCTTCAAAATGAAAGTTAAAATTTAAAAATTAGTCACAGATAACTTACAAATTGAAGGTGGAGACTTACTGACATGACAAATACTGAGAAATACAGACTACTAAAATGCCTTGTTATTCAAACTATTTTAAGACTGGAAAAAATGAATTAATAAATTAATTCAACAAACCCTTGAGTACAGTAAGCCCACCTTACTTACAAATTTATTATATGTATTTTTTGACTAAGTGTGGTAAAAAAAACACCATTTTTAAAGCAGCAAAATTAGATTTCAAAAACAAAAAGTTAAATGCTCACACATATATTACTCAGCTCAGTAGATGCAGCAAAGCTCTCTGTCTGTTCCACCTTATTGTTCACTCTGTTTAAATCATTGAGGGATTGATTGTTTCCACAGCTTTAATTTTGGGGAAAAAATTATACCTTTCAAACAGTAAATGGTGCCACCAACATGCAAGTTAAAGCAAGAGCATTTAAGTGATAAAGTGAAAATTTTTGTATTTAACAAGTTAGACAATGTTTATAGGAAAAAAAAATAGATCAAACATCTGCAGATCAGCAGTGAACTAAGCAGGCATGGTCTTTCCCAGTGGCAGTCTCCTTGGAGCCACTTTCCCATGGATATCAAGAGTCCTTTACAGTAGCTCTGTTAGACATGAATCTAGGCATTGTGGGTACAGAGATAAACAAGACACAGATGCTCCTGTCCTTGTGGTGCTAACATTTTAGTAAAAAAAAAGTATAGGAGTAAAAAACTGAAGCCAAATATCTATCTATCTATCTATCTATCTATCTATCTATCTATCTATCTATCTATCTATCTATCTATCTATCTATCTATCTATCTATGAAATGGAGCAGACAGTAATAGGAGCAGAAATGCTGAAGTGTCTGGATACTAAGTGGAAGCTAACCAGGCTCTTAAGAGGAAGAGCCAGGATCTTCAATGCATTTACAATCTGCAGTAATTCCTTTCACATCAAATTATGGCACAAAAATCTTAGACTTTGAAGCTTTTCACAAATTGCTTTTTCTTACTGAAATATAGGAATAGATATTGTCATGCTGCAAACTGAAAAGCCTCCTTCTGTTCTTTTTTAAGATGACTGTTTTTTTTTTTCTCAATCTGACAATATAGTTAATCCTTCTTAAAATTTAAAACATGGTAGTTGTTTTCATGTGTGCCAATACTAGGGCTTGAACTCCAGGTCTTGTACTCTTGCTTGGCTTCTTTTCTCAATGCTGATGCTCTACCACTTGAGGCACACCTCTACTTTTTGCTAGTTAATTGAAGGTACAAGTATCTCTGATTTATATACCTGAGCTGGCTTCTTATTGTGATTCTCAAATCTCAGCATGCTGAGTAACTAGGATTATAGATGTAAGCCACTGGTTCCTGGCTAAATATGGAATATGTTTAAGGTTGAATTTTACTCCAATATATTTTAAAATATAATTTGCCGATGTAGAATACTTCAAGGGTTTTAACATAAAAATACATAATAAAACAGAGGATACCAGCTAATGTGGAGCTGGTTTTCTGTGCGACAACCATTTAAGTCTCACAACAGTGCTTTAAATTTAACGATCCTCCTTTACCTAGTAGAAACTGAGACAGAAAGATCAAGCTCACTGTCCTAAGTGACATTCTAAACTCAGTCCCAGGTCTTCTGACTTTAAAGCAGAGCCTTCCAGTTACTTCACTTGCCTGCTGGGCCCCAAGCACTTTTTTCTAACACAGCCAATTATTTAATTCTAGTTGATACACCAGTAAAAGTAGCTGAGAAAAAGGAGACGGAAGAATTTCAAGAGGCAATAGATGCAAACAAAGAAGAATTACAGTCTTTGCCTTATGAAGAAGGTACAGAAAGAAATGCCCTGCTGATGCTATTGGCCAGCCCTTTCCTAATGGAATTATAGTCTCTGATAAAGTTTATTCTTTTGCTACAGCACCTTCTCAGGAATTTCCTAGAGACATGTCGGCAGAAGTCTCTGAAGAAATAAAAATAAATATCCTGGACAGTCAAGAAACTAAAGATGGTAACAGTATGAACTGCCAATAGAATGTATATGCATCTTACTTCGATTTACTTACTTCTGACCCTGTTATTGAAGCTTAAAATTACTATTAAACTTGAAAACTTCCGAAGAAAAAACTTATTTTGTAAAAGCAGAGCCTGAGCTATGTCCTGAACCTATTTTGCTCAAGGCTAGTGCTATACCACTAAGCCACAGCTCCACTTCCAGCTTTGTGGAGCTTAACTGGAAATAAGAGTCTTATAGACTTTCCTTCCCGGGCTGGCTTTAAATTGTAATCTTCAGTTCTCAGCCTTCTGAGTAGCTAAGTTTACAGGCATGAGACCTGTACCCAGCTTTGTTATTTACTCTTATAAAACTTTTCTGTTCATCTTTTAACATGTCTGAGAGCATATAGCAGTAGATTGTATAACATTATATAATTACAGTTAGATTATATCTAATATATCATTACTTAGTAGCTATAACAAACTACCTTTTTATTTACAGTATACCATTTATTATATTACTTTAAAAATAGTTTAACCCTTATTTTAAATTATTGCACAATTTTCTTATGAACAGATAATAGTCTAAACCAGTTCTACATATCAGAAATTCAAGGTACTTTCTCTCCCAGCTACTGTAAATATGTTAGTGGTTTCTTTTTACAGTATTGGGCTTTGAACTCAGGGCTACATGCTTGTTTGGTAGGTCCTCTGCCATTGAGCCATGCCTCCTTTTGGTCTTTTTGTACTGGTTATTTTTGAGAAAGGGTCTCATTCCTTGCCTGTGCCTGTGACTATTCCCAGACTGCAATTTGCCTATTTTAGCTTTCATATTATAAGTGGGATGACCAGCACATACTGACATGCCCAGTTTCTTCTGTTGAGATGGAATCTTGTGGCCTGCCTGCCTGCCTTTGTTCCTTCCTTCCTTCCTTCCTTCCTTCCTTCCTTCCTTCCTTCTTTTTTGCTTTCTTTATTTCCATCTGGCCTTACCTGGAGCTGAGCTTTATTCAGTCTCAGGCTTCTACATAGCTAGGATGACATGCATGAGCCATTATGCTTAGCTACCCATTGGGAAGGGTCTTGCAAACTTTCTGCCAAGGCTGGCAACTGAAGTATTATTTCCTTGAGGTTCATCTCTTGAGGAGCTAGGATTATTGATGTGAGCCACTGACACTCAACTTCTTGTCAACAGTGTGTTGACATAAGTACCATCATCAATTGAATGAATATAAAGTAACAATCAGATTGTTTTGCATAAAAACTCATCTCAAATTATAGTCTTATGCAAAAATATAAATAGATATAGACATAAAACATAACTTTTTCTAAATTGATTATTTCCTAAATCACACCAAGATTATTTACAAGTATCTTTCATAGTTTTAATAATTATTTAGTGTCATGTATTGATTTGTTTTCTTTAGTTTTATTTTAGATTTAAAGTTCTCATAAATTTTTCTTTTTTTTTCTTTGCCATACTGAAGTTTGAACTCAGTCTCTACCTCTTGAGCCAGACTACCCACCTTGTACACAGTTTTAAAGTGCATCTATATTTTGTCTGGATACAAAATGTGGAGTTGATTTTTTGAGGGAGACAACACTTGGCTCACCCTATTGATTCACTGGCTTCTACCTATGTGTTTTTCCTGCAGCTTGTTTCAAGCTTAGTAGTAATTAAACTGGGCCCTGTCACAAACTCATGTGTAATACACCACACAAGTGCACTCTCCCTCCCTTCCTTCCTCCCCCCGCCCCCCACGCACACACAGACTGATCACAGAAGGCAGCCCTATAGATTGAAATGTTGACAAGCAAGTGGAGCCAGGATCCCCAGCTCTGTTGTTGATTCAGTTCCCAGCACTGGTCTACAAAATGCACCATCCCCTGCAGTTCCTTCTGTGAGGAAGTGGTCCATGTGAAACTGGGAGAGTGAGTAGTATCTCCAGTTACAATGACATCCCTCCCTGTCCATGGCTCTGAGAGAGTCCTTGCTCTGAGAGTTTAGATTGTTGTCAACCTCAGAAAGAGTTGTCTTGATTATTTTTTTTAATTTTATTTTGTTCTTCAACTTAGATACACTGAAAGCACTCACACTTTTGTTACAAGTTATTTTTCCCAGGTATTATCACATATTTGACTATTTGTCATAATTCTTATTTTCGCTAAAAATTGGGACTGAGTCCTGAATGTTCTGGACCCTTACCACAATCTTCCATGGGAATTTAACTACCTGTTTCTTTAGTACTGTTCTTTAGTTGTTAATAGATGTTTGATTCACAGATGAAAAAGGAACCAGTGAAATGACTTCTCAAGACTTTAATCAAGAGCTAAAGACAGAATCAGAAGGTAAACTAATGTTTAGGTAAAGGTTGGTTCTCTTTAGACTGTACATAACACATAAGAATTTAGAAGAAGTGAATGATTTTCTTAAAAAATACTATTAGTATACAATTTACTCTATCTTCAAAGTATACTACTGTATTATAAACAACTAGATATAGGAAATATGAACATAAGAAATCAGACTACAAGTCCAATGCTTTGGTGAAGAGTAATGGAAATATAGGCAGGCTTTCTTTCTGTTCTGCCTTTTGCTGGTATGTGGCTACTAACCATAACTGATTCATAAAATGGCTGCTGGAACTCCAGTCATCATGTCAGGGAACTTAGCAGGAAGAGTATAAAATGTAGAGGACAATGTGTGACAATATCCAGCTAAGTTAACTTTCTTATATAGTTGAGAGAAAATTGCACCCCCAAAAAATCCCTCCTCCCTGAATTCTGCTCGTGTAAGGAAATTTGAGTTTTTAAGCTCAGTACATTGCTGGCCTTGACAAAAATCAGATGTCTGCTAATAAAGAAAAAGAAAACAGGTATGGGGTGAACAGATAGCAACGTGCATATTTAGCATCCTTTTGGGTGATTATTTTCTCTTCAATTCTTTTTTTAAATAATTTTTATTGAGATTAAGTGATTACATAAATTTCATAAATTTTACAGTATTGTGAGATAGTGACAGTTAAAGTCACAAACACATTTTAACTTTCACTAGACAAATTGTCATTATCATGGTCTATAATGTTTGTGAATTCTATGATCTTTGACAATACAGCTATTTCTTCCACATCGGGTGATATGTATATTTCTTTCCTTTTGTTTAGTGTCAGCTGTTCCCTCTTTCCCTCTCATTCCCTCCTCCCCATTGCTGCTCTTGAATTGCTTAGTTCATTTTCATCTATGTCCACTGCAGCTGATGGGCCCCTCTGTTGTATATTTTCCCCTGTTTCCCTCTGATTCTGTTCCCTCCTCCTAGTTTCCCTCAGATGTGCACCTATATATACCATATAAGTAGTCAAGAAAGTCATCTAGAAATGATACGACAAATTGAGTGGAGGTCCTTTGTTTCTTGAGTCCTGTTTACTTTGTCATATCTCTTTGCATTTTTTACTTAAAATCCAAAATTAGGGAGACAATATGCCATTTGTCTCTCTGCTCTTGGCTCACCTTCCTTAAAATGATTTATTCTAGTTCCATCCATTTTCCTGAGAATGCCATTATTTTGTCCTTCTAACGGCTGCATAATATTCTGTTGTATATAGGTACCACAATTTTTGGATCCATTCATCTGTAGTGAGGCATCGGGGTTGTTTCCATAGATTGGTTATTTTGAACAGTGCTGCAATGAACATGGAGGTACATGTGTCCTTGTATCCTGGGTCCTGTTGCTCAGGGTAGATGCCTGTATATAGATGCAGTATGGCTGGGTCATAGGGGAACTTTAAATTTAGCTTTCTAAGGTACCTCCAGACTGCTTTCCAAAGTGGTTGTATTAGTATACATTCCCACCAGCAATGCAGTAGGGGTCCTCTTTCTCCACATCCCCTCTAGCATTGGTCATTGGCTGAATTTAGGATGTGGGCCATTCTGACCGGGGTAAGGTGGTGTCTCAGAGTTGTTTTTCTTTGGCTTTCCTTTATAGCCAGGGATGATGAACATTTCCTCTTGTGCTTTTTTGACATTTTTATCTCTTCTTCTGAGAAGTCGCTCTTTAGCTCCCTTGCCCATTTAAGGAATGGTTTACTAAATTTGGGTGGATTAGTCCCTTGAGTTCCCTGTCTGATATATTGTTGGTAAATATTTTATCCCAATTAGTTGGCTGTCTTTCTAGTTTGGTAGCTATGTCTTTATCTGTGCAGAAACTTTTTACTTTAAGGTAGTCCCATTTGTCAAGTCTCTCTCCAATTTGTTGTGACCCTGGGACTCTGTTCAGGAAGTTCCTACCTGTGCCTATAAGTTCAAGTGTCTCTTCTACTCTGTCCTGCAGTAGTTTCAGAGTTTCAGGTTTGATGTTAAGGTCTTTAATCCATTTTGAATTGATGTTAGTGCATGGTGACAGGCTGAGGTCCACTTTTAGTTTTCTGCATGTGGCCACCCAGTTTTCCCAGCCCCAGTGGTTGAAGAGGCTATGCTTCTTCCACTGTATGTCTTTGGCTCCTTTGTCAAACATCAGCTGACTACAGGTATGTGATTTTATTTCTGGATCTTGTAATCTGTTCCATTGGTTTTCAGGTCTGTTTTTGTGCCAATAACAAGCTGTCTTTATTATTATGGCTCTATAGTAGAGCTTGAACTCTGGTATCAAGATCCCTCTGGTGGTGTTTCTTTTGCCTAAAATTGCTTTGGCTATTCTAGGCCTTTTGTTGTTCCATATGAATTTTTGGATTGTTTTCTCTATTTCAGTAAAGTATGTCATTGGAATTTTGATGGGAATTGCATTGAATTTGTATATCATTTTTGGCAGTATAGCCATTCTCCCATCCAAGAACATGGAAGATCTTTCCATTTCCTGGTGTCCTCTATGATTTCTTTCCTTAGGCTTTTATAGTTTTCATTAAATAGTTCCTTTACATCTTTGGTTAGTTAATTCCTAGGGGTTTTTTTTTTTAGATTATTCTGAATGGGATGTTCCCTTGATTTCCCTTTCTGCTTGTACATTGTTGGTGTACAGAAAGGCAATTGATTTTCATGGGTTAATTTCATATAGTTCTACTTTGCCAAAGTGGTTTATAAGCTCTAGGAGTTTGGGATCGTTAAGGTATAATATCTGCTCAACCTCTGTAGCCATATATTAAGTGAAATAAGCCAGGCCCAAAGAAACATAGGTTCCATGGTTTCCCTTATTTGCAATAACTAGTATATGTCTGAGACAAGCAGAAAAGGTTAGATAAGATGATGTTAAGCAAAATGAACCCCAACATAAGGACACAAGTGTTTTTTATCTTTCTTGATATTGTTTCTTATGTATTTATAAGGTACCACGTGATTTTTTTGTTGTTTTGTATGTCCCTCTCCCACAGTATAACCCTGTTTTCACTGTATTTGATGTTGGTATAATTTGGAGAGGGGAAGGGAAAAAACAAATTGTTTAAATAGGGACACAAGTTGACCCATTGCAACAATGAGATGTATAAGACGTTATATCAAAAAACGAACTTTACAATTTAGGCAGTGGGTGGGGGAGTAGTTGTGGAGATGGGAGGAAGGGATGGTAGGAGAAAAAGGAGGAGGCAGCAATGCTTGATAAGAAATGCACTCATTACCTTGCTCATGTAACTATAACCCCTCTGTACAGTATTTTCACAATAAAAAACTTATTTTTAAAAAAGGTATATGTCATCTGCAAATAGGGATAGTTTAATTTCTTCCTTCCCTATGAGGATCCCTTTAATGTCCTTTTTTCTTGCCTTATTGCTCTGGCTAAGGATTCCAGAACTATGTTGAAGGGTAGTGGAGAGAGTGGGCGTCCTTGCTTTGTTCCTGATATTAGGAGAATTGGTTGTACTTTTTCCCCGTTTAGCATAATATTGGCTATTGGTCTGTCGTATATGGCTTTTATTGTTTTAAGGAATATTCTTTCTATTCCTATCTTCTCCAGAGCTTTTTCTTTTTCTTTTTTTTCTTTCTTTCTTTCTTTTTTTTTTTTTTTTTTAGTCAGTCGTGGGGCCTGAACTCTGTGCATGAGCACTGTCCTTCAGCTCTTCAGCTCAAGGCTGTGCTCTACCACTGAGCCACAGCACCATTTCCACTTTTTCTGCTTTTGTGGTGCTGAGGAATCAAACACAGTGCATGCAGGGCAAGCACTCTACAACTGAGCCACCTTCCCAGCCCTCTCTAGAACTTTTAACATAAATGGATGTTGTATTTTATCAAATAGAAGCCTATTTGCATCAATGGAGATAATCATGTGATTCTTGACCTTGGGTCTGTTGATGTGATGGATTACATTTATTGATGTTAAACCACCCTTGCATCTCTAGGATGAAGCCTACTTTATCATAATATATGATTTTTTGATATGTTAAAAAAATTTTGAGGAGGTTTTCACCTGTGTTCATCAAAAAGATTAGACTGTAGTTCTTTTTTTGGTTGAATCTTTGCCTGGTTTGGGGATGAGTGTGGTATTGACTTTGGGATTTGCTCCCTCTGTTTCTATTTCTCAGAAGAGCTTGAAGAGTATGGGTGTTAGTTCTTCTTTAAAGGTCTTACAGAATTCTGTACTGAATCCATCTGGTCCTGGGCTTTTCTTTGTTGGAAGACTTCCTCTATCTCATCATAAGTTATTGGCTTATTTTATTAATTTATTTCTTCTTGGTTCAGTTTGGGCAATTTGTATTTCTCTAAAACTTCATCCATTTCTGCTAGGTTTTCTTTCCTCAATGAGTATAGATTCTGGAAATAGTTCTTTGTTTGGATGTCTTGGATGTTTGTTGTAATTTTTCCTGTGGCATCCCTGATCTTATTGATTTGGGTCTTCTCTGTTTTTTTAGTTAATCTTCCCAGAGGTCCATCAATTTTATTGTTTTTTTGAAAATCCAGCTTTTTGTTTTATTAATTTTATTTAGAGTTTTCTTAGTCTCTATCTCATTAATTTCAGCTTATTTTGGTTATCTCTCTCCATCTAGTAACTTTGGGTTCATTTTTTTTCTTGCTTTTCTAGCAGTTTCAGTTCATCATGAAATTATTTACTTGATCTGTCTCTATTTTCTTCCCCCCACCCCACCTGTCTCTATTTTCTTGATGCGTGCACTGAGAACAATAAATTTGCCCCTCAGGACTGCTTTTGCCATGTCTCACAGGTTTATTTGTGGTGTATATTCATTTTAATAGAATTGTAGGAACTTTTTAATTTCTTCTGTGACCCAGGTGTTGCGCAGAAGTGTGCTGTTCAATTTCCATATATTTGAGTAATTTCTAGGTATGCTTTGTTATTGAGAACTAGCTTGATTCCACTATGGTTCGATAGAATACAAGGAATTATGTCACTCTCTTGTAATTACTTAAATTCTTTGTATGAACTATGATATGATCTGTTTTGGAGAAAGTTCCATGGGCTTCTGTGAAGAATGTTTACTGGGTTATTGTTGGGTAGAAAACTCTAGATGTCAATTAAGTCCACTTAAGATACAGCATCATTTAATTCAGAGGCTTCTTTGTAGACCTATCCTTTGGTGAGAATTGGAGTATTAAAGTCTCCTAGTATTACTGTATTTGGACCTATTTTTTCTTGGAAGTCTGAGAGTATTTGCTTAATGTATTTGGGTACACCAATGTTGGAGAGTAGAAATTGATAATGGCGATGTCCTCTTCTTGGATTGTTCCTTGTATTGATATGTAGTGTTCTTCTCTATCTTTTTGTATTGATTTTAATGAAAAGTTTATTTTGTCAGATATCAGGATGGCAACTCCTGCCTTTTTGCTGGGAACATTTGCATGGTAGATTTTCCTCCATCCCTTCATTCAGAGTTTGTTTTTATCTTTGGCTGTGAGATGAGTCTCTTGAAGACAACAAATGGATGGATCTTGTTTTCTGATCCAATCTGCAGTTTATTTTCTTTTGAATTGAGTCCATTAATATTTATGGTTATTATAGGGAGGTGCATTGTGTTTCCTGTCATTTTCCTGCTTTCTTAAGTTTTTCTTCTTTTTTTTCCTCCTGTGTTTACTAAGTGGTCTTCTAGTGATATCTGTCTGATAAAAATCCCTGATCTTGATTGTTTTGCTCATATTGTAATCCTCCTCTTTATATATTCTTTGTAGTACTGGCTTATTGTTTATGAATTCAGTTAGTTTTTCTTTACTATTAAAAATTTTAGTTTCTCCATTGAATGTGAATGCTAGCTTCACTGGATATAGCAGTCTGGGTTGGCTGGTTCTCAGGGTTTCAATGTTACCTTCCCAGGCTATCCTTGCATTCAGTGTCTGTGTGGAGAGAAGTGCACTGATTCTGATTTTTTCCCATTGTAGTAGAACTCCTTCTTGCTTTTGCCACATGCAGGATCATTTCTTTATTGTTCAAATCTAGCGTTTTTCCTACGATGTGCCTAGAAGTGTTCTTCCTGGGATCCTGTTTGATAGGTGTTCTGTATGCCTCTGTTATGTAGGTAAGATTTTCTCTTTTAAGATTGGGGAGATTTTCGGTAATAATCTTATTGAATAAGTGTCGCATCCCTCTCTTCTGATATTCCTCAACTTTATCAACCCCACTTATACAAAGGTTAAATTCCTTGGCACTGTCTGCTTGTTCTTGGACTTCCCTTTGGCATATTTTGAGTGTTTTTTCCATATCTGTGACTTTTTTTTCCAGTTGCTGCATTTTGTCTCCAGTACCTGATATTCTATTTTCCATGTCATTCACTCTATTAACTATGGTTTCTATTGTGGTTTGCATGGAGGAAATTGAACCATTTATTATTACTCTGTTGGTTCTCAAAGTATAAATTTTGTCTTTTAAAGAGGTCTGTACTGCCTCTATTTTTGAGTGCATTTCTTATTTGAAATCCTGAATCTCTTTTGATAATTTGTTTCTTTGTTCTTTACATTTCTGAACTATTTCTTGCTTTGATTCAAGTCATTGCCCCTATCAACTCTTGGATGTCGTGGTTGTCTTCCATTTCTTCTTCACTTTCACTGGAATTCCCTGGGTGGCTGCTGGCCTTTGGGGATAGTTTTCTGTCTTGGCTGTTGATGAATCTTGTAATTTTTCAGGGATTTTTGGAGACAAATCCCAAACTCTGACTGTTTTGGTCAATAAGTGGCTGCCTTCACTTGGTTCTAGGTTGGTTCCTGGGTCAATTGTTGAAGCCTGCTCTCAGCCCTGGGCTGGCTGAGAGAGACTTTGCTGGGTCTTAGTTCTGTTGTGGGAGGGGCCAACCTCCAGTTGCTAGTCTGACCCACATAGGGCTCACTGTCTTTAGATTCTAGTGGGCTGACACCACCCTCTGCTGAGACATGCACTCAGTTCCTGATTTCAGTCAGGGACAGGTGGTTTAGACAGCTCAGGCTCCCACCTGAGACACAAGTGGGGCTTGTTCAGCAGCCTGCTAGAACCCACAGGTAGTAGTTCCTGAATTCAGCCAAGGACCCACAGCCTAGACTGTTCATGCTCCCTCCCAGGAATGCTCTTGACAAAACCAGGTGGGCTGGATGTATTCCACCAGTTGCTGGAACCTGCTTCCAGTTCCTGACTTAGCCAAGTATGGGCAGCCTGAGCTGCCTGATGCCCAGCCCAGGATACACAGGTTGGGTTCCTTCCACCCCTAGCTACTGAGGCCTATGGGCACGGTTCCTGACTTCAGACAGGGACTCCTGGACATAGGATGCTGAGTCTCCTGCCCTGGACACACAGGTGGGACTTCTTCCGCTGCTGGCTGTTGGGGCAACAGATGTACTTCCTGACTTCAGCCAGGGACTGGCCACATTCGAGTTGTCTTCCAGGTGTGCTCTTGGTCAAGCCTGGTGGGCGGCTGGTTGCTGGGGGCACTTGCACAATTCCCAGCTTCAACGAGACCAGTAGCCCAGGTGCTAAGGGAAGCAGTCCAGGTCAAGCTCTGGGGGTTACACCAGCGCTGTTCTTCCATGGTGGGGGATGGGAGGGAGGAAGGCATCCCCTTTGGGGTACTTACTTATCCTGGAACTGATTGTAAGCTGTCCAGCGGTGCTCTGGCAGATCGCTATTTCTGTGTGCTGTAGGTTGCTGGTCACCACCGTGTTCTGCATTTTGTTGAGATGATTGTGGGCTGGGCTGGGTGGTGGTGGGGGCTCTGAGTCTGGGTCTCATGGTCTCTGTCTCTTGTTTACCCTGTCTGTGTCCAGCACCTTAGGCATGTTCTGTGCTGCCCTTCTATGGACCACTGTGGCTCTGGAGTCCCCAGTGGCCACGGGCCGGGCACTTTGGTGGCTTGGCTCAGAGTGACTTGCCAGCGAGCAGTGAGGGAAGGGTCTACATGATTTTCCATCTTTGTGTAGCTTCTGAAGTTTTTTCCTTTTCTTTTTTCACTTTCTGTATTTCTCTGGATGTTTGCCTTTTTGCTATTGTTGATCTGTTGGGGAAACCGAACATTGGAACTCAAACTCTCTATTTGGTTGGAGAGAACTGTGGTGTTTCCCTACTGTCCCATCGCCATCTTGAGTCCCCATCCCCTTCAATTCTTTGAAAAAAAAATACCTTTAAGTAGTTGTTTGAAAGGCTTTCAATTTAATATATCAACTTATTAGTACAATGCATCTTGGTCAATGTCACCTCTTCCATTGTTTTTTCCCCCTCTCTGTCCAACTGCACACATTCCATCAAGTTACCTGGTTCCATTGTCACATATGTACATTGAATATTAGACTATATTCACCCACCTTTTCTGTCTCCATTCATCTGCCTCTAACCTCTTTCCCTATGCCCCCCCACATACCTGAAAACTTGTTTTGGCTTGCTGATTATCATTTTGTTAAATTATGAGTTACACTGCTACGAATCTCCCCATGTATACCATACTACCATACTTCAAGCAGTGTTTTATATATATATATATATATATATATATATATATATATATGCATGTGACCCTTTTCATGTCTGCTTATAATTTAAATACAATTTTCACATATGATAGAAAACATGTTCCATTTTTCTCTCCAAGCCTGTCTTACACCACTTAACATAATTTTTCCAAGTCCATTCATAACCCTGCAAATGACATATCATTCTTCACATTTAGCACATTTTCCTGGTTACCTTTGCTTATTCATGCTCCAATCTACAGAAAGATTATGATTTCTTGACTTTAGTTCATTGGAAACTGTGTCTCTTTCCATCCCTGAGGACACCTGAAGGCAAGGAAGGCAATGGGCAGCTTCTCTTTGAAAGCCATTTGGAGGTTTTCTGGGCTGAGATCAATTGGATTCAAAGACGCTAGTGGTTGGAACCTTGAGGTAATATCTGGGAAGCAGAAACATAGGAGCCAGGTGGTCAGTCAAGTTCCTGTCTCACTGCAGGAGAGGAGAGCCATTTCAATCATCCTGAAGCCTAAGAACCAACTCAGCCATCCAAGGAGATACTTCTGCTCCAAATTTAAGAAAGATTCACATTTAAAAATCAAGCAAACCCATACCATCTTTCTCCCAGTCTCTTCCAACTTGCCTGTCTTCTGTCCTTTTACCATCTCATCTGCATGTTTCCTATTTGTAACTGGAAGTATGCAGACAACTGGAAGTTGTTTTCTGCCTCAGTTCCTAGATGCTTGTGTTTAGCTTGACTATGGAATCTTTGGGCTCTCTCTACATCCTCTCTGGCTTCCTTGGATTTGTCTCTTGTCTTGCCTGACATGACTTTCTTTTTGCCTCATGCATATTGTTATGTGCATGTACTCCCCTGGCTGCAAATCACTGCTAGTTTGTGATTCTGTGGTTCCTGACTGAACATTTTCTCTCCTTTCTTCAAGCATGTGCTACAGTAACAGTAAGAGAATACTTTCTACAGGTCAGTTATTAACAATCACATTTTATTGCAAATAACACCATCTACTACAAGTATTAATACTGTTCACTTATTAAGTTATTTTGCTTTAGTCTCAACAGAAGACTCACTGGCAAAAATAAATGCAGATCATCCAGATGTTGTTGCCATAGTAGCTGACACTCTAAAATTTATAAAGGATGTGAATTTTGAACAGCCTTATGAAAAATATGCTGAGCTCTTACGTGAAGTCCTCAAAGAGGTAAAAAAAATATATATTAGAATAATAACTTTCATCACTGACTTAGAAACTAAGAAAATATTCATCTAGTCTATGTATAATTATTTTAGAGTCTTATTTTACAATAATGAGATATATAGCTTTTCAAGTACATAAACATTTAATAGTCAACATTATCATAGGTGAAGTATACCAGTAGACCTAATTGCTGATACAGTTTAGTAAATTTTCCATTATAAAGAAATTATGGGATGTAATTATCTTTAAAATTAATTCATTAACTGTGATTATCTTTGATCTAGTGTAGTATGTCAAAAGATGGTATATATGATACCAGTGGCAAAGTTATTGTATTGAGCTTATCAGTTACAGGGTGAGACAAATTTTGCTCCATGGTTAACAAATATCATCCAGACACCATGAACACATAGTGTGTTCTTAGGGAAAATGATGGACAGATACGCAGTATTTTATGCCAAAAGGGGAAACAGTCCCAAATACTGTGAACTGACACTGCAAGGGCCATATTGTTTTTGAGTGTCAATAACTTTTACAGGACTCTTTACATGATCTTTCTAGTCTGGGTTCTGAACAGCTGACATTGCAGACCTCTGCTGCCATATCCCAGCTCTAAGAATTAAAAAAAAAAAAATCAGGTAACTCTGGATAGGCCAAAGTGTTATGAATGGCATTTCTGACATCTCTTCCTCTTTGATTTCAAATATTCATTGACACCTGATAGTACACAAACTTGCCTACAACCTTCAAAATTGGTGTATTCACAGGTCCACATTGCTAACGGCCATTGTTGTGGAAACCATTGTTATTGAGAGAGAAGGGGTGAGTTTAGTGGAACTCCCTAAATGCCTACAGGATGCACTTTGACTCAGTTCCTTCCTAGTCTATTAGTTACCATCTCAGTAACTCTCCTCTTACACTGAAGGATAAAAGCAAAACAGAAGGAGGTAAAGGGTGTTGCCACTGAAAACTCAAGCTAGAGTAGGAACTTGCTACTCTCGGACTGGTCCGTGTATCTTCTCCCAGAAACATGCATACAGACTTGGGCCTCACCACAGACCTTTAGACTCAACCTCTGCTTTCAATGATACTAAGTAATGTACAGCAAAAATAGCTTATTATGTTTAGTGATTAACGGGCTTTAGTTCTCATTTTTAACTTTTAAAACTTAAAATTGCATTATGTTAAAATTGTTTCTCTTTTAAAATTAAGGTACTCTCTTTTTTCTTTCTCAAAGCCAGAGTTCCCAAGATAGAATTCTTGACTTGTCAAGCTATGGTGATAGTCAAGCTATGGTGATAGTCAATGTGCAATTCTTCACAGGTAATCGAACAAAACAAAGACAGGTTTCCTGGTGCTCCAAAATATGGAGGATGGATCATAGACAACTGCCCTACTGTGAAAGAACTGTGGACAGCCTTGATTGAGAAAGGATCTGTACCTGATTTGGTGGTCTGTTTAACAGATACAGAAAATGATGGTTGGTGAAGATGTATCATAAAGATGTATCATGGCAGTGAAATTTCTATTGCTGACAGTAATTTTTGGTTAAAATACAGAATGAAGAACGCTTAGGTGCAAATGCTACCCTCTAATCCCTGGAGGGTTACAGGTACACAAAATGAGGTATTTGTCCACTCACAAGATGGCCTGGGTTGGTGGTCAATTGGAGGTAAGAGTCTCGTGGATTTGGCTGGCTGGCTTGGCTTTGAACTGCCATCTTCAGATCTTAGCCTCCTGAGTAGCTAGGATTGCAAGCAGGAGCCACTTGTGTCTGGCTTAATTGTGATTATTCCTAAGGAACTATATGTGATATGGGAGTTTCTAGGGGAAAAGTATGACATAGGATATATTATATCTCTTTATATTTTCATTACTTGTGCCATACTAACTTATATACCTTTTTATAGAGATTTAAGACAATCTATTAAAATATTAAACAATTGGGGTACTTGTAAATAAAGGCTTTAAAAATATTTTTTAAGGGCTGAGAAAGTGGCTCAGTGGTAGAGCGCTTGCCTTGCATACCTGAGGCCCTGGGTTCGATTCCTCAGCACCACATAAGCAAAAAGAAAAAAGCCGGAAGTGGCACTGTGGCTCAAGTGGTAGAGCGCTAGCCTTGAGCTGAAGAGCTGAGGGACAGCGCCCAGGCCCAGAGTTCAGGCCCCACTACCGACCTCCCCCCCCAAAAAAATTTAATATAGGCAAAAGTATTTATTTTCTTTTGAAGTGTTTTTCTTTTTATTCTTTCTCTCTTTTTTCAGGTCCAAGATTGGTACTCCAACGTAGTACCTGCCCCTTTTACTCATTGGCTAGTGCTCTACCAACTGAGCCATGCTTCCAACCCTCTTCTGAAGTTTTTTAATAACTGTTTTTAAACACAAAGAATGGAATGAATAAGACAAAAATTATACTTAATTCCCCCATTAACACTAAGTCATATGTTCAAAATATTTTTCAAAATAATTAGCCAGATCACTAATCCTAGTCACTACCATAGTTCAAATGATCCTAAGAAAGTAGTCGAGCCACAGAAATCCCTTGTGAGACAACTTCTAGAGAAAGCAGCTATATTGCTATATTGCTATATAGCTAGGATTACAGGCATGAGCCAACCAGCACTAGGCTAGGTCCTATATTTTTATACACAACTTGCTTGTCTCAGCCTGCACAATAAATTATTCACTCAACTTGGAAAAACAAAATGAATGTATCTTTAATCATCATTTCAAAATAATTTTTAAAAGACAAAGAAGTTCCCATGTTTGTTAAATCTGGTTAGGAGATGGCTTTTTAAATATTTTCTGAACTACAAGTATAATTTTTCACCCTTTCTTAGTGCCTCATTATAACCAATTTGGCAAGAAGACCTCCAGTACTTTAAGAAAACCTTCAACAGATAAATTGAAGATAAATCTGCACTAGAACTCTTGTATGACTGACTAATGATTAAGTCCCCAAATGTATGACCATTCATCAGCAAATGACCTCACATGTACATATAATTCAAACGAACTTTTAGAACATGAGCATAAAATAAATACTACAATATTTTCATCTCTATTTAATGCTGCTGGTGATTAGATAAAAAGATTCACAGTACTGAGTCAGACTATATTCATTATGTCTTAAAGTAGTTAGAACAATTTCTGAAGTCAAAGGTAAGCAAGAGCCAATGCTAATACAGTTTTCCAATCATGTAATGTAATTGCTAGTCTGAATTATAATTGGTAAGCAATTAATACAAATATAAATATGTATAAGGTACTACTGTATCATAGTCTGGTGAATAAACTTCTTGGCTAAAGTGCTCTGGGGAAAGGATTAAGGAAAACAAGAAGGGACGGGCACTAGTGGCTTACACCTCTAGCTACTGAGATCTGAAGATTGTGGTTAAAAACCAGTCAGGGCAGGAAAGTTTGTGAGACTCTTATCTCTAATTAACTACCAAAAAAAGCTGGAAGAGGAGCAATGGCTCAAGGATAAATTGCTAGCCTTGAGCAAATAAACTCAGAGACAGCACCCAGGCCCTGAGTTCAAGCCCCAGGAGTGACATCAAAAAGAGAAAGAGAAAAAAAGAGAGGGGGGGAGAGAGAGAGAGAGGAAAGGAGAGAAGGAGTGAATATGGCAGGTTCTAGTATTTTCCATTTAAGAACACAACACATGACATGCAAAAAAAAAACAAGCTATAATATAGATACGATTGATATGCCTAAAATGATACATATACTGTACATAAATTCATGTTAATTATGCACTTAGCACATTCTTTTTTCTTTTCTTTTTTTCCCCTTCCCTTTTCTCTCTTTCGTTCTTCCTTTTGTTGTTGGTGGTGGTGATGGTGTGGTTGTAGAGCTTAAACTCAGGGTTTGGGCACTATCCCCTCGCTTTTTTCACTCAAGGCTAGCACCCTACTACTTTGAGCCACAGTTCCACTTCCACTTTTTGGTGGTTAATTGGAGATAAGAGTCTCACAAACTTTCCTGCCTGGGCTGACTTTGAACCATGATCCTCAGATCTCAGCCTCCCAAATAGCTAGAATTACAGGTGTGAGCCACTAGCTCCGGGAAGCACATTCTTCTATATGATTCCTTTCATGCTTCACTTTGCTTAGTAACTAAACTCTGAACTTCCTCTTTTAAAATTGGTCCAACCAAGTTATCCTTGGACATCCAATTTTATTTCATCACAAACTAAGTAAACTGATGGGGTAAAATGTTTCTTTTTTTCTTATCATCAAATATCTGCTGGTGATGTAATAAACATGTGAAAATATTCTGTAAATCCTACAACATACTGATCCTCATTTTACTGATTCTTTCAAGCTAATCCTTTTGGAAAATTATTTACGGCTATTCAGGGCATGCAGCTCCCTCAAGTCTACAGCTCCTGTATTCCATAGTCCAACATGACTTGGTAGTCTCACGAACTGCACAAAGAAAAATCTACTGCCCAGTAGCTGCCATTTAAGTACCGGCATTTGAATGGCATTCACTCTGAAGTTAGACACATTTAGTCAAAGGCAGAATATGGATACTTCCCTACCTTGACTTTGGCCTTTGGGGTGGTTCAAGAATTTTGTCAGCCGGGCACCAGTAGCTCACGCTTGCAATCCTAGCTACTCAGGAGCCTGAGATCTGAGGATCAAAGTTCAAAGCCAGCGCGGGCAGGAAAGTCTGTGAGACTCTTATCTCCAATAAACCACTAGAAAACTGGAAGTGACATTGTGGATCAAGCAGTAGAGCGTTTGCCATGAGCTGAAGAGCACAGGGACAGTGCCCAGAGTTCAAGCCCCACGACGGACAAAAAAAAAAAAAAAAAGAATTTTGTCAATATTGGAGCAATTTGTCTGTGTGCTCTGTTAATATACTGTTGAACAGCAGATCTACTATCCAGTTCATCAGGTTTTCATCAACAAATTATAGAACTCATGTGCCATGGTGCCAGGCCTTGTCCAGCCCAGCATGGCCCATCTTTTCCACCCTGACCATAGAGCTAGAGTCAGGGTGACTGGAGTTGCTACCACCCTAAAGGAAAAATAATTTTTGTCATTATTTTCCAACATATATGTCATTCAACTCTATAGAACTTCAAAGATAATATAACTCTTTTTATTTGTGTTTCAGGAAAATATTTACTTGACAGAGCATATTTCCAAAATAAGCCTGAAATTGATGCTAAGATTTTAGAAAGAATTTCGATGGAACTACAAAAGAAAAAGGAAGATGAAGCAGCAGTAAGGTAAAGTCTGCCAAAAATGGTACCTCTTAATTACCTTCTCACAATTTATACTTAGGAATATCTCTAATAACAAAAGATTGTCTATCACCTAGATCTACTTCTAATAAATTTCATGAATACATGTAGACTTTTTAAAGTACACATTCTGAATGCTTTCCTATAATCCATATCAAATCAATTTGGAGGGTTGGTGGTACATAGGCTTGAACTCAGGACCTCATTCTCACTTGTGTTCTACCACTTGAGTCATGCCTCCAGCCCCAAATGTACTCTGTGTGTGTGTTTGTGTTATGTGTATGTTCGTACTGGGTCTTGAACTCAAGACCTGTGCTCTTTGCTTGGATTTAGCATCAAGGCTGATACTCTACCACTTGAGCTACACTTACATTTCTGGCTTTTTGCTGATTTATTAGAGATAAGAGCTCATGGACTTTCTTTTTTTGCCACTTGTGGAGCTTGAACTCAAGACCTGGGCAATGTCCCCAAGCTTCTTTTGCTCAAGACTAGCTAGCACTCTACCAATTAAGCCATGGTGCCACTTCTGGCTTTTTCTGTTTATATGGTACTGAGGAATCAAGAATCAAACCCAGGGCTTCATGCCTGGTAGGCAAGCATTCTACCACTAAGCCTCATTCCCAGTCAGAGCACATGGACTTTTTTGCCTGGGTTGGCTTTGAACCATGATCTTCAGATTTCAACCTAGTGAATAGCTAGGATTACAGATGTGATTCACCAGTGTTTGACAACCAAATGTATTCCATTTTTGTGTATGTCACTACTGAGACTTGAACTCAGAGCCTAGGTGCTGTTACTTAGCTTTTTTTTTGCTCCACTTGAGCTCCATAGCTCTAATGTCATTATGTAACAGTGTTTTATCTATGACTTACTTTTGGTAAGTAGTATCCACAAAGTGAAATCACAAACCTGACTAAGTAAGAAAAGAACAACACTGGTTATTTACATGTGGTGGGTTTAACCTACAGGGTTTATTTTCCAATGTGAGTATAATGAAGAGCTTTAAAAATGTGAATATACCTGGCTAGGATTAAGATTATACTTCAGGGTGGGAAGGTGACCCAGTGGTAGAGCGGTTGCCTTGCATGCATGAGGCCCTGGGTTTGACTCCTCAGCACCACATAAGCAGGGGAAAAAAAGCCGGAAGTGGCGCTGTGGCTCAAGTGGTAGAGCACTGGCTTTGAGCTGAAGAGCTGAGGGACAGTCCCCATGCCCAGAATTTAGCCCCCACGACCGGACCCCCCCCCAAAAAAAAGATTATACTTCAATAAATGATGAATTTCTTCAGGTTGAGGAATAAAATATTTTTTTTAAATAGTGATTTAATTTTCTAATGCTTCTATATTGTTGAATTCTTCTATATTGAATTCTTCTATATTGATGAAATTGGTATTTCTACTCCTCTAAAAATGAAGATCTAGAAATTTAAATACTACACTTTTCTGTGTAAACCCACTAAATTGCTTACTACTTATTGATGATGGCACATATAGAAATTTATTCAAATTTATTCAAATCCTCCTTCCTCAGAATTAACTTTTTGATCTGAGATTTAGGAGTCTAAATTATGAAGCTGGAAGGTAGATAATTGTAGAAGTGGGTTAACTAATATGTGAATGCCAGGGGTCTTGTTTTTAGTGCTTGTTATTCATATCAGTCATTCCTTTAGAAGCATAACACAAGGGCTGGGAAGGTGGCTCAGTGGTAGTGCGCTCGCCTTGCATGCTTGAGGCCCTGGGTTCGATTCCTCAGCACCACATAAGCACACAAAAAAAGCTGGAGGTGGTGCTGTGGCTCAAGTGGTAGAGTGCTAGCCTTGAGCTGAAGAGGGACAGCGCCCGGACCCAGAGTTCAGGCCCCATGACCAGACGCCCCCCCCCACCCCCACAAAAAAGAAAAAGAAACATAACACAAAATGTCATGAAGTTTTATTTAGTTGAACTGGAAAATAAAATTATTATTTGATATATCAACTAGAAAACATTACTAATTTAGAAAATAATCACAAATATATTCCATTTACTTTTAGCTTTGAAAACTTTTGTTACAAATGGAACAATAATCTGCTAATATTTAAAGAACTGCTTACTTTTTATGAGAACTAGTCATGTATTTGAGAACTAATGAAATCTTAATTTAAGAATAAGACAAAATTTATGTAATTTCTCAACTGAAGGTCTGTTAATTAAAACTCAAGTTATGCTTAGCTGGCCTGGGCAAGGATCCTTCTACTTGCATTTCCCCTAAAAATCACTGGGGATTACAGGCACACACCACCAAGCCCAGCCATTGTGCCTCTCATGTAGTTGGGATTACAGGTGTGAACCACCTCGCCCAGCCATTAGTTAAGAAGGAGTCTAGTGGCGGCAGAGGCTGCTGCTGCTGCTGCTGCTGCTTCTCCTCCTTCTTTCCTCCTCCTCCTCCTCCTCCCCCTCCCCCTCCCCCTCCTCCTCCTTCCTTTGCTGTCCTTAAACCTTCACCCCCAATTTCCACCTCTCAGCTAGCGAGGATTACAGGCTTAGTCACAATGCCTAGAATATTTCCCTTTAATCAAACGGAAAATGTTACAAATCTTCCCATTTGCCTTTCAACTTATACTTAGATAATCTTTCATTAATAATTTCCCAAAATATGGCATTCAGGTTTTTCTTACCAAAAAAATTCCTAATAACAACACTTGAAAGGCAGCTAGTCTCTACTTGAGTAATTTAAAGGTACACAATATAAAGTATAAGACTACCATAAACAACCTGGTCCTTTTGGCTTTACCACTTTAAGAATTTAATCCTATAGTAATGTGAGATATCTCATCTTCCAAATATAATTAAATCTGGGGCCTTTGAATTTCAGAAAAGTCAAAGAGGAAGCATTAAAACTGGAAGAGGAAGAGCGGAAGATAATGGAAACGATAAATAAGAAAGCAAAAGGCAAGCACACATTTATGTGACTGATAATGTGTCGTTTTGTCTTCTATTGTTAGTTTCAGCATCTGCAGTATGTCAATTGAATTCTAAATAGTGCAATCTGCTTCTCATTTGGCCAATAAGTCCAGAACCTGTGGTTCTGAAGTATTTCTAGTGCCCCCTTCACTCTCAAAATCTTCCAGTTTTGATAATAAAGTATATGGTCACTGGAATACAGATTCATAGTAACAAAAACAACTCCTATACTAAATAAGAAGAAGGCTATACTAAATAAGAAGAGTACACAGAGATATACATGTATACTCTCTAAGAGGGACACATAGAGGAATCAGATGGGCAGCATGACTTCCAGTAGTTGCATTTGTCATGATGACACATTGGAATTCTTCTATTAGAAAAATCTCACAAGAGTTGACAAAATAGCTGAATTCTTGCTATACACAATTGTCTTTACACGTAAGCTTCCATCTTTGTTACAGGAGAACTTCCTTTGAAAATGGGAACCCTTGCTCATGTTTGTAATTCTAGCTACTCAGGAGGTCAACATCTGAGAATAATAATTCAAAGTCAGCCCAAGCAGAAAAGTCTGTGAGACTCTTATCTACTGTTAACCAGTAAAAAGCTAGAAATGGAGATTTGGCTCAAGTGGTAGAGACCCAGCCTTGAGTGAATAAAAGCAAAGAGTTATCACTTATGGCTGAGTTCAGGCCCCAGTACAGCATAAACAATAAAAACAATAAGCTAAAAAAAAAAAGATTAGAGCTATTGAAATTGGATCCATTGGTAATATTCGGAGGTCTGTGAACTTCACAGGGAAAATAATTCTCATAATATTTTCACTAAACTTTTATTGAAGTTTAGTATTTTCTTCAACTGTTAATACATGCAACAAACCAAAACAACACTAGCAATACCTTGATTTGTCGTTAATAAAAGTAGTTTCATATCACGTTATAGTTTTATATCTTATGTATGCTTATTGCTGTTGTAAAATGATAGTACTTAATAATACATTAGTACACTAATACATTAGTAAAGATGTACAGATTTCCTGTAGCACAAAATTTTTTTATATCTTTGATGGTACAGTGGCTTGAACTTAGGACCTTGAGCTTGCTTAGCTTGCTTGTTCAATTGATGCTCTACCACTTGAGCAATACCTATACCTATATGGTTTTTGCTGGTTATTTGGGATATGAAATCTTGAGAACTTTTCTGGCTTCTAATCACGATCCTCCTGATCTCTGCCTCCTGAGTAACTAGATTTCAGGGATGACTATCCATGTCCAGAGTATTTTCTATGTTCATAAGCATATTTTGTGAGTTTCATGAATATATAACAGACACTTGAGGAAATGAGTTTTTTGATGCCCCTGCCATCTTTCTTCCGGGAAGGCTTCCATGTAGATTAATGGCAATCAACAACTACATAAAAATTTGAATTGTGCTTTCTAAATTTACAGTTAACATGTTGATCAGCAAACTATGTTATTTATTATTTATAATTAACTGCAACAAAATCTATAACTATATGCATTCAACCCTAGTGCCAAGAATAGTGCCATATGCCAAATGGGTAACTTTCCATTTTCTAGTCTGGATATCTGTTTGAATAGATACCGAACCCAGAGGGTGGCTCACGCCAGAAATCCTAGCTACTTAGGAGACAGATCTGAGGATCATGGTTTGAAGCCAGCCTGGGCAGAAATCTGTGAAGCTCTTATCTCCCATTAACCAGCAAAAAGCCAGATGTGTCACTTTGGCTTCAGTACCTATCACCACTCAACAAGTATTTGCTTACTTAAACTCAAGTTTTTAGGAAGTATTCTAATTGTTGCTAGAAGCTGAAGAGACTGAAACTGAGAATGAAGAAGAGCTTGAAGGTAAGGATCCTGAAGACCGCGACGAGCCCGAGCCATCTGAAATATCCGATGAAACCAGAGGGTCGTTGTTCCCGGAGCAGGCTGATTCTCTTGGGCGCCAGGGAAGAAAACGTCCATCAGGTTAGAGTTTACTAAAAGCCCTTGGCTTGTTTGTTTTGTTTGTACTTTTGATCTAATCAAACATAAGCCTGAGAGAAAAATTTTCTCTGGGGCATTTAAGTCCTTGACAGAGTTATCCTCTTAAATAACAGCTATTCACATGGAAACTATTTTTTTTCATAAACTCCCTCCTGATAGACATTTTGGAAAGAGGCACAGCCCGTCAATACTCCTGCACGACACTGGTATGATCTTCAAAGTCAGCAAGAGAGGACCCTGTCCCTATGGCGGCAGAATCATTGGTCATTCTGTTGAGATGGTGCAACTGTTTCTCCAGTTTTTGTCTATTCCAGCATTGCTTCAGAGCTCTTCCAGGATCACTTATAAGTTTTTTACTAGATAATTACTGTTTATCAACCCTATTAACCTTCCTCTCTTTGACAGCTTTCAACAATTTGTACTTTTTCTCTATATTCTTTGAAAACATATTCTCTATACCATTGTTTTATTTTCTGCTCTTATTGCCTCTTCCTCTCATTTTTGCATATTTTAATTATACAATTGCATTTCACATTTCCTTCATTTTCTTGTTTAATCTATTCCTATATTTCTGCCTTCATGTTATATCAGTCTATCTTCATGTCCCAAGAGCTCCTGTGTCAGAGACTCTGTCATCCTCTGGCATTTTTTGAGTACTTCAGGCATGTGCCTTGTAAATTTTTTCTCTGCTCTAGGTACGAAATCATTTTCACAAGCAAACTCTTCATCTGAATCTTTGAATCAATACTCTCCTTGCTTTCATCTTAACTGTTCATAAAATACCCTAGCAATTATCAGCAGAAAGAATGGGTAGAGTATTTATAAGAATCTCTCTGCCCTCCTTATCTTCCCTGACTCCAACCCCCATCACAGACATGTGAATTCTTTACTTAAACTCCTCTTCCTTATATTTGGCACTTTGCAGATATAAACCTGATATGTATGATATAGATTAATGTGCAGTAACTTAGTTCTGATTGTAATATTTAGCCAATATTCAGCTTGTATGGCTCTTCTCAACCATTACCTCAACCATGACAATCTCTGATTCAGCCAGGAAAGCTATGGCAGTTTAGAATGATCTGGATTTTCTCAGTGCTCTTCACTCTTTCACAGTCACCATGCTTTAATTAGTAGAGCAATTTAAATTAAACATGCCACCCATAGGCCAGTCTTGGACTAGATGGATGGATAGATGAATGATAGATGAATGGACAGACAGACACTCTTCTTCATGCACACTGAATCAGTATGTGAAGTATGACTTAGAGCATCCAGGAAAATAATTTACAATCTGTACCTTTGGCAGTGAAACCAGTTGTGATTCTCCTTTGTTTTCTCTGTGCTGACTCCCACAGCTGGGACTTGGCAGTATTATTGATGCTTATCACTATATGGCCTTTTGATATATTTTCATGGTTGTTTTAATGAGAAATGAAAAAGATTATCAGATGCCACAAATCTAATGCTGTATTACCAGAAGTTTGGAAAATATTTAAGAACAGTTGTCAAGCAGAATTACATTGCCATGTGTGAATTATTATTCTTGTCAATGCCTTTTTATATATTTCAGAATATTTATTATTTTCTACCTCATACTCTCATGTACTTTATGCTATCTTTTACCTAACAAGAGAAGCATTTTTCATTAAACGTATCATGCACAATTTAAACTTAAACCGTTTTTAATTTTTCCTTGTGCCAAAACTTTCCTAAAGAAATAACATTTTAATATGTAAATGCTAACTATCTGATTGTTTTCTTAAGTCACTGAGCCTAGAGTGGTTACTCCAGCTCGAACAGAAACTTCAAAAGTATCTACAGAGGGCACAGAAACTAAAAAGGCATCAGAAACAGGTAGACTATGCAATGATAGCAACTAGTTCATAAACATGTTTTCATGTTTCTTACAAATCTCTGGTTCTCTATTTCAGGCAAAGTTTCTGCTTCCTATTTCTTTTTTTCTTTTTATGTTACATGCTAGCTGGTATTTATTTATCTTATTCCACTTAAAGTATATATCACCAGGTGCTGATGGCTCACATCTATAATCTTGGCTGAGATCTGGGGCTAGTAATTCAAAGCCAGTCTAAGCAGAAAAGACTATGAAATTCTTATCTCCAGTTGACCAACAAAATAACTGGAAGTGGAAGTTTGGTTCAAGTGGTAGAGAAACAGCATTGGGGAAAAAAATAAACAAGAACTAAAGGCCCTCAGTTCAAGCACCAACGCTGGCACAAAAATGAATGAATGTATTAGAATGACTAGTATCTAGCTAGTCCATAGCTTTTGAGTTTCATCCAATTTTATTCATTCATTTATTCATTCATTCATGATACTGAAAATTGGACTCAGGGCCTCATGCTTATGAGGCAGGGACACTGCCACTGGAGCCAGGTGCTCAGCTTTTTTGTTTTACTTATTTTCAGATAGAATCTCTTGCTCATTGCCTTGATCCTCCTGAGATCAGCCTCCCTAGTAGCTGGGATTACAAGAGTGAATAGCTGCTCTTTGCTACAGGCTTGGGTTTTTGCCCAGCCAAACTTGGGCTGAAATCCTCTTGCTTCTACCTTCTGTGTAGCTGGGTCACCATGCCCAGCTATATGTTTTATTTTATACATTGTATTAACAATAACATGTGGGGTTTGAGGCCTGGCTCAGTTGTTAAGAGAGTCGGCCAATTACCAAGTGTCAGATAATCAAGTTTGAGTGTCTCAGACTAAAAACAAACAAACAAAAACAGTAACTCAAATTAACTCACAATTTAAGTTTCAGTAATAGGTAATAATAATTCATCCCAAAGGAACAAAGCATAATTAAAATGTGAACTTGTAAGCATATACTGTTACTTAAAATACTGTTTATTTCTTCCAAATGTTTCTAAAATATTATAAAGTATAAATCACTTTGGCAGTACAGCTAATGATAGGATATTTAAAGCCTCTTTGTTTGTTCTTTTATCATTTACTCCAGATGCTATACTGCCTGAGTTTCCGGAAGATTCTTATCCTGATGTCCCAGAAATGGAGCCATTTAAAGAAAAAATAAATACTTTCACAGCCACCTTGAAACTGCTGGAACCAATATTAAATGAATCTTTAATTCCATCTTTAACCATGGAGATTGCCAACAAAACACCAGAGGAGCTGTTTCAAAAAGTACTTGATACCATGGAAAGTAAGGCTCTTAACATTGACAATCAAGAGAAGGTGCTAGTTTTAAAACATCTTGAAACTTTAAAACCCTTTTATTTTGATGTTAGTACTGGGAACTCTTAACTTTCCTTTAGTTCTGTACCACATGAGCCATACCTTCACTTGTGGCTTTTTTCTGGTTAGTTATCCATAAGACTATTTCAGATTTGTCTGCCCAGACTGGCTTCAAACTGTGATCCTGTAACTAGAATTATAGGTAGGCCTAAACCACTGGTGCCCCACTAAAGCCTTTCTTGAGTATTCATGACATAAAGTTTCAGTATATTCAAGGAAAGTGGGTAAGATATTTTACAATTGCCATGATACGTGACACATGATACATGCCATGATAATTGCCTGATCCGTGGGATATATAAGGCCCTGGTCATCCTGGCCAGTTTGGATATTTTTGTTGTTGTTGTTGTTGTTGTTGTGTGTATGTGTGTGTGTGTGTGTGTGTGTGTGTGTGTGCGTGTGCGTGTGCGCGCGTGCATGCGCGCGCGAGTCCTGGGGCTTAAACTCAGGGCCTAGGCTCTGTCCTTGAGCTATGTTGCTCAAGTCTAGTGCTCTATCACTTGAGCCACAGCTCCACTTCCAACTTTTTGGAAGTTCACTAGAGATAAGAGTCTCATGGGCTTGCCTAGCATACATGAAACTCTGGGTTCCATTCTTCAGTACCACATAAACAGAAAAAGCGGAAGTGGCACTGTGGCTCAAGTGATAAAGTGCTAGTCTTGAGCAAATGAAGCTTTGGGACAGTGCCCAGGCCCTGAGTTCAAGCCCTAAGACTGAGAAAGAAAGAAAGAAAGAAAGAAAGAAAGAAAGAAAGAAAGAAAGAAAGAAAGAAAGAAAGAAAGAAAGAAAGAAAGAAAGAAAGAAAGAAAGAAAGAAAGAAAGAAAGAAAGAAAGAAAGAAAGAAAGAAAGAAAGAAAGGAAGAAAGAAAGAAAGAAAGAAGAAAGAAAGGAAGAAAGAAAGAAAGAAAGAAGGAAGGAAGGAAGGAAGAAGGAAAGAAAGAAAGGAAGGAAGGAAGGAAGGAAGGAAGGAAGAAAGAAAGAAAGAAAGAAGGAAGGAAGGAAAGAAGGAAGGAAAGAAGGAAGGAAGGAAGGAAGGAAGGAAGGAAGGAAGGAAGGAAGGAAGGAAGGAAAGAAGAAGGAAGGAAGGAAGGAAGGAAGGAAGGAAGGAAGGAAGGAAGGAAGGAAGGAAGGAAGGAAGGAAGGAAGGAAATTTAATGTTTGGGCTGGGAAGGTGGCTCAGTAGTAGAGTGCTTGCCTTGCATGCATGAGGCCCTCAGCACCCCATAAGCAGAAAAAGCCAGAAGTGGTGCTCTGGCTCAAGTGGGAGGGTGCTAGCCTTGAGCTAAGCTGAAGGACAGCACCCAAGCCCAGAGTTCAAGGCCAATGACAGACAAAAAAAAAAAAGAATTTCATGGACTTTCCTGCCCGGGCTAGCTTTGAACTGTGGTCCCCAGATCTCAGCCTCCAGAATAGCTAGAATTATTGGCATAAGTCACCAGCACCTGGCACAAACTGAGCTGAGAGACTAATAATAGGGATTAATTTCCCTAATCCTTTGGTTATATCACAATGTTTTAGTTTTAAAATGTTTTCTTCAGTGACTTCATTTTCATTCACAGAAACTTTCCGATATGCTGCATTGGAGTTAACTATGGAAGACTATGAGGAAGAAACAGAAGACTTTCAGACAGAGGGAGAAGATGAGGAGTTAGAAGAAGAGGAGGAAGAAGAAGAAGAGGCATGGTTGTTTTATTTCCATCCATTCTCACTTGGCAAGTCATGAAAGATAAACATCCATCACTTTGGAACCCAAGTGAACTAACAGGGACCCTCTACCTAACAAAAGCAATATTTTCACGCCTGCTCCCCAGTTCACTTTACTATCAAAATGCCAGGGCTACTAACATGAAAAAAAACACATGAAAGTATGAAAGGGAAACCTTTTTAAATGTTTGCTATATTGTTAGCATTACACACTACTTGTAATTGTAACCCAACGTAAGCCCAAATTTATAAGTGTGTATACGTACATGTGTGTATGTGTGTAAAGCAACAAATGCTCGACAACATGATTCAGATAACAGCTTTCAGTCTATTGCTAAGGAATAGACTGGCTAAATGATGTCAGTTCAGTTCTGCTTATGTTCAGATTCTCTTCACCAGCCTGCCTCTGCAGTGTCTCTCTGCCCCACCTTGGCCTGCAGTAGAATAGTTCCTTATGTGTATCTGCAGATAGTTCTCAAGCAGTCTATAATAATTAAAACATAGCTTATATATGGCCTTCACTAATAGTACAGGGAAGACTCCCATTGTTCACTGGACATTGGTAGAATGGGGAACAAATGCTGTTTGAATCACACCTAACATAAAAACAAGAGCCAAAAAGATTAAATTGCTTACAAGTAACAAGAAGAAAGCTCAAGAATATTTATGGGAAGAAAAGATTACATGGCCTGCAGGAAATTATGATTTATAATGACTCATTGTGTTAATCAATTGAAACAAATCCATAATTAATATACTAGAATTAACTGTCAAAGTCATTAAAGAAATTATTTTAACTGTACTTTATAAATTCAAAATGCTAAACAGATACTGAAGATAAAACAAATATTCAACTTGAGCTATTGGAAAGTACAAAATATAGAATGAAATATATAATAAATGGAATGATGATAGTTTAGCTGTTGCAGAAAATTAGTGAACTTAGAACTGGAGGTGAGGCTTAAGTGGTACAGCACCAGCCATAAGCAAAATAAAGCCAAACTGGAGTCTAAGGTTCAGAGTTCAAAACCAGTGCCAGCATGGAAGGAGGTGAGGAAGATAAGGAAAATTAGTCAACTTAACTAGCTAAAATGAAAGAAGAAAGGAAAAAATCCTGAAAAATCAAAAAAAAAAAAAAAAAAACATGAGCAATACAGAGAAAATTTCCATACAGCCTAGTTGAATTCTTTTTTCCTTTTTTTTTTTTTGGTCTGTCATGAGGCTTGAACTCTGGGCCTGGGCACTGTCCCTGACCTCTTCAGCTCAAGGCAAGCACTCTACCACTTGAGCCACAGCACCACTTCTGGTTTTCTGGTGGTTTATTGGAGATAAGAGTCTCACGGACTTTCCTACCCGGGCTGGCTTTGAACTGTAATCCTCAGATCTCAACCTCCTGAGTGGCTAGGATTACAGGCATGAGCCACAAGCACCTGGCTTTTGAATTCTTAATAAGTGTTATGCATCAATATAAAATCCATGGGTCCACATAGGAAAACCAGTGGGATCTGCAACAAAAGCTACTAACAAGAGACTTTAGCAAAATTACGGTATTTCTATCAATGCTCAGACATCCATCCTGTATCTATAAGTAAGCAATAAATAATAAAAATTTAGTTTTTAAATGCCTTCAAATAGGATCAAGAATATGCAATTCTAAGGGATAAATTTCACAAAAGATATCCAATTTTGATGTACCTTTTAAACATCAAAAGCTCAGAAAAATTGAAGAAGGCCTAAACACATGGAAAGATATAAATACCTGAGTTCAGAGGTTCAATATTGTTAAACTATCAATTTCCCCAAGCATTATCTATAGGGTACATAGAATCAAAATGTGAAATAGCATAATTAAAAACCTGTATACTTTTTATTAAAAAGTATGAATTCATTATGTGGAAATACAAAGTACTTAAAATAACAACTTAAAAGAAAAATTAAGAGAATGAATACCATGTTATTTCAAGATTTACTAGTTATAAAACTACAGATATCAAGACAGGATTACTTGCATAAGACAGACAAAATAGAGGAATAGAACACAAAACTGAATGATTCCTAACCAAAGAACAGAGGCAATTCAGGGGGGCAAAGAACAAAAATTTCAACAAATAATGCTATAGCAGTTGGACTTCCCTTCATGAAATAGTAAAATTTGAACCAAATCCTCCCATAAGAGCTAAGTGAGGTGGCTTGGGGCTATAATCCCAGTTACTCTAGGAGGAAGAGAAATCCTTAGTTTGAAGCCAGCCAGCTCAGGCAAAAAAAAGTTATCAAGACCTCATCTCACGCAACCAACAAGCCAGATGTGGCAATGCGCACCTTGTTATCCAGCTACAAGAAGCATACAGCCCCAAGTGAAAACATGAGACCCTATCTAGAAAGTAAACTAAAGCAAAGAGGGCTAGAGGTATAGCTCAAGTGACAGAGTACCTGCCTTCAAGTACAAGGCCCTGCACTCAAACCCCAGTACTGCCACAAAAAGAAAAAGAAAATTGACAGAGAAAAGCTTCATGTTACAACAGAAGTTGAAAGTTAGAATCAGCAGATAAAATATACAATACCTAGTTAGGTTTGAATTACTGAAAAATTAGCAATTTCATATATACTAAAAATGTTTTATCTGAAATTCAATAACCAAAGCAGCTTGATTTTATTTTTAGTCAGTTAATCTGACAACTGTACTTTTAAGTTAAAGCTTGAAAAAAAAAGTGTTCAACTGAAGAACTCCAGGCAAAATACAACAAAATAAACAAACAAAAGTAGAAGGGAGAAGATGAAAGACAAAAACTAATGAAATAGGAAAACATAATAAAAAACAGTAGATCAGAAATGTAAGTTGGTTTACTGATGAGCAATAAAAGAGACAAATGTGTGGAGAGTTGAATTAGGTAAAATGAGAAAGCAATAAATAAAACAAAAATGACTTACAGACATTTGTAAGGACCATTTTGAGATACAGGGACTTTATACTACTAATACATTTGAAAGTTAAAAAAGTGTTTTTATCCTCCTAAAGATCAACTACTTAAAGTTGCTTGGGAAGAAAGATAAATACTATTTTTATGCCTATATGTATGTCTGTTTGCCACATATATTGGGAGCGTTACTTAGAAGATGGAGTATGTAAGGATATTCTCTAAACTGACTAATATTTCTAGAATGAAGAAAAAGTTAAAGAGAAGAAGAGGCACTTGGGAGACACAAGACACTTCTGTCCAGTGGCTCTCAAAGAAAACTTCATCCTACAGCCAGGCAGCACAGATGAAGCAGTCAAGTATCGTGATAAGATCTACTACTTCTCCAATGTGGAGGCTAAGGAAAAGTTTTTGGAGCATCCTAATGAGTATGTGGCTCATAGCCAACCGTTAAAGGTAAAAACAGTATTCCTATCCCAGTGATTGCTCCCAAGGTCTTTTGAAAGGGCTTATTACTGCCTCCCCCCATCTCCAATCTCATAGAATAAGGTAATGAGAAGACTGAAGTTTAAAGAATGTGCAATGTAACAGACTGGATTTCTACAGTTATGCCTATGTCAAACCAGCATTTAACATCCATCTTTTTATCTGAAGTGAAAAGACAGCTGAATGAACTGGTTACTAAATGAACAATCTAGTCACCTTAGAAAGGGAAGTGGGAATTCTGGAACCCAGGGATTGGTGGGTTTTCAAACATTGATGAGTTCATACCATCTGTAAAATTGTGATTGCTTGGTAGAAACTCCCCTTGACTGGTTCACACTCAGAGACCTATCTGTAGAGTAAGCTTATTTTTGACTAGTTGAGGCCTCTTTCCAGAATAAACCAATCTTGACTGGTTGTTTTTCTGGAGTAAGGGCTGACACTGATTGGTTGAACTGCAGAAATGTTCCCTCAGGTAAGTTGTCCCTGGTCAGTTGGTGGAATAGTTAGAGTTATCAGTTCTACCAAATAAACTGGGTTTTTTTCCTTTCATTGTGAGAACACTTAATACTATTTGATCTATCACCATTGGAACAGTTTTCTATCTACTAAAAAGCATTAAAGCCAGATACAAAAGGCAAATACTTACGATTTATTCCATTTGTATGCTGCATCTGGAATAGGCAAATTCTTAGAGAAAAGGGAGAGGGAAGGGAGTAGGAGTTAGCTATTTAAAATGGATACAGGAAGTTTCCAGGTTGGGGTCATGAAAATTCTGAAGATGGATAATGGGACAGGTACACAACACCAGGATTTTATTTAATGCCACTGAACTGTGCGCTTCAAATGCTTTAAGTAGTACCTTTATTTTTAGTATATTTAACCCAAATTTTAAAAAAATAAACTCATGTGGCAATTACTTTTTTCATTTGTGAAAATGAGGCACACACACAGAGTACTGACTTTAGAGAAAAGAATTAATCTATGTCTTTCTTTCCCATTTTCTTCTATAGGATTCCATATTCTTAGTGTGCATATAATGCTTTACCATTTTTCTTACTTCTATCACAGAAAAGACATACATTTTCCTACATTAATCTCCTAGTGCCTAGTTGCTTTGGCATACCATTTTAGTATGTTTCATTGTTAGACATTTTTTCACAGTATGTTTAATAAAGTTATTTTGCCACAGTGGATTTAAATCATAGTCAAGTAATCTTTGGAGCAATCATTTGTTGTTTTCATGAATTCTTTTCTTACTCTAATTCCCTGAAGTGGGAAAGCTGGATAAAGATGTATAAATTACAGTTTATTGAATTATTATTTTTATAACACTTTGCTTTCTTGAACTGAGAATATAGAATACAATTTAAACTCTTCTAGGTAATTTTTGTGAGCCTCAATTCTGTAATGTCCACAGAACCTAAGGAAGTGTATGGCTTTCTTTAAGAATTCCCAACCTGGTGGCATTAGAAGTCATTTGAGCACTGTGGCTACTTCCACCTTTTGGCTGCTCTCGGTGGTTGTTTCCTCTTAGATTTGCTACTTGCCATCTATTGCCTCATTTTACACGAATCCAGGTAGAGACAACCCTGAAATCCAGAAGTGATTCCACAGTGTCCCTCTATATGCCAGTCATTCCCATTTCCCAGAGGCCAAATGTATGTATGACTGAGGTGTTAATTTGGCAATTTTATCATGTGGGACTTAAAACATGATCCAAAAGTGCAGTGTGAGACTACAGCTACATAATTTCACGCCATCCTGTTTTCATGATTCTGTTTTTCATTATTTTCTCAAATGATGGATGTTAAATACTGTCAGGGGCTCCATTGTTGAATGAATAATGGAATCAAGCCCAGGGGAAACATTTACACTAAGAATAATGAAGGACAATGTCCCGTAGAGCAATACAGAAATACTTATCATAAGGGTAAAGAAATTTGCATAGCAAAATAAATAGCTTTTTATTTTGTGTCTTGTATTTTTTAACTGCTGTTATATATTAACACACATAATAACCAACTTTATATCAGATATGTCATTATCTGGCTTTCTATGTATATTTGACAATTTGTAGGGACTAGATTTCTAGACTACATATCATTTTTGTCTGAGTATTAAAGACATTGTTTTCTGTGTGCAGGCATCTAGTGCTGAGCCCGTCTGCCATTCCTTTATATCTAATCCCTCTGTTTTTAAGGTCTAGAAGTTCATAAGGTCTTCTCTTCCTTCTTAGTGTTCTTAAAATTGTCCAAGACCTTTTTTTATTCTTTTCAGTATATGCACAATGCCTGTTTAATATAAAAATCACTATTTTACACACTAGGGAATCCTCAGATTTCATGGTAATAGTAAACTTTTCTCTCTCACCTTTTTAAATTTTTTTACCCTTATAGCTCTTATTATTATTATTATTATTATTATTATTTTAAGTAGTTGTACAAAGGAGTTACCATCCAAAATATCAGTTTATATCTTGGTCAATGGCATCCCTTCATCATCTTTCATATAACTTTGTTGTCTTTGTGGTCTTGCTGTCTGCTTAAACATCTATTCAAAAAAAATGTCTTTACTTTGTGATAACATGGATCCTCTTTATTTTTCTTGTCTACTTATCCCTGTATTTTTTTAAATTTTATTTATTTTTTGCCAGTCCTGGGGGTACTTTCCCTGAGCCATTCTGTGCTCAAGGCTAGCACTCTACCACTTGAGCCACAGCATCACTTCTGGCTTTTTCTGTGTATGTGGTACTGAGGAATCAAACCCAGGGCTTCATGCATGCTAGGCAAGCACTCTACCACTAAGCCACATTCCCAACCCTTCCTGTGTATCTTTGACTCTTTCCTAAACATTTCCTCCACTAGGACAAAAGATGATAAGGCTGTGCTCCCGCTGCTGCTGCTTGAAATCTAGTAGATCCCTTACCTCTAGGGAAAACTTAGCCTATCCAGATATCTCACCTTCTCCCCACTTCCTGTTGCTGGCATGTGCTAATTTCACAATCATTCCCCTCCAAATTCACAGGAGCTTCATCTGCTGCTTCACACTTAGGGTTACCACTCTCCTTGACAACTCCAGCATACAATGGTCATTCAGGAGTCAATGGGGTCTCTGGTTTCCAGAGTCCTCATCTCGTGTTGTGGAGACCACAACACAAAAAAGCAAGGCCTCCAAAGTTAGTAATAATCGGCTTTTTATTTGGTAGAGAAATCTCTTTTCATCACATTAAGAAAGTGACTCCATTTTTCACTAATGTTAAAACTTTTTCTTTAAAAAAAAAAAAAAGCTAGTTTCATTTTATGAAGTGTTTTTCAGCATATGATGGCAAGACAGTCTTAGGATTGTTGGTACTCCCTGAGGAATGTTGCTGGTGAAATGATCTCTGGTTGTAATGAATTCTGTTATTCTGATAGCCTAACGCCCTTGAATTTATAAAAAAAAAAAAAAAAAAAAAAAAAGATCATTCCTATTAGTATTAGGGAAGGTAGTTAATAAGCCTTATGTTTTCTGAATTACTCAAAAGGCTTTTTGTTGTTTTATTCTCCCTCTGCCCCACCTTATGTCAGGCCCCACCAATAAGAATATGCCTCCTGGGTCCCCGAGGCTCTGGCAAAACAGTGCATGCAAGATATTTGGCCAAAACGTTTGGCATTTTTCATATTCAATTTGATGAATTTCTTCAAGAAAAAATGCTACTCAAAACTGAAAGGAAATTCGGACCTGATTATGAGGATGATTCTGAGGAGGAACAAGTTACAAAACAAGAACTTGAAGAGCTTGCAACTCAGGCCAATATTAAACTTGAAGAAGAAACCACAAAGAAGCGGGTAACTTCTCATCTAGAATATAAAATATTGAGTTTTGCATGGCTTTAATTTTTAAAAAAAATCCTTCCCTGACTAGATTATTGGATAACATTTATTTGAGACTATATGTCTGGTCAGGAAAATAAAGTTTTTCACTATTTTGTTTCTATGAAATAATATAATACTCTAGAGCAGATGGAGATTTCAAAATATCAATTTCTAAAGCTAGCTATTAAGAAACTTTGTGACAAGTGTCAGTGGCCCACACTTGTAATCTTGCTGCTTGGGAGGCTGAGATTGGGGAGTTGTGGTTAAAGCCACACTGCCCCTTCCCCCCAAAAAATTGCAAGACTCCTTTCAACTAATAGCTGGGTACAATGTCATGTGCCTGTCATGCTTAGCTGCTTGGGAGGCAAAGATTAGAGGACAGTAGTTCCAGGCTAGGCCAGGCCGGAAAGTTTTTTGAGACTTCATTTCAATAGCGAAAATGTAAGTGTGATTATATATGCCTGTCTTCTCAGCAGCAACAGGTAACGTAAAATAGGTAGATCACCATCCTGGCATATGCCCACATAGAAAGCATAACCCTATCTCAAAAATAACTAACCAGTAGCCCAGTGCTAGTGTCTCACATCCATAAATTTAGCTACTTAAGAGGCTGAGATTAGAATTGCAGTTCAAGACTACCCTGGGCAGAAAAGTTTTTCAACCCATAGCTGGGTCCAGTTGGGTGCATCTGTTATGAGGTTGGGAGGATCATGGTTCCAGGCAACTGGAGTAGAAAAGTCCATGAGATGACATCTCTACTGAAGGAAGCTGGCACAGTGGCACTATGATCCTAACAACTGTGAGAAGTCCAAAGTAGGTAGATCACATTATGGACACATACCTGGAGGAGAAGCAAGAACCTATCATAGAAATAACCAGGAAAAAAAAATGTGGCTGGAAGCAAGCCCCAGCAGGAATGTCCAAGACACTCTTATCTCCAGTTAATCACAGAAAAATCAACAAGTAGCACAGTGACTCAAGTGATAAAGCCCTAGCCTTAAGCAAAAATGATCTCAGGGACAGCACCCAAGCCCAGAGTTCCAGCCTCAGGACCAGCCAAAAAAAAAAAAAGCAAAAGAAGCTCAGGGACAACACCTAGGCTCTGAGTTCAAGCCTCTGAACCAGCAAAAGAAATGGGGCTGTTGGCTATTCAGTTGGTACAACACCAGCCTATGAGCAAAGCAGCAGGTACCAAGTTGAGTCCTGGTATTGGAACAAAAAAATAGGGCTGGAGGTGTGGCCCAGAGGTAAGACCACCAGCTTAACAACATGAGACTCAGAGTTCAAACCCCAGTTCAAACCCCACTTCTGCCAAAAATAAATAAATAGCGAGTACACAAAAGGGGATCAGGGCACTGGTGGCTCACACCTGTAATCCTAGCTACTCAGGAGGCTGAGATCTGAGGATCATGGTTCAAAGCCAGTTGGGACAGGAAAGTCCTTGAGACTCTTATCTCCAATTAACTACCAGAAAACCAGAAGTGGAGCTGTGGCTCAAGTGGTAGAACCCTCACCTTGAGCTGAAAAGCTCAGGGACAGTGCCCAGGCCCAGAGTTCAAGACCCATGACTGACAAAAAAGAGGGGGGAGTGTTGCCCAGTGTTGAAGCACCTACAAACACAAACAGCAAGACCTTGAGTTCAAAGCCCAAAATTGCCTCTGCCAAAAAAAAAAAAAATCATTCTAAGAAAACCATTGTTGTTCTAAGGATAGTCTTTCTTCAGAGAAAGCTTACTTAATTGCTGGGCACCAGCAGCTCACGCCTGTAATCCTAGCTCCTCAGGAGGCTGAGATCTGAGGATTGTGGTTCAAAGGCAGCCCAGGCAGAAAAGTCTGTGAGACTCTTATCTCCAATTAACCACTAGAAAACTGGAAGTGACACTGTGGCTCAAGCGGTAGAGTGCTCGCCTTGAGTTGAAGAGCACAAGAGTTCAAGCCCCACGACGGGAGAAAAGAAAGAAAGTTTACTTAGGCTAATTATCAATTCTGTTATTATGATGATGATTGTATTTCAAATGACTGCCATGATTTGGCCATCTTCTAATCAGGATCTAGGATGAAGATATAAAATTATAAGATACATGATTATTTTAAAAAATGCCTTGCAGGTATGTGAGGGAAACTGAACAAAGTTTTAGTAAAACATCAAGAGTTCTAAGGCCACATGAAATTAATCATGTCATCACTGGCCACTCCTCTTAGCTATAATGGATACAATTTATAATCAAATTTAATAATGATACAAAGATAAGAGCTTTTTACAATGCTCATAAGCAGAAATCTAAAATAAAATCTCAGGAGAAAAATAAGTCTCATTCTAATCATTTATATAATGCAGTCTTCTTTATCTTCTGACCTTTATCTTTAGCCTCTGGACGTAAAATTTACAGAAGAAGAAGAAGCAATCAAAGCAAGTCTGGTGGAAAATGAACCACTGCCCCCTGAAATTCTTAATATGATTCTTTCTGAGTGGTGGCTTAAAGAACCAATACGGTATCTTAATGTATATAGAATTGGAGGCATTTACTTCTTTTTAAATTTTCTGTGTGTGTGTGTGTGTGTGTGTGTGTGTGTGTGTGTGTGTGTGTGTGAGAAGGAGGGGGAAGGAAAGGAGGAAGGGAGGGAGGGAGGAAGGGAGGAAAGGAGGGAGAGAATGTGTCCTGGAGCTTGAACTCAGAGCCTGAATGCCATTCCTGAGTTTTTGTGCTCAAGGCTAGTACTCTACCACTTGACTCATATTTTTGGTGGTTTATTGGAGATAAAGAGTCTCACAGACTTTCCTGCCCAGGCTGACTTCAAACCAAGATCCTCAGGTCTGAGCACCTTAGTCACTAGGATTACAGTGGTGAGCCACCAGCACCTGGATAATTTGCTTTATTCTTAAAGGTGAAAAATATAGGCTAACATATAGTAAGACTTTTCTCTTTTACATTCATATAAAACAATGATTTTTTTCAGAGCTAAATAGTAAAGGCATCTGCTGAGTTTTAGAAAAATACAGATGTCAGGAATCAACACTTACATATTTCCATATTAGTCTGTCAAAGTATGAGACAGGACTAGTACTTTTGAGTACTCCCCAGATATTTCTACAGTTATAACCTTCTAAGCACATATCCGTTAATGATGTGCTGAACCTTTCCCCTTGTAGCCTTTGTATAATTATAGTTGCTCATAGTGTTATCCCATTATCAAATGCCAGTACCAATGCTGATCCAGCCAGACAAAACTTTATATCACCAGAGTTTAGGACTCCACCTCAACTTCCTAACCAGAATCTGTTTTCATGAGAACCCCTACTAGTTTACTACTCATTTCAGAACACAGATATTTGCAACTTAAAATTTATACTAGTCTGGGTGTGTATGATTCAAATTAATTTACTTAATCTCAACAATAATTCAGTGGAACCAAAACTTACCTGTTTTGGGAAATAGGAAAACTGAATCATAGATAACTTAGGTAACTGGCCAGTTCTTTGCTCCCCGTAGTTCTCTAAGCATTCTCTCTCTTTTTTTTATTGTGAACATACTGTACAGAGGGGTTACAATTACATGGGCAAGATAATGAGTACATTTCCTATCAAGCATTGTAGCCTCCTTCTTTGTTTACCCTTCACATCCCTTCCCAGCCTCCTCCCCGACCCCCATCAGCATTCTCTTTTTTTAACTCATAATTTTATTTTATTATTTTTAAAATTTTATTATCTTCAAGTAGATGTAGGCACTCTCTTTTATCTGGTCCCTGGCTGACATGAATAAATGTCATTTTTAGTCAAAAATGTGTGTGTGTGTGTGTGTGTGTGTGTGTGTGTGTGTGTGCGTGTGCACGCGCCAGTCCTGAGGCTTGAATTTAAAGTCTGGACAGTCCGTCCCTGTGCATTTTCATTCAAGGCTGTCACTCTACCATTTACATCACACCTCTACTTCTAGTTTTTTTGCTAGTTAATCAAAGATAAGAGTCTCATGGATTTTCCTGCCTAGACTGGCTTCTAACTGTGTTCCTCAGATTCAGCCTCCTGATTAGCTAGCATTATAAACATAAGCCACCGTGCTTGGCCTATTACTCAAAAAGATTTTTTTTAATCAAGCTAAATTAGATCAACGTTTGTAGGAAATGTAGGGAGGTTTACATATAGCTGCATAAATAAGTTGTCCTTCATTAACTTATCTCCTGACATAATGCTACATAGTAAAATAAGTAATGTACCAAGATACATATAGGTATAGATACATAGACATGTGGACTGAAGAATTTAAAGTAAAAAAAGTAAAATGAATATAAAATAAAACTTGTAAAAGGTAGCTGGGTCCCAGTGGCTCATGCCTGTAATTTTAGCTACTCATAAGGCTAGGATCTGAAGATCATGGTTCCAAGCCAGCATGTGCAGAAAAATCTGTGAGTCTATTATTTATAATGAACTACCAAAAAGCTGGTATTGGAGCTGTGCCCCAAATGGTAGAACACTGGCTTTGAACATAAAATTTAAGGGACAAAGCCCAGGCCCTGAGTTCAAGCCACAGAACTGGCACAAAAAAAAATGAAAGGTTAAATAAACTAGCTGAATATTATGCAACAATTAAAATTTATTATAATGAAAATTTTATAATAGCATGTGAAATGTTATCACATGATAATTTTAAAAGCAGGTGCAGATAAGAAATGTACTCACTGTCTTGCCCATGAAATTGTAACCCCTCTGTACAGTATTTTCACAATAAAAATAAAAAAATAAAGCAGGTGCAGAAATATTAATACTATTATAGAGAAACTGACACATTAAAAGCCAAACAGAAGGAAATAAAATGAAAGTCAGTAATCTCTGAGATATTTGCCCTTTTTGTTGTTTCCCCTCCCCTCAGTTCCAACTTATTTACAGAGATCTGTTGTTTTTATGATCAGGGGAAAAAATAGTACATTTTGGTATGTGCCAGTGGTTCATGCCTATCATTCTAGCTACACAAGCCAATACAGGCAAAAAAAAAGTCCTTGAGACTCTCATCTCCAATTAAGCCACAAAATGTCAGACTGGAGGGATGACTCAGCAGAACAGCTGAGGCCCTGAGTTTAAACCCTGGTACCAGCCTATTACATCAGTCTTGGAGAAATATGCCCATGACTACCATGAGGTATACTGGCAGGAATGGGCATGTGAATGCAGACTTGTCAGCACTTACGGGTAAGCTTGAGAAGTGGGAGGGGTATGGCTCCTAAAAACTACTGAGTCTGAGGAAGAGAAGTTGGGAAGGGTAAACATGAGTGCCATTTTTAACAGCATAATACATCATTCCTGAAGGGTATGCAAATAAAGCCATGCTTTCAAAATGTACTGTAAGCAAGTTTGGGTGTTGAAGTGAAGACTTGGATGTCATGGATAGTGGCAGCTGGGACACTAGGAATGAAACCTTTCATTCTATTTTTTTTTTTTTTTGGGTCCAGTCGTGAGGCCTGAACTCTGGGCCTGGGCGCTGTCCCTCAGCTCTTCAGCTCAAGGCTAGCGCTCTACCTCTTGAGCCACAACTTCACTTCCGGCTTTTTTCTTTTTGCTTATGTGGTGCTGAGGAATCGAACCCAGGGCCTCAGGCATGCAAGGCAAGCGCTCTACCACTGGGCCATCTTCCCAGCCCTGAAACCTTTCATTCTAAAAGAGCTGACAGACTAAAAGCATATCTGAAGAAGACAACACACACAATATAGCCAGTATATGGAACGTTGCCTAGTCAAGAAAGGGAAGTAAACATTTTAGAGTTAACATCTTTGGAGGCTGAAAAACAGATGTTACAGAAGTGCTGTCACATTAAGAGGAAAACTTACTAAATGCACAGTATAAAACAAAACAAAAACCTGTAATGCTAGCTACTTAGGAGGCTGATACCTGAGGGTAAGTGTTTGAAGAAAGCCTGGACAGACAAATCCAAGGGACGCCTATCTCCAATTAATGAGCAAAAAGCTAGAAGTGAAGTTGTGGCTCTGATAGTAGAGTGCTAGTCTTGAGTAAAAAAGGCAAGAGTGGGAGGCCCTGAATTCAGGTCCCAGTACCTACACCCCAAAAAACTGATTGACTACACTTTTATAAGTATAAGCACAAAGTATTTTATTATGTTATATTTTACTCCAATTTTATACATCTTAGAGAAGAAATATGTATGCAACTAGAAATATTAAATATTTTAATATTAAAGATACTACAGTAAATTAAAATATTCATTACAGGTTTGCTATACACTTGGGATTTATCAAGATAATATAAACATGTAACAGTATATAATAAAGATAAGTATTTATGTACTTAAGATATTATTTATTTGCTTAAAATACTAAATAAATTTCTACCTAGTTCCACGGGTTTTGTACTAGATGGCTTCCCACGGTATCTTGATGAAGTCTTGTATCTAGAGGAGCATGGATTTTTCCCAGATGTTGCTGTTTTGATACATGTTGAAGATCAAGATATTTCTGATCGACTGCTTCCCTTCCAAATTGCAAAATGGAAAGCAAAACAACAGAAGAAATTAGGCAGGAGAAAACTCATCAAAGACATGAAGACAAAAATCAGGGTAGGTATCCAGTACAAAAGAACAGGAATGAATCTGTTTACGATTTTTTTTAAGTCACAAGAAGGTAGTTTTCTTTTCTTTTCTTTTTTTTTTTTTTTTTATCAGTCAAGGGTCTTGAATTCTGAGCATGGGCACTGTCCCTCAGCTTTTCGGCTCAAGGATAGAGCTCTACCACTTGAGCCACTTGCGACTTTCTGAGTGGTTTATTGGAGATAAGAGTCGAACTTTCCCACCTGTGCTAACTTTGAACTTTGATCCTCAGTTCTCAGCCTCTTGAGTAGTTAGGATTATAGGAGTATAGGCATGAGCCACAGGCACCCGGCTAGTTTTCTGATTTTAATAACACAGTAAGCATTCTGCAAACATGTTGCATTAAGTAGTAAGCATCTTTATTGAAAGAATTAAGAATAGGCTAAGCAATGGTACCTCATGCCTGTAACCCTAACTACTCAGGGGACTGAGATTTGATGCTTGAGGTTCCAAGTCAGCCCAGGCAGGAAAAGCCATGGGACTCTTATCCCCAGTTAACCACTAAATAGCTAACGTGGTGCTGTGGCTCAAGTGATAAGAGTTCCAGCCATGAGCAAAAGCGCTAAAGGTCAATAGCCAGGCCCTGAGTTCAATCCCCAGGACCAGATGGCGTGCACTCACTCACACCTGCACATACAGAATTATTTGAGGCTTCTTAAATCAATATGTTAATGAGTTTCCAAGTCAAAGACAATGGGGTAAGGCCAGGTTTCTAACTGACGCAGCATCCAGGGGAAGGGGCAGCCTAGACAGCGTATACTCAGAGAACTTTAGGAGCCCACAGCAGGAAAGCAGACCTGTGGAGCTTATTCCTAGCCTCCTGTATCTATCCCTTCTTTTCACCTTCCTAACTCCACTCTGGCACCGAGGCTCCTGGGTGCCGAGTAGCAATCCTATAATAGTGACCTTCTCCTTGTCCTTCTTGTTTCATCCCTGGATTCTTCAGGCCATCCTTACAGCTACTTCCAAACTAATTTTCCTCACACTTTATTTGGATAACATTCAAAACCCATACCTATTCTTGTTCCAAAGCCTCTCTCTGACTATTTCCCAGCAAGAACAAATCTTAGCTCTTCTTCAGCCACCATACCACCTGACTGTCCACTCCCTGAGCTGGTAGTAGCTCAAATCATCTCCACACATGGAATGCAGCATTGTTAATTCACCCCTCTGAATTTGTTAACTTACCTTAAGAATAGGAAATACTGTCTGACTTGCTGATGTATTTTGGTCACAAACAAGAAAGAAGATGTATTGCAATGCTCAGGACAGTATTGACATCTGGCAGACACCATAACTGAAAATCACTGACTGCTTCATTGAGTGAAAGGAGCAGAAGAACTCAAAATATTATGTACTAAGTATTAAGTGTTCAAAGAGACTAATTTGGAGAGTCCCCAGGAACCAGTCCCAAACCCTGAAGGGAACTGTGTTTTCACACAACCCTTGCAACATGTCAAAGGACCCACTGCCTTAGCTCTAGAAGCTGATAGAAAAACAGGAGGACTGTGTTGTTCACCATACTTATGACTGTCTCTAAAGTACATATGGTTTATGTGCACAAATGTAAAGTTTTTCCATCTATAACAAGTTTCTTTTTTAATTATCTATAAGTAGTTATACAAAAGGGTTCCCTCAACAAGCCAACCTATGTTGATCAATATCATTTCTTCCATCATTCTCCCCCATCTATCCCAACTCCACTCATCCACTTATTCCATGTATATATGTATATTGAGTAGTATGACTGTATTTACCCACCATTCCTTTCTCCGATTGGTGATCATATGTTAACAGTAAAAGGTTTCCAAACATTTTCAATAAATTATCTTCCCATATATAAAATTGACTGTTAAGCTGGGCACCAGTGGCTTACACCTATAATCCTAGCTATGCAGGAAGCTGAGATCTGAGGATCACAGTTGGAAACCAGCCCCTGCAGGAAAGTCCATGAAAATCCTATCTCCAACAAACTACTCAGAAAAAGCTGGAAGTGGCACTTGACTTAAGTGGTAGAGCACTAGCCTTGAGCAAAAGAAGCTCAGGGACAGTGCCCAGGCCCAGAGTTCAAGCCCCAGGACTGGCAAGAATAAAATAAACATTAAAAAATATAGTTATTAGCCAAAACAAGTGTATATTAAATTTTGAGAAAGAACTCTAAAATGTGTGAGAAGAGTGAGTGTACTAAGTGCCATTTAACCCTGTGGAGAGAGATAACTAATCAGTGGCCCAGAAAGACAAAGATACGAGTAACATAATTGCTGTTACCACATACTATCCATAATTCCCCAAATATTCACACAAATGTTATCTTCACTTCGGGGATAAAGGTACATATTAATATACAAAAGGTAATTTTATCATTTTCTATTAAAAATCATAACTTTTTCTTTAACAGGATGATATGATAGCCAAAAGAAGGGCCGAACTTATTTCAGAGAGAGAGAAAAGAAGGAAACTGGAGGTAGGAGAACCCAGTTTTCCATTTCTTGGTAATCTCCACCCCCAGTCCCAAAACTGCACCTATCTCTGGCCTCCACCTGTGTTGTCTGCTTGGTCCTGACCATCTTTAATGTCCAGTAGCTGTGGAGCACCTTGCCCCTAATGGCTCAAATAGTTCAGGATCTTTGATGTTCAGCAACTGCAGAAAATTAGCTTGCTTGCTTGTGAAACTGCATCTGGGTTTTTGCTATCATAAACCCCGCCCCACTGGAGATCATAGCTGTTCTTAGTTCTGAGACACCATATTCCAGGACAGGGAAGTCGCTGACCAGCTAATAAGGACTCCTTTCTCACCTTTGACCGTGCCTCTGTGGGTTTCTCAACTCTGAGGTTATCTCAGAAGTAAACAAAATGCTTTTTTTTTTTTTTTTTTTGGCCAATCATGAGGCCTGAACTCTGGGCCTGGGCGCTGTCCCTCAGCTCTTCAGCTCAAGGCTAGCGCTCTACCACTTGAGCCACAGCGCCACTTCCGGCTTTTATTCTTTTTGCTTATGTGGTGCTGAGGAATCGAACCCAGGGCCTCATGCATGCAAGGCAAGCGCTCTACCACTGAGCCACTTTCCCAGCCCAAAAATGCTTTTTTTTTTTTTCCCCAGCCTAGTGCCAAGCCTGGGGCCTGAACTCAGGGCCTGGGTGCTGTCCCTGAGCATTTTTGTTCCTGGCTAATCCTCTCCCACTTGAACCACAGCTCTACTTCTTGCCTTGTAGTGGTTAATTGGAGATAAGAGTCACGTGGACTTTCCTGCCCAGGCTGGCTTTGAACAAAGACGCTCAGATCTCAGCCTCCTGAGTAGCTAAAATAACAGCTGTGAGCTACTGGAGCGCAGCTAAAACTGATTTTTTCTTTTCTTTTTTCTTTTGCTGTGGCTTGAACTCAGGGTCTTGAGCTTCTTGTTTTTTGTTTTTTGTTTTCTGAAAGCCAGTACTCTGTCTCTCCTCCACTTCCAGCTTTTTGCTTGTTAATTGGAGATAAGAATCTTTTAGACTTTTCTGCCTGGCAGAGCTTTAAACTACAACTATCAGATCTCAACCTCTTAAGTAGTTCAGATTACAGTCAAGAACCAGGCTCCAGTATGTTTTCTGATTTTATGAGGACAAGGTCTTACTACACAATCCAACTGAAGTTGGGAACTTGCCACGTAACACAGGCTAAACTGAAACGTATGATTCTCCTGCCTCAACCTCCCCAGTTCTGGAATTACAGCTGTTTGATACTGCTTTAGCTACTCATATGACATGAACTTAAAAGAAAAACTTGCTGGTAGCTCATGCCTGTAATTCTAGCTACTCAGGAGACTAAGATCTGGGGACTGGGGTTCAAAGCCAGCCCAGTAGAAAAAAGTCCCTGTGAGACACTTATCTCCAATTAACCACTCAAAAACTAGAAGTGGCACTGTGGCTCGAAGTGGTAGAGCATTAGCTTTGAACAAAAGAGCTCAGGGACAGTGCCCAGGCCCTGAGTTCAAGCCCCACAACCAACAAAAGAAAAAGAAATACTTATATCTATCCAGACATCTTCATTTCTGGTATTATTGTTTATTCTTCTGGTATGATGAGAAGAATAAGACCATCTGAAGAACTAGCTCCTATATTGATAATTAGGGATAGTATTTAAAATTATAGGCACTGGATTATAAAATTAAGAATTAAAATATTGGACTAAAGGCATGGCTTGAGTGGTAGAGCACCAGTCAAACAAGCATGAGGCCCCGAGTACCAGCAAAACATAAAAATAAAAAGAGGACTGAGGGCTGGGAAGGTGGCTCAGTGGTAGAGTGCTTGCCTTGTACGCATGAGGCCCTTGTTCGATTCCTTAGCACCACATAAGCAGAAAAATCTGGAATTGGCACTGTGGCTCAAGTGGTAGAGTGCTAGCCTTGAGCTGAAGAACTGAAGGACAGCCCTCAGGCCCAGAGTTCAGGCCCCACGACTGGCAAAAAAATAAAAATAAAAAAATAAATGGAGAGATGGTTAAATCAACAGATATTATGAAATACTTACCATACAGTGATTAAAATAATGAAATTATGTAGTAATATGGGAAAAAATAAAATATGTTGGTTTTATGGCAAATAGTAGAAAACAAAATGACCTGCTTTATATTTAAAATGCAGTTATTAATACAACTTTTTACTCTTTGAACTACATTAAATGTTCCTGAAGACCATCAGAAATACGTAACACTATGATAATTCTAGATATAAATATCATTTATTATCATGATGATTTGTTAGCTGTGTCATTTGGCACATATTTTGTATGTAGTGTAAAAAGGAGTATCTCCTTCTTTAGGCTGGCCTGAGAGAAGAAGAGGACATTAGTGAGGAAGATCTTGAAGAAGAAGATGAGGATATTGAAAACACCCTTGAAGAGGAGTTTCCAAAAGATGAAGAAGAGATGAGTGAGGAAGATGAAGAACAAGAAGCCGATGCTATTGAACGCCTGAAAAGTGAACTGGGAGAAAAATTTGAAACAGAAATGAACAGTCTGCAAATGATCCAGGTTATGGTTTTTCCTCATTTTTTTTAAATAATTCAAAACATTCACATTTGAGGCTGAGCATCAGAAGTTTCTCAGGAATCTCAGTATCACAGTTAGAAGCAAGCCTAGGCAGACAAATTCATGAGACTGTTATCTCTGATTAACACAAAAAGAAGTTAGATGCAGCTTAAGTGGTAGAGTGCCAGCCTTCAGCCAAAAGCCAGGAGTTCAAACCCTAGAACTTGCATGTATGCATAAACACACACACACACACACACACACACACACACACAGAGTAACACCTAAAACACACACATACAAATTTGATTTAATGCCTTATTTCCTTGTCACATCTCAAACAAAGTGCTTATTTTAGACCTTCCTCTTCTTTGTCAGTACCACTTAACAATTATGAAAACAAGCTTGTAAACCAAGAAAAGCACGGAGGCCCCACAGGGCCAAAATCAGTTGAGCTGTCAAAACACAGCCACTTGCAGACTGAAAATGAGTTGTTTTCTATGCTGAAGTAAACACCAACAGTGCCTGTGCTGTGATTGAATGACATGAGTGTTTTTCCCACTAAATACATTAGGTTTTATGGTTTCTTTCCATCAGGATGAATTTGAGAAGGTCTTGGTACCAATCATTACTGTTAATGGAGCTCGGAAAATCCACATTGTACAATATATATTAAACATGAGGCTGAAGCCACTGGTGGAGAACCGTATAAGCATTTTTGAGAAGTGTTATCCGATAACAGGACAGCTTGCTGAGAAGATGCTCACCTACACCTACAAGTACATAAGTTCCTTTGGCTACTGGGATCCTGTAAAGGTAATTTCAGCAAATGCATGTGAAAGCCAGGTTCTTTCCTCATCTCTTTTTAAAAATTTTTGTTAACATTGAATAGCATCTTAAACTAGCTATGAAAATACTTGAGGATTTGAAATAGAATAATTCAATTTCATCTTTGCTATTGCTACGATGTAACTTGATGCAGATTCCCCCCACATACACACACATCATTTGAATTTCTTCATATCCATAGCATTTACTCCTAGCCATGATTTCATCCCAGCTTAAGAGCCATGATATTCAAGGTACTATTGACCTCTTGTCGACTCTTTTGGTCTAGTTCTTGAGGACAAGCATCTAATTATAAATACCATAGTATTTCATCCCTACTCTCTTAAGTCCGGATGGCTAATGCTTGTCTATCTATCTGATGTGGTAAAAAGGGAATCAGCACCAATTCAAAGACGTGAGATAACTTTGTCCATTCCATTGTACACCCCTACCCTAGGCTACCTTTGGTGGGTATTTTTTCCTTTCATGACTGCTGCCAGTGGTGATATGAGAGGGAATTTATTTATACAAAAATGTGGAAGAGAATCTACTGAACCACTCGACCACAGGAACCCACTTGTAGTCATCTGCTCAGGATATCATAACAAAATACCACAGCCAGTAGTATTTAACCTATGGAGATTTATTTTCTCATGGTTCTGGAGGCTGGAGATTCAGATTAAGAGTTCTCTAGGCCGCTGTCCTGGGCTTGCAGTGAGCTCCCTTCTTACAGTGTTCTTACAGGAACAACTCTTTTTTTTTTGGTGGGGGATGGGGGGGGGGGGGAGATACCAATCCTGGTGTGAACTCAGGGCTTGGGCACTGTCTCTGAGCTTTTGTGCTCAAGGCTAGTGCTCAGTCACTTTGAGACACCATTTCTGGCTTTTTGGTAGTTAATTGGAAATGAGTCTCACACACCTTCCTACCAGGGCTGTCTTTGAACCACGATCCTCAGATCTTAGCCTCCTGAGTAGCTGGGATTACAGGTGTGAGCCACCAACAGCCAGCTCGTCCTCTTCTTATGAGGACACTAGTCCCACTAGACTAGAGCCTTATCTTTGTCCTCTTTTAGCTTTAATTATCTCCTTAAAAGCATGAATGTGAAAAGGGAGACTGGAGGTGGGGACACTAGAAAGAAGGAGAGGAAAAGGACAGTGACCGGGTGACAAAGAGGATTGAAGTATATATGAAGACAGTGTACTGAAACTCACCAAACTCTATTTGGAAAGGGGAGCTGAAGGGAGGAATGTGAATATAATAGAAGGGTGAACATGTTCAACATACACTGTATGCATGTATGAAATTATCACAATATTGTTCACATATGCTATTCTAAAATAAAATAATTTTAAGGCCTTATCTCCAAATAACAGCCAATTGGAAAATTAGGGCTCCAAGCTAAATATTGTAGGGGAAAAATAAAGTCAATCTATAACAGCACTTTAAGAATGGATCTATGTACGAGGACAGATAAGCCTATAAATATATACAAGTGTCTTACAGTCCCTGGATGCAGCATTCACTAACCAAAATCTAAAGCTATGCTAAAGGGTGAAGAACTGTATTTGTTATAGCCAGAAGCCAGTTAGGAAATGTTACCCTGATTGCATCTGTATATGAAGTAATTCATACTTTTTACACATTAATATTTATAGTTTCCTTTATTATGTAAGAAAGGGTTTGTTTCTTATTTTACAATATCTTTCAAATCTATTGGAAAGAAATGGTGTATAAATTGAAAGCAACTTACAAATTCAATTGTATTGCAGCTAAGTGAAGGAGATACACTCAAACCAGTAGGAAATGCACTGAATCCAAGTTACCCTGTAATCCATCGGCAGTATATTTATTTTTTATCTAGTAAGGCAACTAAAGAAAAATTTATGAAGAATCCAATCAAATATATCCGGCAACCTAAACCAAAGGCCACTGTGCCTGTTAGGATTATGATTGTGGGGCCACCAAAATCTGGGAAAACCACAGGTAAGCATGTTTTTGTCTATGTCTTTCTTGAACATGATACTATCTCCTGAAACCTAGCACCGCTTCTCCAGAAAATCGACTAGCAAAACTGAGATGGAAAAGCAGTCATCATTAGATAGGCCAATAACTTGATGAAAAGCTGGTTAGTGATCTTTCCATTACTATAATGAAGTATCTGAGATAATGAACTTGTAGAAAACAGAGATGGCTAGGCACCTGAATCCTAGCTACCCAGGAGGCTGAGATCTGAAGACTGTAGTTTGAAGCCAGCCTAGCCATTAAAGTCGATGAGATGTTTATCTCCAATAAACTATCAAAAAAGTCAGAAGTAGAGCTGTAGCTCAAGTAGTAGAATGCTAGCCTTGAGCAAAAGAAGCTCAGGGACAGAACCCAAGCCCTGAGTTCAAGTTCCAGGACTGGCAAAGAGAGAAAGACAGATAGACTTATTTTGGCTCAGTTTCAGAGGGTTTCAGTCCATGGTCAGCTGGTTTAATTGCCCTTGGACATGTGGCTTGGCAGCAAATCATGTCAAGGAACTCATGATGGAAGACAGCTCTTCACTTTATGACTGACACACACACACAAAAAGATAGAGAAAGAAAGAAAAGGAGAGAGAGAGAGACCAGATTCCACAATCCCCTTCAAAAGCATGACCTAGTGATGTGAAACCTCCCACTGGCCCCTGCTCTTAAAGGCTCTACACCTTGCAGTAGCACCAAGAACTGGGACTAGGCCCTCAACACAGGAGCCTCTGAGCATCAATCCAGACCAGAACTGTAGCATAGAAAGAAAACAGTCAGAAACAAACCCAACTCCAAAATAGCCCAGGATCAGGTAGTTTTAGAGAAAACTTACATCAAACTTTCAAAGAATTAAAGCAAAAGGTAATTCTTCTTCTTCTTCTTCTTCTTCTTCTTCTTCTTCTTCTTCTTCTTCTTCTTCTTCTTAGTAGTAGTAGTAGTAGTAGTAGTAGTTTCCATAGCAGGAGAAAACACAGATTCCTAGTTCATTCTTTATTTTCTTTTTTTTACTAAGGGATATAATCTTTATCATCAAAAAGGAATAAAGAATACAGATCTATTTTATTGTAATTATTAACATACATTATTTATATAAATTATGGCCTTCGCTGTGACACTTCCATACATATCTATTGTGCTTGAAGCATGTCAACTCTCCCTACCTCTCTTTCTTTCATCCTGATTCCTAGGCCCCCTATTCCATTCTAGAAGTTTTGAGAGAGCCTTGCTATTGATGGCACCAACCAGAGGCTAGAAGTAACAGATGAATATGTGAAATGAAAAAGTTGTTTTATGTTTTTCAGTTGCCAAAAGACTTGTAAGTGAGTATGGCTTAAAGCGTTTGTCAATTGGAGAAGCTATGCGTGGCATATTAAACAATTTCCCCCAAACAGAGCTGGCACTTATGTTAAATTGGCATCTTCATAAAGGAATGACAGCTCCCGATGAACTGGCTATTGAAGCCTTAGACATTTCCATGATGGAAAGCGTTTGTAACACTGCGGGGTAAGTGAAAGGGGTAAAGGAGGGGGAAGAGGGAGGCACACCAGTCAAGAAGTTGTTTTTCTAAAGGATTTATTCAGGTTTAGGGATTTCACTCAGTGGAAGAGCACTTGCCTGGTAAGTGCAAGGCTCTGAGTCTGGTCCTTAGTTCTGGATTAAAAAAAACAACTAAAGGCTTCATTCTAATTCTTAAATTCTGAGCAAATGTTTTCTTTTTTTTTTTTTTTTTTTTCCTTTGTCAGTCATGGGACTTGAACTATGGGCCTGGGCACTGTCCCTCAACTCTTTAGCTTAAGGCAAGTGCTCTACCACTTGAGCCACTTCTGGTTGTTAATTGGAGATAAGAATCTTATGGACTTTCCTGCCCGAGCTAGCTTTGAACTGAGATCCTCAGACCTCAGCCTCCTGGGTAGCTAGGATTACAGGAGTGAGCCACTGGTGCCCGGTTGTTTTACTTTTCTGTCAAGGTAAAAGTTGGCTTGAAAATTCACATGTAAGATAAGCCAATGGGCAACATCACTCCTTGCAGCAACCCTGAGTGGAATGAAAACTCCTAGGCCACAGAGGAGGGTACAGCAGTTCCATTCCCAGGAGCACTTCTCACTGCCCCTTCGGAGGAGGTTGGAGGAACAGCCCTCACTTGCCCGGCTGGCTGCTCTCACTCTGGCCCAGATTTCTACCCAGGGAGCAATGTCCTTCTCTTTTTGCTACATTTGGACAACAGAGCTAAGTGCTCAGGCTTTCTTCATTTAACCCTCCACTGCCTGACCATTGCTCCTCCAGTAGAGCCTCTCGCCAAAAGCAATAGGAAAAGCTTTCCCCAGGGAAGCCTAACACTGAGCCCTCGAGCCTAAATAAATGGCCTAGAATCCCCTGGTTTAATTAAGATTATGATAGCCAGGCACTGGTGACTCATGCCTGGAATCCTAGCGACTCAAGAGGCTGGGATCTGAGAAATGCAGTTTGAAGGCATCCCAGGAAGGAAAGTCCATGAGACTCTTATCTCCAATTAATCGCCAAAAAGTGCAACTGTGGCTCAAGTGGTAGAGCACTTGTCTTGGGCAAAAAAGCTCAGGGACAGTGACCAGGCTCTGAGCTCAAGTCCCATGACTGACCTGGAAAAAAAAGTAGACTGCTCTGGAAGATGGAAGACAATGAGAGAAAAGAAATCTGGAATTTTAATTTGTATGTTTCTTTTTGTTAGTGTTGTCATTGATGGGTACCCTGTAACTGCATATCAAATGAAGCTCTTAGAAGACAGGTCAATCATTCCCATGATCATCTTTGAAATGGATGTGCCTTCCAAGGAGATTTTCAAACGATTGATCTTGGATAAAAAGAGTGAGCAAAGGTAATATGCATGATTAAAACAATGACAAAAGGCTGAGCTTCATGTGTTAACAGCCTTTCTTATTCTTCTGTTTCTCTATTAGCTTACTTTACCCATTGCACAATAGTGCACAGATTATAGCTATCAAGAATGCAAAGTACAAAAAAAATATTATTGATATTAGGAAATATTACCAAGAACAGCATCAGAACTGGTATGTGATTGATGGATTTCACAATAAGTGGTGGGTATGGAATGAAGTCCTTAAGAACATTCAGATGGTGAATACATACATGCAGACATACATGGAAAGAATAAAAGAAGGTAAGGAAATATTTGAAAAAAGTAAAATAAAATGTGACTTTATCTGGCCCATATTACCACAATTCATTAAATTTGAATGATTGTCTTGACTATCTTTATTAATATTTTAAATAATACTAACCAATTATCCCAATTATCATGGTGCTGTGACCTAAATGTTTGTGTACCCTCTACAGCTCATATGCTGAAAACTAAACTCCATGCAATAGTGGGATCTTGGGTTGGGAAGGTGACTCAGTGGTAGAATGCTTGCTCTGCAAGCCTGAGGCCCTGGGTTCGATTCCTCAGTACCACATAAGCAGAAAAAGCCAGAAGTGGCACTGTGGCTCAAATGGTAGAGTGCTAGCCTTGAGCTGAAGAGCTGAGGGACAGCACGCAGGCCCAGAGTTCAGGCCACATGACTGACAAAAAAAAAAAAAAAAAGTGGGATCTTTCCTGTAATCCTAGCTATTCAGGAGACTGAGATTTGAGGTTTAAATGGTTTAAAGCCAGCTTAGGCAGGAAAGTTTATAAGACTCTTATCTCCATAGATAGAAAACAGACAGACAGATAATTATGTTAGTAGTTATATGTTAATAATTGTTATAATAATTATATGTTAATAATAGGAATAAATAATCTCCACATATATAATAATTACATGTCAATAATAGGAAAAGCTGCTTGCATCGACAAGTTATGTATCACACCTCAAGAGCTGGTTTCTCGCCTGGGAGAATTTGGACAGTACTGCCCTGTCAGCCTGGGAGAATCCAATGAGTTAATTGACTGCTCTGGAACTGACTCCTTGGAATTTGCTGCAGAATTCAGGGGGCACTATTATAAAATGAGTTCTAAGGAAAAACTAAATGTAAGCTTTCTTCTAACTCCAAATATTTACTAAGAAAACACCTTATTTTTCTTGAAAGTCATCAGATACCAAGGGTTGTCATACCTGGGAACACCCAGCAATTCCCAGGAGCCCCATTACTGCAATCTGTGACTCTGGCCAGTGAAGAACTCAGAAACAGTCCTGAGACTGCATCTCAGAGCACATATTGAAACATAGTAGAAGTGCCTGGTTAGTGATGAACCTTTGACCTTAGCTAGCCTATCACATTGGAAGAGTCTCACACAAAGAGGGTGCTGAGCCTAAAGGGCTCAGCATACAGGAGGCATCCTTCAGGGATTCCACTCCGAATTCAGGCTACAGAAAGAAAGTGAGAGCCAATCTGTTTCCCGAGCTTTAATTTTTTTTCTATTACTAAAATTCCCTAGATACTTTATATACTTGTGCCTTAATATCTGTGGAAGATTGGTTCCAGGATTCCCCATCTTATGTAAAATGAAGTCCTGTTTGTATATGACCTGTGTATATCCTACCATATATTTTAAATCTTCTCTAGATTACTTATGACTGATACAATGTAAATATATTTAAGTGCTGTTATACTGTATTACTTAGGGGAAAGGAAAGGAAACATCTATATATGTTCAGTTCAAGACCAGTTTTGTTTTCTAAATATTTTTATTCTATTTGCTTAAATCCGAAGATACAAAACCCACTGATATGGAGGGACAACTGTTTATCCCACAGATATAGAAAGCTAATGGTAGTCCAGTTTAATAAACTACAAATACAGTTTTACTCTGATGTTGTGATGTCCATAATTGGATAATATACAATAGGCAGTAGTAAAAAATGATTACAGATGCCTCAGCATTTTACTTTCTTCCAAAGAATTAGAAATTTTTTCATTTCTTTATTAAAGGGTCTATTTATGTTTTCCTTCTTACTTATTAGTAATCACAGAAACTTAAAACTAGAAATAAGGGCCAGGCAGTAATGACTTACAACTGTAATCTTAGCCACTCAAGAGATCTGAGGATCTGAGGATCAAGGTTTGCAGCCAGCCTGGTCAGAAAATCTATTATACACACACACACACACACACACACCAACACCAACAAAAACTAGAAGTGACCTTAAAGGTAATGTATCTGCTCCACTCCCTCATCTATATAAAATGGTAACTAATGATGTTGGAGAAGTTAACTCACCTGTCATTCAGTGAGTTAATGCAACCAGTTGATGATACAGCAGGTCAAGAAGATGGGCCAGCAGATAACTGTGCACTTTCCAGTGCTTGTCACACAGTAGAAGCTCAGCAAATCAGTTTTGAATGAATGAATGGGTGAAACAAGAAATTGCCTATTAGAGAATGTTACTGCAATATGGAGGGCAATTCTCAGACAATTCGAAAGTCAGAACACTGCTCCTAAAAAGAACCAGGAGAACCCCTGTGAAATTCTGATTGGCTGTTTTCAATGGTCTTGTTCTTGTGGCTCTTTTTTCACAGAAATTTTTGGAGAACCCAGAATTATATGTGCCTCCTCTAGCACCTCACCCACTCCTGTCTGATGACATGATCCCCAAAAGACTGACAGCATCGGAGCTGAAGAGTCGGTTCCCAAAGTGTGCAGATCTCCAGGGCTACTGTCCAGTGACCTATAAGGATGGACAACAAAGGCAAGTCCTTGCCCCTCACCTAAGTGCAGAATGATAACCCCACTTGCAAGGAGTGCGTCATGCCACAAGCCTAATGTGCTCATTACCTGGGGAAATGTTTCTTCCTTGAGCTGCATAGGCAGGAAAACAAAAACCTTGTTGACATTTTGCTTACCTGTTTCTAAATGTTAATTACACAATAGGGTGTTTTGTTTTGTTTTTGGCCATTCAGATATGAAGCCCTAGTACCTGGTAATAATGAGTATGCCGTAGAATATCGAGAGCATATATACATTTGTGAGAGTGAAGAAAAACTTCAGAAATTTTTGAGGTGAGATTATGAGATCCCAGATGTCTATAAAGTATTCTCTATATTCCGTGCACCATGCTGGGAACTTAGGAAGGGGAGGAGAGTGATATATATATAAGGATATAGAGAGAAAGAGAGCATATATACTTACACATATGGTATATGTAGTATATATACTACGTATACTATATACACTACATATATATATACTACAATATGTAGTATATGTGTAGTTTGTAGCATATAGTATGCATATAATATGTATATTTACATATAGTATGTATACATAGTATATACAGTATACTATATATGGTATATACAGTATACTATATAGTATATATAGTACATATACTGTATATATAGTTGTGTGTATATTATATATACTATATGCTATACATGCACATATATGTATATATATATATATACATGGACACATATATACATACATAAACACACACATATACACACATACGATGGTGAAGAAGGACTAGTGCTTGTCCAAAGCCCAGGGCTTGGGGGTGCTATAGATTTACCTGACCACAACAGAATGTGATGAGCTTCCAGGGTGGGGAACTGCCTCCAGTTCTGGAAAAGTACAGCAGAGAGGCATGACTGAATTGTCCAAATGAGGACTAGAGAGCTTAGAAGAAGGAAAGAGGGACAGATTCCAAACAGATTCCAAACAGAGGGATCTGCAGCCCTGAGGATTAGGGAACCGCAAGAAATTCAGCCTGGCTGAATGTGATATGAAGAAGGTGAACAAACAAAGGTGAGACTGAAGGGAGTGAGCAGAGCTAGAGTGTGGAAGGCCAGTAATACCACCACACTGCTCTTGGATTTAACCATACAGGCAGGACAAATACACTGTCTGGTTTTAAGTTAGGTCAGCGGTAGAATCGAGTTTGCTGAGAAGGGTGATGAGAATGGATGAAGAGCAGGAATACCATTTACAAGCTGATAGAGTAATCCTGTTGTCCACAGGAGAGTTTAGGGAGAGACTGAAACCCTGGGGAGGTGGAAGCAGAGGGGAGACACTCTTGATAGGGACGACAGACCTACAGACTTCTGAGCCGTCAGGCCAGACAAGGACCGAGACAACTGCCAGATGAAGGCGTGAGCAGGTGGTCTTAGCAAAAGTAGTTAAGCACACTGGGGCAGGTGTGGCGCAGTAAGCCAGACAGGAAATGAAGAGCTTTCCTTTCACCAGAGATTACAGACATTACAGAGATTATAGCTGCAGGGCCAGGAGGAAGAGTAGCTGGGGGAAAAGCTTGGATGTAGAACAGAAGTGGTAGCGACCCCACCAGCAGGGGTTACAAGAAGTTATAATGGTTAAATGTTTCTTTAATCTTCCTAGATTTTAAACATTCGTAACTGATTCAATTTCACTACAAAAGTACCATACAGACCAACCAAATGTCACTGGCAGAGAGACCTTGTACAGTGGCTTAGTATTGCCAATGAGGCTTTTTGAGTTTAATTGCACATAGTGGGGAGCTGTTAGTTGCTAGAAGAGATACAAGGAAGAAGAAGTAAAGGTAGACTTCTTCTTGTTTAAGGGGGAAATATGGGCATGTTCAGATATAGAGGCATGAGAGGGAACCAAGAAAGTAGGAAATGCTGAAGATCCAAGGGAGAGAGAAAGAGAAAGTGCTATGGTAGAACCACTGGAGAGAGGGTGCCATGGGGACCCAAAGTATGATCAGGGACAGTCTTCGATGGGAGGCATATCCATGAAAAAGAAGACAGTGCGTGTGGTCCTGTTTGTGATGACAGCTGAGGTCCATAGCTAGTCCTATCCTAGCTAGGTCCATCCACTGGTCCTATAGCTAGAAAGCAATACTCAGAGAGTTTGAATTTCAAGGAGAATAAAGAAAGATTTGGGGGGCTGGGATTGTGGTTTAGTGGTGGAGTGCTTCCTAACATACATGAGGCCCTGGGTTCGATTCCTCCATATCACATAAATAAAATTTTAAAAAAAAGAAAAAAATATTTAACCCATATAGTGGAGCATACTAGTAAGCCCATCACTTGCAGAGACTGAGGCAGGAGGACAGCGAGTTTGAAGCTAGCCTGCGCTAGAGTGAGATCTTGTCTTTAAAAAAGCTATCCCCTCTCCCCCCAGTAAGTGTTGTATAGTTGCTATAAAAAATAAGACAACAATTAAACTGCATGCTGGTGGCTCACATCTATAATCCTATCTACTCGGGACTGAGACCTGAAGCTAGCTAGCTAGGATGGGAAAGTCTGCATCTCCAATTAACCAGTAAAAGTCCAGAAAAGTGGAGTTGTGGCTCAAGTAGTAAAGAGATAGCCTTGAAAAGCTAAAGGACAGTGCTCAGACCCCAAGTTCAAGCCCTAGTACACACACACATACACACAGAGAGAAAGAGAAAGAGGGAGAGAGAGACAGAGACAGAGAGAGACAGAGAGAGAGAGATAATAGATGAGTAGGGATGGCGGAGGGGTGGCTATGAACTTCTAGGAGCTCCAGTCTTCCTTCTCACTTGTATAATTTTCTCCAATGATGAGAAACAAGTGGTGAGCTTTATTGTTTGTCTATGTATATTCCCATTCCTATGCATGCAGAATGAGTATATTTGTGAGCATTCAGCTAATGAATTTTGTGTTCTTAGGTCACCAATGAACTACTGGGATCAGAAGCTTCCACAGAAACTTCCTCCATTAAAGGAACCCATATCCCTTACTAGTCTTCCTTTGCCTGGATATCTGGAACAGGTTTAATTGCATGATTTTCTGTAACACACATTATAAGAAAATGTTGTATCTTTAAAGTAGATTTTTTTTGATAGTGGTGAAGTTCAAGGCTGAGTTTTAAGTTGTATGTGCACTCTTCACCTACTTTGTTTATGGGAAGTTGTTAAAAAAATAAAATGTGAAAAGCTCCAATTTCCATAGCTAATTCCTAAATATCTGCACTAAAGCAAAGAGACAGTAGATTGCTGCAAACTTACTTATATTTGGCTTGAATATGTAATTTGGCTCCTTTTTTAAAAAAATTTAGTGTCTATAAAATTTTTCATAATTTTTTTTGTGTGAAAATACTGTACAGAGTGGTTACAATTACATGGGCAAGATAATGAGTACATTTCTTATCAAGCGTTGTAGCCTCCTTTGTTTCCCCTTCCCATCCCTTCCCATCCTCCCCCCGCCTCTCCACCCAATCCTTCCCACCCCCCTGTCCCCCCACCAAAGTTGTAATGTTCATTTTCGACATAAGGACTTGTACATCTCATTGTTGCAATGGGTCCACCTGTATCCCTATTTAAACGATTTGTTTTTCCCCTTCCCCTCCACAAATTATACCAACATCAAATACAGGGAAAGCAGGGGTTATACTGTGGGGGAGGGAATTTTTTTTCATAATTTAAAGCATGGAGCTCAGTCTCAGAGAGGTTCATTTACTGCTTAAGAGTTGAACTACAGAACCAGAACAGGTGGGCCACAAAACCCTTGTCCCAAATACAGATAAGTTATCTACCCAAGTCACATCCCATTTATCTGAATCTACCTCTTTTTTTAAAAAAATAATAAGCCTTAGGTCAAATCATAGTTACTTAGGAGGCAGAAATCAGGAAGAAGGTGGTGGTTCAAAGCCAGCTCAGGCAAAAAGTTAGAGAGACTTCAACTCAGTAAACAAGCCAAGCATGGAGGTTCATGCCTATGATCCCAGCTATGGAGAAGATTGTGGTAAGAGAATAGAGGCCCTAGGACAGTCTATACAAAAAAAAGGTGAGACCTAACTGGAAGCATAAACTAGAGCAAAAAAGGCTGGAGTTATGGCTCAAGTGAACATGCAAGTGCAAAGCCCTGAGTTGAGATTCCAGTAATACCAAAAGGAAAATTAAAGCTTATCAGTTGTCAACTTCCATTTTTTGTTTATTTTTATTTTTTATTCCATTTTAATTTTTTTATTTTTATAAAATAAATGCCTAAAGGATAATTTTATACTTTTATCACAAATTCTAACCACCTGTCCTTTCTGCTTTCCTAGAAAGTTAGCTGTCAGTCTGGTTTAATATCAAAATGCCAGGTGGAGTGCATCAAGAAGGGAGTGTTCTCATAAATCCACATTTTGTCAGGACAGCTCCTTACCTTCTTCCTTGCTCTGAGCACTTGTCTGTAGTAGTCTGTGGATTCCTACTCAGGTCGCCAAAGATCCTTAGAGTTAGAGGCAGGCTGGCCAGTCCTGAGAATGGAAACTAAGAGGAGCCAAAACAACTCAAAACCCAGCATCCCCTTTTATCTTTTTTGATGTTTTGTTATGGAAATGTCAGACATAAAAAAAGAGTTACATAATAAAGCCCAAGTGTTTATCCATCATCCAGTGGACACTGAGCCAATTTGCCCTTCATTTTTCCTAATCAAATGTAGTTTATGTTTATGACCTGTTGGCTACATGGCCATCTAACTATTTTTCTAAGCCACATCCCCAACTCTGTTTGAGGTGAAGAAACCAAACTCAGATATACATATGATTTAAATTATTCTCTATCTTCAGGGTATCGCAACTTCTCTAATTAAAGCAATGAATGCAGTAGGATGCCTGAAGCCAAAGTTCCCTTTCTTAAGTATAAGGAGATCGGCACTACTCTATATAGCATTTCACCTCAAAGGTATGTATTTTTCATGCTCTGTTGCTCAGAACTGATTTCATACTGGTTGTGGTATATGTGATAAACTGGGTTGTTAACATGGGTTGCTGATTTGGTTGGAGTGTGTGTGTTTGTGTATGTGTGTGTGTGCAAGCATATTCATGCTCACAAAATACAAGTAATTCAAAAATATCCAAACCAAGTTGCTAATGTGTTGTTGTTTGGTACTAACGGGGTATGAACTTAGGGCTTTGCATATGAGCCACACTTTAACTTCAGGTATTTTTCAGATAGGATCTCCAGCTTTTTGCTCTAGGCCAGCCTCATTATAATTCTCCTACCTCTGCCGTCTAAGTAGCTGACACTATAGGTGTGAACCAACATACTCAGCTTGTTCTTTGATTAAGGTTCTCCTTAACTTTTTGCCCAGACTAACCTGCTCCTTCCTATCTCAACCTCCCACTAGCTGGGATTATATGTATGAGCTGTGCCTTTCTAAGTTTCTGTTTTAAAAGTATAGACTAAGGACTGGGGACATGGCAAGCCCCAATTCCACAAAAATGGATGGATGGATGGACAGAAGGATGGACGGATGGATGGATGCATGCATGCATGCATGCATGGATGCATGGATGCATGGATCCAGGGAATATAACAAATAAAGTCAGCTCTCAATATTCTATGCTATGGAAAAAGATGAATACGGGCAATTTATGGTCAAATCTGCTATAGCTGGCAGTTCAATCACACAGTCATTCTTTTTCTTTGATTTAATAACTCACTAACCTAAAAGAAACCATTCATAGTTTGGTGAAATTTGCTGCAGCATTTAATCCCAAAAGTTCTGAATATATAAGAAGAAAGTATAAGAAGAAGATGGACCAGTTTATGGAGAGATGTGAACTCATAACATACCTGGGCGCCAAGATGACCAGAAAATACAAGGAACCTCAGTTTCGAGCCATTGACTTTGATCATAAGTTACAGACCTTTCTCTCTCTAAGAAATATAGACCCAGTTAATAGCTAGTTTGCTTATATTACTGCAATGTGAAGCTCAAGAACATCCAAGTGATCAAAATTGAGAGGCAGATTTGAAAACATGGCCTTCAATCAAGTACATCCTCCCTCCTGGCTCAGATTCCTTAGTTGCCAGACTTCAAATAGATGCAAAGGTTTGCCAACCAGGGAAGTGCAGTAAAGATAAACTTTAAAACAATACTCATGTGTATTATTCTTTGTCTGAACTTTGATACTTTAACAAAATAGATATTGCAATTAGAATTGCATTTAGACTACTTAAATAACTTGCTTAAAAATTTACTACTTATTTTCCCTTTTAACATTTTCAGTAGAATACTCAGCCTCTGTTAAAAAAAATTACTGATTGTTAGAAGGCTTCAAGAAATAAGATCAATATTGACATAAACAAAATGGAAATTTTTTATGAATTGTTTGTAATTTTAAAAACAAAATAACATTTCTCAATAAAATAAATGATTTTGCAGTAACTAATTCGCTGTGTCCTTTCCTTTTCTAAGTATTCACAGAAGCATGTTGTCTACACTATTTTATAATTAGAAACTATCTGGAGTTTTCAAACCACAATCCTCAGACCTTAGCTTCTGGAGTAGTAGGATTACAGGCATTAATCTGTCCCAAGTGCCTGGCTGACTAAACACTTTTTGGTCCCATTAGTTCCTCTACACTCTTTGAAGTTAAATGATCAATTTCTAGCCAATGGCAAGTTCCATTCTTTTAACATACATAAGTAAACCTGAAAATATCACTACCCTTAAAACTATTTCTGATAGCCAGCTTTCCTTGTAAGTGGCGTTTCATTCAAGATGCTTGAACTAATCTATTGGTTTACTCTCCAAAGTATACATCTCATTTGTGGATCTGTGCAGGTTTTACTGTAATCCTGTGGCAACACAAAACAAATGGGCCAGCCAAGTCCTGGAATGTGGCAGAATTCCCCCAATTCCACTTGGTCCCCTTACAAATATGAAAAAAATCTGGAAACAATTCAGGATGAAAGGTATTATGTGTGGCTTGGGATAGTTTTAATAAAAATTAGTAAAACATTCAAGAGTTGAGTTGGGCTGGTAATTATACCTCCAGTTTCAAAATCATGGATGGTATAGATGACATCTTGGGAATCTGGAAGTGGAGACAAAAATACATTATATGCATGAAACATATACAGTGAGAGGGAGAAAATGCTGAAATAAATAGTTGGAAATGGGAGATTAATTTGAGTAAAGCTTGTAGATCAAAATAAGCTTAAAATTTAACCAGTGGGTACATGGAGCCACATCAGATTGTAATTCTCCTAATTTGTACTTGGAAAGTCCTCATATACTCCAGTGTCTTGGGGCAACAATATTGAAGGCCAGGCAACTTAGAAATCCTCAACTGTCTATTGTAGACTGATGCTGAAAGTCGAAGTAATAATAATAGTGCTCATTTTAGTCTCAGCAACCATTCCAGGTGCTCCCTAAACCCATTACATAGTTGATCTTGTTTATCCCACTACAATTCCACCAAGTTGGCATCATTTTGCAGGTGAGGAAAATGAAATCTCTCAGAACCAAATCTCTCAAAACTCTGGTCTGTTGTACCAGAGTGCTCTCTTTGTCCCCTTAGACTAAGGCATTGGAAGGAGGCAGGTGTAAAAAATAGGAGGTAAAATATATCCTAGAAGATGAAGAGATAATGCCTTTAAGACTTTAGCATATGTGTTGATATATTAAAGAGGGAAGCAAGTGCAAAAAAATACATAAATACAAAAATGGTAAAGGCAAAGCATGAATACCAGAAAAAGGATAACTATAAAACATGATCTATAGAACAACATGATATACAAAAACACAATCATGAGTGCCACAAAAGTGGTAAATACAAAAAAATACAAACACAAAAGACATGATAAATTTTTTAAAGATTTTTTTTTGGGGGGGAGTCCGGTCGTGGGTCCTGAACTCTGGGCCTAGGCGCTGTCCCTCAGCTCTTCAGCTCAAGGCTAGCGCTCCACCACTTGAGCCACAGCGCCACTTCTGGCTTTTTTCTTATATGGTGCTTAGGAATCAAACCCAGGGCCTCACGCATGCAAGGCAAGCGCTCTACCACTGAGCCAACTTCCCAGCCCTTAAAGATTTTTTAAAAAGAGGAAGGAAGGGCTAGGAATGTGGCCTAGAGGCAGAGTGCTTGCCTAGCATACATAAAACCTTGGGTTCAATTCCTCAGTATAGAAAAACCCAAAAGTGGCACTATGGCTCAAGTGGTAGAGCACTAGCCTTGAGAGCAGAGAGGCTCAGGAACAGTGCCCAGGCCCTGTGTTCAAGCCCCAGGACAGAGAGAAAGGAGAGAGAGGAGAAAGAGGAGAGACAGGAACAGGGAAGAGAAAGAGGGGAGGGGGGGAGAATAAGTAGAGGTGACTTCATGGATTCCCAATTCATTCAAAACCATATATATGTATTGAAAAGAAGGAAGGAGTAGCTGGGAGCCAGAGGCTCACATCTATAATCCTAGCTAATCCTAGCTACTCAGAAGACTGAGATCTGAAAAGAGTGGCTCTAAACCAGCATAGGCAAGAAAGTCCATGAGACACTTATGTCCAATTAACCGCCAAATTAAAAAAAAAAAAAAAAAGGCCGGAGTAGAGCTGTGGCCCAGGCCCTGAATTCAAGCCCTGGAACTGGCACACACACACACACACACACACACACACCAGGGCCTTCGACTTCCTAGGCTCACCATGATCTCGAGACCTTATGACCAAAGTGGGCATCTGGAAGGGAACAGAAGTGACTTGTGTATCGCCGAGGAGCTACCTAACACGACATAAAACTCCCCAAAGGCCTGACTTACATACCAGCCACACTCACACCCTTCCCAGCTTCCCCGCAAAGGCCACACCCACCAGGGATCACCACGCCCACTCCCGCCTCCCCAGGCCCCGCCCCTAGCGGGGGGGGGGAGGGAATGCCCTCTCGAGCACGTGGTCTCGCGTCGGCGCAGGATGCTCGGTGAGGCGCGCTTCCGGCTCAGTTTTGACTGCGGTGCCGCTGGGGGCGGAAGTTGCGGGGTCGTCTGGGGCAGCGGGGCGGAGCGGGATTGGGGGCCCCGCCAGCCGGCCGGGTGGGCTGGCCGCGACCCAGGCCCACCGGGAGCCCCGAGAGGTAGGTGCGCGCGTGCCCGCGCCCGTGGGCTCGGGGCCCGCGGCTCCCCCTCCCCGCTGTTCCCTGCGGGGCTCCGGGGACCGGAGGAAGGGGCGGAGGGCGCGAGTTGTCTCGGGTCAGGAGGTCCCAGCTCCCGGGCTCCACGGACGCTGTCAGGAGCAGGCCGGGCCCTCAGGCGCAGCCCTTCAGCAAGGCCCCATGCTGCTTTCCCACACGCTCTTCACCATTTTCCTGTGTGTTCCTGCGAGTGAAATAGCCAGTAATACCCACCTTCAAGGGCGCCGTACCCCACTGTAGTGCGGGAAGGACTTCATAAAATGGCTAATCCTGTTCCCTAAGCAATTTCCCGAGGAGGAGACAGACGCTGGTGAGAGGTTTACACGCATATTGGAAATTCATCCAACCAGGTTAATCTTAGACAGGAATTAGAACCCAAGGCCAAGTGTCTAAGACAACTACAAAGTGGGTAATGGTAAAAATTCAATTAGCTACGTGAAGTGAGTTGTCAGAATTTTGTGGCTGGGATTAACTTTGTTAGACAATACTTCCTCCTTTATTCAACATTGTTTTCTTATTTCGGATTTAAGCCTCCTTGGCTCCTGAAGAAAAAAATGGCAGAAACATCAGCAGAACCTTCTGGGCAGCTTGTTGTACACTCAGACACTCACAGTGACACTGTCCTGGCCAGTTTTGAGGATCAGAGGAAGAAAGGCTTTCTTTGTGACATTACTTTAATCGTGGAGAATGTGCATTTCCGGGCCCACAAAGCCTTACTTGCTGCCAGTAGTGAATATTTCTCAATGATGTTTGCAGAAGAGGGAGAGATTGGTCAGTCCATATATATGCTGGAAGGCATGGTTGCAGACACTTTTAGTCTCCTGCTGGAATTTATCTACACTGGTTATCTCCATGCCAGTGAGAAAAGTACAGAACAAATCCTGGCTACTGCTCAATTCTTAAAAGTCTATGACTTGGTCAAGGCTTACGCAGACTTCCAGAATAATCATAGTGCCCCAAAGCCACCAACTTTGAACAGAGCTGGTACTCCAGTAGTTGTTATTTCTAATAAGAAAAATGACCCTCCAAAGCGGAAACGGGGAAGACCAAGAAAGGTCAGTAGTTTACAGGAGGGAAAATCAGAGCTGGCCGCAGAGGAAGAAATTCAGCTAAGAGTGAATAATTCCGTTCAAAATAGACAAAACTTTGTGGCTAAAGAAGAAGGCAGTGTTGTACTGAATGAGCAGATTGCAGCAAAAGAAAAGGAAGAATCTGAGCCTGTTTGTGAGCCAGGAAGAGTGGAGGAGGTGCCTGCTGAGAAAGATGAGAATCGTGACCCCAAGAACCAGGATGGGCAGGACAGCCAGAGTCGGTACAGCAAACGGAGGACTCGGAGATCTGTCAAACTTAAAGATTATAAACTTGTTGGGGATGAAGATGACCAGGGTTCAGCCAAGAGGATGTGTGGAAAGAGAAAGCGCCCCAGCGGTCCTGAGGCGCGATGTAAAGATTGTGGTAAAGTCTTTAAGTACAATCACTTTTTAGCAATCCACCAAAGGAGTCATACAGGTAATTATACTTTTGAAGCTTGGTGCAATACGTTTGGGAATTTGGCATAGTCATAGTAACAGCGTTTAATTATCATGCAACTTCTGTATGATGGACATTGTAATTGAGCATTTGTACATGCTATTGCATTAAATCCTCACAGTAATCCTGCAGGATAGATAATATTACCACCTCCATTGTACAGATGAAAAGAACTTAACTTGCCCAAATTCTGCTATTTCATGACTGCTGGGATTTAAACCCAATTAACCTGATTCCAGAACCCCCTCTTATTTAGAATTGTTGGTCAGAGTTTCATCTTGTCCACTTAGTGAGCTCTAGTCCAATTTACTCTGCTTTATAATCCATGAATATTCTTTATCTTGAACATCATATTGTTTTGCCTGACTCTCTGTGGATAACGTTATAACTCAACCCTCTAGCAATACATAATTTCATCATTTTGGTCTCTGACCCAGTGCTGGCCTATATACCCTTTTGTGGTGATGGAAATAATCTCTGCTGTGTCCTATGTAGCCATTACCTCAAAGGAATTTTGAGCACTTAACTTCTGGCTGGTGTGACTAAGTTGAATTTTTATTTACTTATTTATTTTAACTTTAAACATAACCACATGTGGCTGATGGCTCTCAAGTTGGACAGTTTAGTAGTCAGATATCCTGCCCTCCCTTGAGCCTTTTCTTAGACTGAGATTAACTTGGCTCTGCTTTGGGTCAGGTTATAGTTACCACTTATAAATCCTTTAATGTAAATTTAAGTGGTTTGTAGTTATGTCTTCTGTCATTTAGCAGCTCACTGTCCTGTGGCCCATTTCACAATGGAAATCTGTATGCTGTGTTTCTCGACATATATATTAGAATCACCTATAGAGTGTCTAAAGCTATTCCAAGTTTTTGGATTTGTCTGCAATCTTGATATTTATTTTTAATTTTTTTTATTATAAAGGTGATGTACAGAGGGGAGGTTACAATTATATAGGTCACATAAACAGAACATTTTTTTTTGGACAATGTCACCCCATCCCTTAGTCTCTCCCAGCTGATTTTGTTGGTGGTGGTGGTTGTGGGGCTTGAACTTCAGGGCCTGGGGATTGTCTGTCTCTGAGCCTGTTTGTGCTTTACCACCTGAGCCACAGGGCCACTTCTAGTTTTTGAGTGGTTAATTGGAAATAAGTGTCTCATGGGGACTTTTCTCCCTGGGCTGGCTTCAAACCATGGTCCTCAGCCTCCTAAGTAGCTGGGGTTATAGGCGTGAGCCACAGTGCCCAGCCTTTCTCCCAGTTTTTACTTCCCATCCCCACCCACAGTTGTATCGCTTTTTCAACATAGTGTCTAGTGAGTTTATTTAAACAGATCCTCGGAGTTTTCACATTCATATAGTTCAAACCAGAATTCTGGTACCCATCAGTCATCCTAGCACTTAGGAACAGAGGCAGCATTGTGAGTTTGAAGCAACCTTGGGATATATATATGAAAAAAACTGGATTGAACTTGGTACTTTGAACAAAGAAGATTCTCAAGAACTATTTTTTGAACTATTTTTTTCTGTTATTTTTGTAATAGATTTGATTTTGTATTTTATTTTGTACTATATTTTTTCAAAGGCATGTACGTAAAGAGTTCATTTGCTCTTCAACACTGGTTAAGGGACAAACAGCACATAGAATCTTCCCTTTTTGCAACCCCTGGATTCTGAAATTTTGCATTCACATGGGTATATTTTCATTCATTTGGTAGATACCAGATAAGCCATACAGGTTGGAAACTCCTGTCTTCAGTCCAAAAAACATTTCTTGAATTATTTTGTAGGTGATTTCCTCCCCTTTTATTTTCTGTTCTCTCTTACCAGCTCCTGCTGTTCAACTGTTGAACCTTCCTGAACCAGTCTCTAACTTACTTATCTTAATACCCATCTTTCCATCACTATGTGCTGTACTTGCTGTGAAATTTCTACTGATTTTTTTACTTCTAGGAACTTATTTTATAAATTTTTTGGAAGGGTGGGGGTTGAGACAGTCTCAGTGCGTTGCTCTGGCTGGCTCACACTCGCTGTATAATCCAGGCTGGCCTTAAACAACTTATGTAGTTCTGTCTCAGTCTCCAAGTGCTAGAATTACAGGTGTGCGCTAACAAGTCCAGCAGTGTTCTCTAAATTTTCTAGAATTCGAGGGCTGGGAAGGTCGCTCAGTGGTAGAGTGCTTGCCTTGCATGCATGAGGCCCTGGGTTCGATTCCTCAGCAGCACATAAGCAGAAAAAGCTGGAAGTTGTGCTGTGGCTCATGTGGTAGAGCACTAGCCTTGAGCCTTGAGCTGAGGAACAGTGCCCAGGCCCAGAGTTCAGGCCCCATGACCGACAAAAAAAATTCTAGAATTCGAATCTTACTTTTACTTCATAAGGTATATTCTGTGAGAATAGTACTGATAAAGTTTACTTTTTTTTGTGGGTCATGGGGCTTGAACTCTGCTTAGGTGCAGTCCTGGAACTATTCAGCTCAAGGCAAGCACTCTACCGCTTGAGCCACACCACCACTTGCAATTTTCTGGTGTTTAATTGGAGATAAGAGTCTCCCTGACTTTCCTGCCCGGGCTGGCTTTGAACCACAATCCTGAGATCTCAGCCTCCTGAGTAGCTAGGATTAGTGGCATGGGCCACTGGCACCCAGCTAAATTTATTACTTTTTAACCTTTTCTTCAACTTGCAGTCTGTTTTCTATGCACTGTTTTTCTTTTGTTTATCTTAACACTTAATAGTTCTACTACTAAAAGCATTCCTTGAATATTGGTTTGTTTGTTTCTCTGTTTTCTGGTACTGGGGCTTGAACTCATAACCTCCTACTCTTATGGAGATTGTTGGCTTATAGGTGGTGCTCTACCACTTGAGCCATGCCACCAGTTCCATCTTTTTAAGAGTCTTGAGGATCTGCCTGGGCTAGCTGTGGGCCATGATTTTCAGATTTTTAACCTCCTGAGTAGCTAGCATTATAGGATTGAGACACGGGTGCCCAGTGAGTGCTGATGATTTTTAAAAATCATATTTAGGGCTGGGAAGGTGGCTCAGTGGTAGAGCGCTTGCCTTGAATGCATGAGGCTCTGGGTTTGATTCCTCAGCACCACATAAGCAAAAAGAAAAAAGCCGAAAGTGGCGCTGTGGCTCAAGTAGTAGAGCACTAGCCTTGAGCTGAAGAGCTGAGGGACAGCACCCAGGCCCAGAGTTCAGGCCCCACGACCGGTCCCAAAAGAAATAAAAATAAAAATCATATTTAATCATGTGTAAGAATGAGTTACTAAAAGCTACACATTGCCCTTATTTGTCTTGATATCTGCCTCTACTACTAAAATGTTGGTAATATTTTTACAATTATATTTATATTATATAAGAATAATTTAAAGCTACTGGTAGCAAGTATAAAGAGAGCCTGTAAAACACTGACTTATTGGAGGTATTGTGGTTGGACCTGTGGACATCTATGGCTCTTCTCCCATCACCTTCAAAGAATGTGCATTTCTATTCCTCTACCTGGAGCTACTAAGCTTGGCTGCCAGTTTCTGAATAGAAAATGGGGTCTCACTTCACAGGGAGAGCTTGTAGCCCTGTGGTGGTCCCACAACGCCTAATCCAGAAACCCTCTTTTTCTTTTTTACCTTCTTCTGAGAACAATTTCCATCTTCTCTTGGGAGAGAAGCATCTCCTGGCTGTGAAATGGTTTGAGTCTGTGGTCTACCTAACTTTGA